GTTAAAAAGCTTACATCAGCTAAGTCACAGTTGCGGTGCTATTGAACACATTTAACTGAGTGCTTCTTGTAATAGGATATTGATTAGCTCTGAAAAATCAGTGTTTCATTTTTTTTAGTCAGATTAGAAGCTTAAATTTTAACGATGAGGCAATAAATGGAACGTTGTGCAAAATAATTATTTGTATTCAACAAAAGAAAGTAAAGTAACGCCAAAGTATTCAAATTTTACGATCAGCGGAACATAAAAGCTGACGTAGAAAATCTTTGGGAGCTCCAGTAAGAACAAGCACAAAGTAATAACATTTTCATATAGATAGGCACATTTTGAATTTTTTTAATACCGACATTTACTTTACACTGTGGTAACGTTTGAGTTCACTGCATGATGTCATTATCCCATTACGACACAGCTTTGGTTAATTAACCGTCCGCATGTATGGGCGAACGGGCAAAGCAAATTGCAATTTGAATTTTTTTTCTTGATATCAATAAAAATGCCATTTCGTAAATTCAATGAAAAAACATGAAACTAAATTATTGTTTCTTTTTCTTAAAAAAATGAATAAGTCTTTTTCACATGACATTTACTTTGTTTGCATATTGCTGGTACATGCGCCGGAGCGCCGACCTGCTGCTGCTGACGTTAGCAGGCTTACGAGCCAACGAATTAAAATTGTCAAGTAACATTGATATCGCTTATGCCACCGATGGAAGATAGAATTCTAATACCGCTATACCCCCTGACATTTTGCCAACACATCCCAAAACAAATATAATCCTTTACTTCCCCCTCACAACCGTTTTTACCTCGTTTTTCCGTGGCTTTGCTTTGTCATCACGTGCATTGATTAACGAATATTGTTTTGGATTTTATTACTTTTTTTTATTTATTTTTTTTTCATTTTTTTGTTATATTCCCCTTCACTTTACATTGCTCAACATCACAGTATCCTCCAACTAAAATACCGTTAAATATTATTATATAAGTTGTATATTTTTCAAAGTTTTCAAGTTGATTATTTTTCAATTATCTTATATACTTTTGAGGTCAAGTTTTCAAATTTTACATTACAAATGTTCAAATTACTTTTTATACAAGTACAATGATGAAATGAAAAACGCATAAAAGTATAATAACGAAATTAAAAGAAGTTCTAGTTCATAAGAGTCGTATTTAGCCAGAACGCACCAAATAAAGTGTATGTGTCTCTACGCCTTTGCAGACGAGTTGGTGCTACCGCAAACTTTACCACCAGGTGTGACGCAAAAAGACGTAGAGCTGTTTAAAGATGCTAGAGATCGTGCTAATCGGATGACATTGGAAAGCAACGGTGGAGCACCAACCGCAATGGTTAGTCCTGGTGGCACTGGCACGCGGAATCCGGCGGCTATTGTTTTCGGGCGTTACGAAGTGGAGACTTGGTACTCCAGTCCGTTTCCTCAGGAATACGCAAGACTACCTAAACTTTTCTTCTGCGAGTTTTGCCTGAAGTACACCAAAAGTAGGGCCGTACTTGACAGGCATATGGACAAATGTCAATGGAGGCATCCACCTGCTACAGAAATTTACCGCTGTGATGGATTATCAGTATTCGAGGTGATTATCTAATTTATTGAATTTTCAGCATTAAAAAATAATACGTCGAACATTCGTCAATGTATTGTTACAGATTGATGGCAACGTCAACAAAATCTACTGTCAAAATCTGTGCCTCCTAGCAAAGCTCTTTCTGGATCACAAAACCTTATATTACGATGTCGAGCCATTCCTGTTTTACGCAGTCACGAAAAACGACAAACACGGTTGTCATCTCGTCGGCTACTTCAGCAAAGAGAAGCACTGTCCCGCTCAACGTTACAATGTGTCGTGTATCATGACTCTGCCGCAATATCAGCGTCAAGGTTACGGTCGTTTTCTCATTGAATTCAGTTATCTGTTATCCAAAGTCGAAGGCATTCCAGGTACTCCAGAGAAGCCGCTTTCAGATCTTGGCCGAGTGTCCTATCACTCGTATTGGAAGAGCGTTGTTTTAGAGTATCTCGATGCACACAGGGATGCTAAGGAGCTGAAAATTGCTGAGATCACGAAAGAAACTGGCGTCTCAGGCCATGATATTGCAACAGCAATGCAATTACTCGGCTTTCTACGTCATGTCCATTTGAATCCCAGTGACTCGAATAAACAGTTGGCCGTAATGGTGGATTGGAGAAAAGTTGACATACACATGGCTAAGGTACGCAAGAGTATGAGAATTCCATTGGATCCAGATTGTCTACGCTGGATACCATTGCTCACACAGCTACCACAGGCCTATCAGAGTCCCGAGGAAGGTAACGACACAAGTTCTGACATAGCCACGCCGACGTTAGATCAGCCCTGTGCTATTAATAAGCCTGTAGCTGCTATGGCCGAGAAAGTGCAGCGAATTAAGATACGCAAGAAGTTTCGTGTCAGAAAAATGGGTGGTGGTCACCGAAGGTCGTCACCTCTGAAGGCAAGACTAAGTATGGCGCAAAGGGCGAAGATAATGAAGGAGCAACGAGAACGTGAAAAAGAGAAACTCACTAAAGAGATGGAGAAGAGCTCAAGTCATTTGGCTGACACTGAAGAGGATTTAAAGGAAAAGACTCTTTCCACTGAACAGCACAAGAGCAACACAAGTCATATTACGACGCCTAAGAGTACAAGAACGCGCGAGATACATCCGCCGAAGATGCATGTCAATACACCTAAAAGTCCGCCTCTAATAAGTGCACCTGTAGCGGCTACAGATACGATGCCGGTAACGTCGTCGAGGCGGAGTGTCAGGACGGCTTTGAAAGCGACGAGCACATCAGCAGTAGCACCAACACCACCCAGGAAACGCAAACATTCCGAGAAAACTGAGCCCGAAGAAGAGATGGTCAGCAGAAAACGCACTCGTGAATCTCTGAGGGAACGTGAAAAAGACAAGGATGAGGGGAAAGAAGAAATGGCCGAGAAAAATAAGAAGAAGAAGGTTCCAGCAAAGGATGTGAAAGAAAAATCCAAGCCAGCAGAGAAGAGTCCTGCCGTAAAAGAAAGTGCAAGGCTAAAAGAAAAGGAGGCAGCCAAGGAATCACCCGCAAGAATACTTCGGTCGCCACCTACGGAGGTTATTACATCCAACCCTCCTATCAAGCCTAAGAAACAAAGCAAATTGGACGACATTCTTCTAAAAGTTACGAATAAACAGCCAAAGAATACGCCGACGGCTAGACAAACCAGAGATAAGAGGGCCAGTGTGGCAGAAAAGAATAGCACAGAAGATAATCATCACCCTCAACGAGGTGCCAAAAAGGAAGTTGAACAAGTCAAGGAATCTCCTGCGTCATCGAGACGCGGTAGACCGAAAATCGACTCCAAGGCGAGGGACACTACGATCGAAGTTACAGAAGAACAGCTCAAAGAGGCGAAATCGGAGAAACAGCTCACCATTCCAGATATGTTTTCGACAGTTAGCGCCACCACCACTGTTACTATTACACCGACCGTTAACGAGAAATCTGAGGAAAATCTCACGGCGACGGTTAGTGTTAGTCCCGGTGAATATGAGGCTGGAGATGAGGATGATGGTGATGATGAAGACTTCTTACCAAGGTCTAAAGTCGCCAGTGTTATTCAATCGCTCGATGCTGCCATCGAGAGCGCCGAGAAGATGGAAGAGGAAAAGAAGGCTGCCGCCGCCGCTGTTGCTGAGAAACAAGTGTCCGATGAGACAGAAACGATGAAACAACCAGATATCATGGAAGAAGAAATGCAAACAAAGCAGGAAAACGAACCAGTGCCAATGGAAGAGGAACCCATTACGAGTACAGTTCCAACAGAAGTTAAGGTAGATCCAAAGAAGACTGAAGAAGAACCAATGCAAGTCGAGAATAGCAAACGATCAATTGAAAATAACGTGTACGAGGCAAAAGAAACTCCTCTGCTAACGAAAGTTGATAGTTTACCTCTTGTAGTCAATGAAAAGAGGGAACAGCAGTACGTTCCCACGGTAAATAGCCACCCAAATGTGACAGAAAGTGTGATCGACAACCAACCGCTGGTGATGCCACAAGAAAAAGTTCCTCCTGTGATAGTCGAGCATCATCACGAAGTCACCCAGATCCATTCGCATCCTGAAGATAAGATGTATTCACCTGATAGCGGTAAGCTTGCTTGTTGAATAATACAATTCGTTACTACGTATTTTCTAATTCTTTCATGCATAGAAATGAATCAATTAATATTGTTTATTTATATTGATAATTTATGTGGAATTTCAGGGAAAACAACCCCACACATAGAAAATCCCGGTTCGGTAAAACGTACTCCACCTTCGCAACCAGATTTACCGTCGATGGGTGTCTACACACCCGACTCGACAACGAACTCAGTGCACTCGCTACACTACGGCCAGTGTGATCTGGACGTAAGTCAGTTGGGCTTGGAGTCACCGACTTCCATAGCGAGCGATCTCGCTTCGCAGAACAGTGTGGAAAGACCGCCGAGCGCTTTACCTACTATGCCCAACCCGTCACAACAAAATGTGTCTGTGACATCTATTAATCAAGGTCCCATACAAATGAGCGCAACTACAATGCAACAACAGCAGCAGAGTCCCCATCCAGTGAATCATCAATCTCAACAAGTACAACAAGCACAGCAACAACAGCAGTATTCAGATTGTTCGATGCCGCAACATGCTCCGCAGTCGCACGTATCTATTCAACATCAGCAACATCAGATGCAACAGCACCAAGATAAGAATCCATACGTAAGTGTAAAATGTAATATGATTTTCATATCGATCAAATATTCTTATGAAAAAAAATTTTAATTTAGACTTTTATAAAATATAAACACGATTTTAATGTTACTATTTACAACAAAGTCGCTAGTCATAAATATCGCTTTATTAATATAATTATTAATTATTATTTTATTTCCCTATAGCTTCAACAGCAACCATTGACACCACAACCGTTGCAGCAACCGCGAACGCCGCATACACCACAGAGCTTGCCAACCCATAGCCCTCAGCCGATCCAGTCGCATACACCACAACCGCTATCTCAACCGCATACTCCTCAGCCAATACCACAGACCCATACACCCCAACCGATACCTGTCCAGTGCCACACACCTCAGCCTTTAACTCCACAACCGCTGCAGTTGTCGATTGCTCAACAGCAACAACAGCAGCAGCAACAGCAACAACACCAGTCAAGGAGTCAGGCTCTCGCACATGCTCACAACCAACAACAGCCACAACCGCCGCAAATAACTCATCAATCACAACCACAGCAGACACATTCGCATAGCAGTAAAAGGTCCAGCAGTTCACAAAATTCGCACAGGTAGGTGCTATTTGAATTTAACAAGTATCCACCTCTTCGTGACAATTAATTAACGATGATTTAAACAACGTTATTATAGATCCAGGTCAACGCAACAGAGCAGCAGTAGCAGCAGTGGCAGTAGCAGTAGCAGTAGATCTCATCGCGCGACTCCGCCAACTTCTCAATCTCAGAACAATCAACATGCAGTATTGGCTGCAGCAGTTTCTCAGAACAGTCACTTGCCACCTCAATATCAGCAGGCAATGTCAATGCCAGGGATGGGTCATCCACACTCCAGTCATGCGGCCCATTCACACAATATTCCGGTGATATCACAAGGTGGCAATTACGTGGCAGTATCTCAGGCAATGGGTTTTCCTACGCAAAACACTTATGTGATCCAACACCGAGGCGGTCGATCGGGCTCGCATACTCCGTGCACGACGGCCACGAACTTTTACATTCAAACGTCGCCGATGCCACACTCGCACACCCCTGCGCCCCCGATGATTAATACGACCACGGGTCAGACACCCAATTCCTGCAGCCTAGCTAAGCTTCAGCAGATGACTAATGGCCTGGACGTGATGCCACCTACACCTTCGCAAGCTATGAATCTCACCCCTCCTCCTCCGATACCACACACGATGACTCCGCCTCAGCCATCTAGGCAGCTTGCAACTCCACCGCAAATGCCCATCAGCTACACCAAGAACTTCTACAACGTAAGCGCAGTACCTCCTCCCGGTACTCCAGGCCCACCACCGCCTAGTCGTTCGGCCTCAAGGTCATCAGCTAGCGCTTCTATGACGCCCATTCCGCAGTCCTATCCCACGGAAGGTCTCTATCGATCCGCCCAGGCTCTTGACCCAAGTGCCAGCTGCCCGCAAATGCAGAGCGCCTCCAGTCGCGTCAGTCCCAATGTCGCGACCATCAACACCAATCTTATGGCTGCTCAAGCTGCCTACGGCTACCGTGTTGCCCAGCAGACCACCGCTGGTTACATGAATCAAGCGGCGGCTCAGCTCGGCGGATTCATGAATCAACCCGTGAGCGTGGTGAATGTCGCGGCGCCTTACGGTCAAGACCCGCATCATCAGAATCCTTCTACTGTGTACACCGCGTATCACGGCTACATCAATTCGCCCCTCATGCAGCCACTCAATGGAACAATGCGGCCTCGCTAGCCCGAGCGTCCCCAGCGCCCGGCCAGCGCTTTCGTTGTGCCGCCGCCAAGACGACCCAACGACAAACCCGCTGACCTGTTGCTTCCCTACTGAACTCTGTACGCCAATTGTATTTCGTTTATTTAACTTTTAAATGTAACGTCTCGGCGCCCGAGCGAATCAGTATTTTATCGATTTTTATCGTCGCGTTTTATCCTCCCTTTCCCCTCTTACACTTATCTGACATAGTGATAACCAGGTACAATTAGCTCGCTCGAAGAGCTTCGAGGATTTTTAACGAAGGGAGCATTTAGGCTAGCAGCGGCAGACGTGTGCAGACAGACACGCGGTCTCTTTCTTGTAATATTTCTCTTAGTATGTTTAGGGCATTTTCCATCGATTTTTCCCTCCAAACGACCCATTAACAGTGTTACGTTTTGTGTATGATAATATTTATATATGAAGATGAAGAACGATTAATACTTACAATAATATTCTGTTTGATATTATCCAATTGTTGAACGTTGTTGTTTACGTTTTACGGGGGCACGCTGTACTTTATTCTTGTATTATAGGCGTGAAACAGTTTTTTCGCATATAAGTTGCTACTACAGTGATAATGATGATAATAATAATTGCATTGTATTATTATTATATTATAACGTATCGTCATTATTTTTATTACTGCTACTATTGTAAACTGAAAAAGGCAAAACAAATAACCATGTTATAAAATACATGGGGTACACATTATATACACGAACACATGTGCGCGATTATAACTTGAAATGATCTTTTTTTATTCTACTATCGATACCCTTTCGTTTACATCTTTTCTTTTACGCTCATAATATGTAGATTTTCTTTTTTAATTTCTCTCTACGTAATCGGATATCGTTTTATTGTTTCTCCCCCTCCCCTCTCATTTTACCTTTTCTGTTTTTTTACAAGTGTACGATACCTAACGCCTATCATATTTTTACTACTTACGTAAGGATTGCGAGTATGCACACGTTTATTGCGATATGTGGGAGTAAAATTTATCGAAAGAAAATAAAGTAAATATAATATATGTATATATACATAACGAATTGATTATTGATTCGACTTGCTGTTCTGCAAATTGTCATAACGGGCTACAAGTGAAACGAGGAAATAATTATTTTTTGTATTTGAGTCGAAAAAATAAAAATGAATGAGAGTGAGACGTAAGAGAGAAAGGAGATATAACGACTGACGTGATTAATATGAGAAGTATAAAATAAAAGAATGCCTACTTTGCACTATCGAGCTCTGAGAAAAAAGAAATGCGCCTTTATGCTTTCGAAGAGTATATATGCACATCTACTTTTTGATTCTCGTGACACTTTGCGGAATGTTTACGAAAAAAAACAAAAATATATAGTATATTATATATATATAAATATATATTATATATTTATATATGATAAGACTCGAGTATGGGTTGATTTTTTTTCTTCAGAACGATAGATCAAAGTAACGAGCGAGCGCAGTGCTAGTTTTAGCATAAACTTGTAAACCAGATGAAAGGTCTTTAAGAATATAGTGTAAAATACATCAATATTTATTGTACATAGATATAAAAAAACTACTAACAAATAAAAATGAAATCGTAAAATTGAATTGAATCAGCTTTTTTCATTTCAACCCCGTCTTTTTGATCCTTTCTTTCGTGTGCAAGCTCTTTTTGACCTTTTGAAAAAAAGTCACATTAAAATACTAAAAGTGATATAAAAAAACGGCTAAACTACAATTAGATCATAGCATATCAAAGAATATCAGTTATCTCGAATTTCTTTACCAGTTCCTCCGGGCTCGTCGTGTGGATCTTCGACCCTGCCGACGCTTCTTCTCAGCTTCAGCAAGATCAATATATTTTTTACGCTGCTGACATGTCATGCACTGCCAGCGTTCCCCAGCGACTCGTGCCATTTTTACCACGGGTATGTGAGGCTTTCTGCTCTTTAATCTCAAGAAGAATATGAGATATGGATTTGTTGTTTTGTAAAGGCGCTCGGGTTTGCCATGTCGAGCACAATGACGTTCTGGTAAACTTGTTATTGGACATTGTATTAGAAACTTTTTCATTGTAGCTTTACTAATAATGATTTTTTAAATTAATTTTAGGCTGCGAAGATGTGCAACATTACGTTTCAAACTATATCTTACTTTTCAATAGTTTTCTCCAAGTTTACAACTTCTCTACACCTTGATTTTTGTTTGATGACGTTCCCCATAGAGTTTTAAATATCACTAAACTGATTTTCAGGTTAATAATTTTTTATACACCTTTTTTTCTTTCTAAAATGAATCGTATTTTGTTTCAATTATTTCAGTTTCAGATTAATACAAAATTACGTTTTTCTGATACTAAGCAAAATTGGCATTTCATTAAATCAATCAGAAGTAAATTTTTAATAATGTTGATAAAAAACTATAACTTTATTGTCAATAAAGTATAATAGAGATGAATTCCTATTTTGCTTGTTGCTACAGTAAATATAATGAAAAAGAAAATATTTTGTAGGAAGACAATTATCTAGGAAAAGTACTTTTATTTCTTTACAAAACTCTGTATTGTAATCTTTGAAAAGTAAACTCAATAAGCCCTAATAAAGTAAAATATAAAATAAATAACTTCTGAATCTTATTTACAAGACAGTAACAATACAATTAGAGGTCTCCGCCAGTTTGAGCAGCTCGCTTGGGTTTCCTAGTAGACTTACTGTTACCACAATAACAAGCCTCCTTTTGAGCATCAAGATAGCTTTTACAACCTAACGCTGTAGTTCCCGTGAATAGCAATTTCGCAGCCGCTTTACATGTATTCACAACCGTCACGCCCGTCGTCTGGTAGCCCTCGCAATATTTATATAGACATCGCTTAAATTCTAAATCACATTTCTCCTTATCCGAATTACACGTATCGTAGCAGATGTCGTGTGCGTTGCAACATTTCGTCATCTCCTCAAGTGGTAGATATTCTTGATTTATCTGAAAAATTTCAACGTTAATGTTACCCCTGATTTCCTTGAAATTATTTTTAACAATGTGCGACTCAACATACTTCAATACCAAGGGAGCCGCAGCCATCGCTTGTCGCCCTATGGTTCCAATCTGCTTTTGGCGTGGCTCCTGAAATCGAAAATATCGCTAGTTAATGCGCAAACAATCCCATGCAAAAACGTAGGCTTTCGTACAATTGATACTTTCATCAAATTGGTATATAAATAAAATGAACGGATTCCTAGTGAAGAATCCAATTTATTCTATTTTTGTAGTAAAATTTAATAAGTTTTTATTTTAATTATTGACTCTTTTCGGCGGATTAAATTGAACTATTTTTCTGTAAACATGTATAATGACAGTTTATTCCCGTTTAAAAATCGATTCATCAATTAACCACATAAAACACGTTTACTATAAAAGTAGAGCTACACAAACTAAAAATTTAATAATCATTTCTATATTTATATTTTCATATTTATAGGTTATACCAACAAAGTTGCAATTGAAACAAAAGCAAATATTAAAGTTAATATGAAGAATGATTTTCATGAAAAACTCACCAGTCGGACAGTGAAAAACGCAGTTCTCCTCGACAGCAGCATCAAACACCTCATGAATGTCCTTGATCTTGTGCGCAACAGTGATGGCATTTTCAAATAGATCCGAGAAAACAGTCTCCGCTGCTAAAACTGCATCACGCAAATTGCTGAGAAGGCCGGCACCGTAGCCGGACCATGCGTACGCCAGAAACGTTAGTGCGTAGATGAAAAATTTGCGATAATGGAAGATGTCCATAATAGCGGGGAACCGCAATTCTTCGCAAACGACGCGCCAACTACTCTTGACACGAACCAACATACATATCCAACGCGCACACACACCACCAAGTATTTTTAGACGGCACTCTGCCAATGAAGCGACGCGAGGCTATTCTATTGTTCTAGGGCTTTGGGTTGATTTTATTTTTATAAACGCATATGATTTTTTTAAGAGTAACGAGGAATATTTAATAGTTTCTTTTTCTTTTAAAGAAAAATTTCTAGGCGTATTAATTAAAATGTAAAAAAACTGATTACTTATGTTGAAAGAATGTAAAGCCGAAGAATTTATTTATTTAAAATGTATTTGTATATTCGAAGAAGCAACCATTTTTAATTTATAGCAAAATATCAAACAAACGTAGAATTTAATTTTATGCTGTGAAAGAATGCAGCAGTTTTGATTTCTTTGTGTATAAACCAAAGATAAAATGACAATACTTTTGATCAACTACCATTAACATTATGTTTTAATTTATTTTTTTGTTAATTTTGTCGTCGCTAATATTTGTAGATATTTAAACAGAGTTCATACAATACTTAAAGGATTATCATATTTACAATTTGTTTTTGTACGATTATTTTTAGTTTAAATAACGTCTAACGCGTAACGTAAGCTACTTCTGCGAATTCAATGCAAAGATATAGAAATTAATAACGTATATTTAAAAATGAGGGTTTTTTTTCGTGTGGTACGCTGAATTATATATTATTTACTACTTTTCACTACTCTAGCGTAAGTTTTTTAAGGAATAACATCGATCTGTATTTACAATAGTAGTGTCGACAGCATACCTGTGTTTGAAATAATTAATTTGACGGAAGATTTCTGCATTCATTTAACGGTTAAGTTATAAAAATAAAAGCATTTTTTTAGGAAATATCTATCCTAATAATACTTTTTACATCGCGAAACAAAAATATCGTAGATCAAAAAATCGCATGTATTTGTACGAATCGACAAAAATATTATAAACTATACTCGAATTTGCTGGCCAATTTTAAGTGTTGCTATCTTCGTCCATCTTTTCAGTTTCTTTTGTTGAAATAGACATTTTCTAGAAAGAAAGTTACTGTTCAGATAATTCATAAAAACAACGGCACCATAAAAGGATACATCTATCATGCGTAATTAATTAAATAATGAAAACAAAAATTCAAACTATACATCATTTGTTCATAATCTTTTGTAATGTGATAATAACGTGATTTTTAGTTGCAATACTAAAAAATTCTTACCTCTTTGCACAGAGTTATCAGATCATCCATCTGCTTACGTTGATGAATAAGCTTCAATTTTTTATAAATCGCGTTCATCTGAGTAGTTCTTTCCTTCCGAGGGTTCAGCTGAGAGCTTACTAAAATTATTGATAACAATTGTAATTTTTTTAAAGCAATAAAAAAATAGTTCTTAATTTTATATAAATTTATAAAAGTTTAAATAATACATTTTTCTTAAATGATTTAACATATTGAATAACAAAAAACATTGCTCGAAAATGTTGATTGATTGTATAAATGAGTTAATTATTTTTAAAAATTGTAATAATTTTTTTTTATATATAGGGGCATATCTACGGTAATGTTAATTTTGTTATGATCAGCATTTTATTTTATGGCAGTTGATTCTACAGATTGCAGCGAGCGAGGATATCATTTCAGTCGAATAAGTGAACTGTTTATGATAATTAAACTATTTTTTTAGGTATTTGTTATGTTGTATAAAGATTCAAAATCGAAAATTGTCGATAAACTGGCATATTTTGATTGTGACTCTTGATTTTTTTACTATTACCCTTACAACTTTTAAGCATTTAAAATATTTACTTGAAGTTATCAGTGTAGTTTCTTATTATTAGAACCTGTAACTTCGCAAAATCCAAAAGATGCACCACCTATACTGTAGCTAGAACATTCGAAAGTAGCGTAATTCGATTTTGCGAATTGAAAAATATTTCCAATATGTTGCTTATATCTTTTTAAGTATTAACGTAATTGGAAAACGGAACATATAATTTTGTTTTACTGCAAATAAGGAATCCAACGCGTTGTTTAAAATCGATATGCCCTCAAAAATAAAAAAGTTACTCAATTTCAGTTATAAAATTATCGATAGTTACAATTGCTTTTATATGAATTATTAGTTTTTGTGTTAGAAATGTGACATGAAAATACTCAATTGGGAAATTGATAATTGTAATCAATTTTGAGTTATTAATTAATGATAATTTTTCTTTCCGTTTTTCAAAAACGTGAAAATTCTATGTTTATATGTTTCTAGAATAAATTGTCTCTAGGTGACTATGTTTATATATATTGTATGTGAATATATGTTTAGGTTTGTGTGTGCGCGCGCGCGCGTGTGTGTGTACGTATAAAATAAAATATGATTTACATACAAAAATTTGAAGCGAGTAATTAAAATCAATACTGTACGTTTATTAGCGTATTTCTGTATTTATATACTTTAAATTCATATTTTCAAGGTCTGCCACGCTAGCTTTTTTAGTTGTTCGTGATGTGTCATGTATTTTATTATTAACGATATTTAATTATTATTATTAAAATAAGATTTTCGTAAGCTTTTTGCCTGCGGGATTTTGTGCATTGAAAAGAAATAACTAAGGCGAGTAAATTTTCAGCTTTTAGTGCATAAATAATTCATCTAAAATAATTTGAGCGGTGTGCCAGCATTTTCAAGAAAAATGAACGATACCATGGATATGCCTATATATTTACTAGTATAATTATTTTTTTGAAAGTGCGCGTGTGTGTACATATACATATATATACATACATACATACATACATACATACATACATATACTTACCACAAGAAAGATTTTTACTCATCTTCTCACAGTTTGATTTGCGTGAAGAGTTCTTCGGGAAATCATCCGCGATTTTTCTACTGAAAAAAATCTACGGGAATTGAATAAAAAATTTATTGTTAGATAATCGGGCAAAAAAAATAAGTTGAAAAATAATCCGTTATAATATTAACTTTCACACAAATAATTTTTGTGTGAAAGTTAATATTATAACGGATTATTTTTGTGTGAAAAACATCGATCTATTTTATTTCGTACCATACAATTCTTGTTGTTGGACTTCGTTGTCTCGCGTTCGAGCAGTCCGGGCTGTAGACATGGCAAATCTATGACTTCTTCAGCTTCAGGATATTCAGGCGACCAGGAATATTTTTCAATATCTACTTGGACGACTTTCTCGGGTGCTTTGGTTTTTGGAAACACAATTGCATTTTCAAGATCTTTCTTAGGATTATCGCATTCTTGAGAGAACGTGACGAATTTGCCAATTCGCTTAGGCACTATTTCTTCGTTTGGATTAGACATATCAGCTGAGCATCTGAAGAAACAATTTTCATTGAAATAAGATTTCGTTTATGAGCTATAGCAATGAAAAAAGATGGCAGAGTGCTTGCTATCGGATCCTAATGCGATGGCTTCATATGCGTTTGATGGGCTTGGGGAAATGAAATTATCTCTATAATACTTAACGTGCAATATCAATTATCTACTAAGGAACTTGATTACATTCTTATAAATGGTTGAAATGTGTATGAAAGAAGGAAGAATGCATTCAGTTATAACTATACTCTGATGTATATAAATGTATACATAATAATATAAAATAAGTAAATAGATATTCCAATAAAGAATACAGAAGATTACTAAGAAACTACATAGATCTTGTAACACATTTTTTTAGTCTTTCTTATACGGTATTTTTTATACTTGTTAAAAGAATGTTTAAATTGTTATTCGGGTTTTGGAAAAAATGTTTGTCAAAGTAAAGATGATCGACATATAGAGAATGATATAGCACAAAGATCATAGCTTTTTATCACTAAAACTATTAACCTCACTTAAATGCTTACTAAGTATACTTTGTCGCATTATTGATTACAACGAATAGGAAAGAAGTCTTTGTCTGATACTGAGTGTTTACGTTATTCTAACCTCACTCAGAAGATAAAAAAATTTTTTTATATATTTATTTAACTTTTCGCTATTTACCTTATCTAATGTAGTTTTATTCACGTTACCTTTGTTTTAACATTTTCGAACGATCGTTCACCACATGCAGCTACTTGCTAAAGCTTAAGCTACAGAAGGGAAAATACGACGAATGTACTACTTTATAAGCACACTACTACATTTTGCGTCGTTCACACTGATGGGAATCGGACAGTTTGAATTTCAGAATTATCTTTTCGTCCGAACTTTATAATTATCTTTCCATTAATACTATGTTAATAAAGAATTGCGCAATATTTTTATAAGACTAGTTATTGTAATAATTTCTTAAAAATTTTAATTAAACAATAAAATAATCTTACTAGTAAAAAATATTCAAAACTTTTATCATTTTTAAACTACGATATTTTACGAAACTATAATATTAGTAAAATTTGTATAAACTTTTTCTAATAACATGCATACATACATAAATTAAATAATAATGAAAATTATTAACTTTTTAGTATACAAAGTCATTTATTATTTATACAAACACTTTTACATAATTTGAATAAACACTTATTTAAAATGAATTTAAATACTATTAATTATTGCAATGAAAAAATTAATACTGTTTAAAATTTACATATCTTTTTTATTTAGAAATGCACAAAAATAATATAATTGATTTTAAATATAACTGAAGTTGAATTCAAGACAAATTTGATGAAAATTTTGTCAAATACAAGTTTCCTCTTAAGCAAGTTTCTCAGCTAGTTTTCCAGTCTCGTACATTTTCTTGACATCAGTACCTCCTCCAATGAATTCTCCTTTGACGAAAACCCTAGGAACTGTTCTTGCTCCAGTAATTTCTTCAAGTATGTCAAAGATGTCATCACCATCTTCTCTTTTGTCTAATTCTATAGCTGTATAAGCTTCCTTCAGTTTGTCAAATACCTATAAGCAAATCAATTACACATCACTGATCATTTCTATATTAAGAATCAATTTTAAGGAAAATTTTTAAATTATTTACCTCTTTAGCCATTTTGCAGAAGGGACATGTGGTTTTTGAAAAGATAACCACTTTGTCGGAGACAATAAGTTTATCAACTGTTTCACGACTGACTGCCATTCTTGCTGCTCTTGTACTGGAAACTATACCCATAGGAATTAGCTAAAGGAAGCATTATAAGCTTATTATGGCTGCTACTGATAAAACTCAATCATTTACAAATGAAAAAGGTGAATTGTACTGTAGATAAATTAAAAAAAAATTATAAACTATGTACAAAATTATCTTTAAGTACAAAGCTTTTACAATAATATCAGATGTAATAAGAAATAAGTAGCATATTTATAATAGTGATTATCAGAAAATACTTTGTAAAATGCTATAACGACTTATGATAGAGCATATTTCATTGATTTCGCACATGGTGCAATACTATAGTTACAAATTATAGATTAACATTAAATTTGTTAAATTATACCTAGTTAAAAATTAAACACATATTGATTTGTTGATTATCTTATCAATGGACAACCAACAAAAAGGTCTAAACGTAATAGTAATTATTAAATAGTATTAAAATGTCTATAAAATTATTGAAAACACAGTTGAATAACAGTGAAAATATATACTAATTTAATAAATCTAAAAAAATACTATCTATTATAAAAGTGAATCACCTTAAACACTTGTCGATAAAGCGAGCGCAAGACAACTGCACGACGCCTCTGCTACTTAATGGAGACATGAATCAGACCTCTTATAGTTTCTGCTACTAACTATAGTCAATGGCGAAAGTACGATAAGCCGCAGTCCGCACCCTATATTATATCGGTATCAGTTAATTTACTTTCAGGAACATTCTACATTGTCGTTAGCATAACTGCACTCAGTTAGGCGCCATTTTCGAATCTTCGAATTTGATGAATATTATTCGAATAATAATGTTATAAAATTATAATATAATTAATCTTTGAATAAATATCACAGAAAATATTAAAACAGTAAATGGTAACATACTAAAATCACAATCTTAAGAATTCTCTTACTTTTGATCATTTCAATTGTAGATCGAGCTTAATGGACCTGTCAACGTCGACAAATATTACCAGATCACCGCGAGCGCCAGCTGCAGATCAATTACAGTGAACGTCTGGGCCAGTCCGCAGTCGCGGTGCTGCGGCAATTGCCACAGTACGTGTCATTGATAAGCTTCTACATAATAAAATATTCTGTTTTAATGGTAGTGTCCGGCTAACAGATGACAGACTAACGTACATACAAGTGAATCCCACAATAGTCAGACAGAATGGTAAGATCCAATTTCCCGGGCGGCGGCCTCTACGTTATCGAAAGCGAGGTCAGTCTCCTGCTGACGGCGATGCGTCGTGATGTCAGATGGTCTTCTCACTCACACCAGGTAGAAAACTTTTGTAAATTTCTAATACATGTGGACTTGCTGCTTTGATTTCATTTTTTCATATAGTTTTATTGTTTTGTCACAATGGTTAACATACGACTAGATGAAACTGTATATATTATGACTTTGATTACAACTCTATTCACTGATAGTCACATATCTATAGTTTCTCCAAATTAGGCTACTTATTAACCCTTACTTGACACACTAACGCTGTGTGACGTACTTGACACACTGGGGTTTTTGTACCCCAACTGTCATAAAAATTTAACGGTTATCTATTATGACATGCGATTTTTTTCATAACTTCTTTAGTATCATTTTTCAGTGAAATATTGGTTTCATAGAAAAAAGTGGTTTTAAGTATATTAAAAAATTTATTTAAAAAAATGTGGATGAAATTGTTTTTTACGAAAAAATTTACAACTTCTCAAATTTTTTATAAAAATTTGCTTAAGATATAAGAAAAAAAAATATAATATTGATGGTCTTTTCAAAAAAGTTATTTAGGAAATTGAATGAAGGAATTTTACGAAAAAAAAAGTTTTTATTTCAATTGAAAAATATCAAATTTTTATTTCTATTGGCTGAAATGTTATAAATTTAATCTGGAAATTATAAAAAACATTAAAACAGGCAAACAAACAATTACAATTATACGAATTTTCAATTTCCTAAACAATCTGCGCAGATTGAATAGCTATGTTCGGCACAAACAGCACGTTCACAAATCGAGCAACCTTCCCTACCTTTCCTATCCTTGTTTCGCTTGCAAAGTACACACCTTAGTGATGTCTAAGAAATTTTACGTGCTCTAAAGGCTTTTGACCCGCAATATCTTTTTTTAATATTCCAGCAATATCTATGTCGCGTCGTAGCGTTTTGACAGTGCACTGTTGCTCTAAGTATGGTGTTACCAAATGAACGTACAATACCTCCAATCAATTGCCATGATCCGATAGTTTTCGTCGCTGTTTTTCAATCGGTATTTTAACAAAATTTTGGCATTAATTGCTGCTTAATCAAGTATGCCATAGAAATATCGGATTGGCCATCTATTTTTTCGACCAGCTACCGTGTAAAAGTGACAGAGTTTATCGAAATTGTCCGTGCCTCGTTTCATCGCGTTGTAGTGTCTAACGATGTTAGTGTTAACGCCATTAACTTGAATTAACATTCTACAAATTAAAGAAATGGAAGTATTCATATTGATCTTCCATTGATTATTAATTATTATACTATTCATTATTGAATTTTGACACATTCCTCCTCAATTTTTTTGTTTGTACTTTCAATAAGTAATTGAAGCATATTATTATCAAAGGAACAATTCCAAAATTCTTTGAAACTTTCATAAGCTGAAGCATTACCTATTGGGCCTGGAATCATTTCAGGAGTGGCTTGAGATGTTCTATCTGTAAAATTATGAATGTATTTATTTATTTTACTAAAGATAAAGTATACATAAATAAGGTAGTTTTTTGGACTATCATTATAATACGCTACTTAGCAATTTCTAAACTTTGAAATTTGTATTTAAATAGTTACTAGTCAAATTTTTTTTTGCTATTTTTATGCAAATAATGCAAGATATTGATGTTTTTACATTGCTGCAAGAACATTGTTATTCACTGATTTTGTTATGTTTTTTGTTACATTATTTCCTTGTTTCTTTCATTTTTAAATTCTTAATAATTAGTTACAAATTAAAAACCTTTTTATTATAATTTTTTATAATTTACAGGATGAAGACCAAAATATTTTAATGAAAGGCCTCGCAGCACTAAAAGAGGATTTGAATGATGCTAAACATCTATGTCATTTAGAGCCAGGAGCTTTTATGGCTCCATTCTTAGAAATAATAAGATCTGAAAAAACAACTGGACCTGTAACTAGTCTTGCATTATCTGCTGTAAATAAAATCATATCTTATGGGCTGATTGGTAAGCAAAAAGTTCCGAAGTAGTTAAAGTTAGAATTAGATTTTGAATAATTATTAATTTTTTACCATTGTATGTAGATCCGGAACACCCTGTAGTTGTCTCATGTGTGGAAGCAATAGCAGATGCTGTTACTCATGCGAGATTTGTTGGAACTGATGCATCTGGAGATGGAGTTGTTCTTATGAAAATTCTCCATATTTTAAGAGCACTTGTTCTATCATCTCTTGGTGATAATCTATCAAATGAAAGTATATGCGAAATCATGCTTAGTTGTTTTAGAATATGTTTTGAAACCCGTCTTAGTGGTCAGTTACATTATTGAATGCCTTTGTTCTAAATTACAATATATGATTGTAATCAAATAATTTTCATTTTAACAGAATTATTAAGAAGAACAGCAGAACACTGTCTGAGAGATATGGTACAATATCTGTTTGTGAGATTACCACAGTTTACAGATGATACAAGAGATTTGCTGAGTATGAAGGTATATTTGATTTTATTTATTTACTTTTTAGGTTTTTTAAATCTATTATTGGTTCATTTCTTGTAACTACTCAGAAAATGAGAAGAGAGAGTATGGAAAATACCAAGAGACAAATTAAAAAGAACAAGACTTTTAATACGAAGCCCAAACCAAAACCTAGTCAAAATGAAATTGATGACACAGAAGTTCAACTTCTGAGTCCTATTGAAAGAACAAAAATTAATCATTTAGCTACAACTCCTATAACTCCAGCTGGAAATATTGTAGATATGCAAGGCTCATTAAATCAAGTTACACCTGAAAAAGTAGAAGATGACAAAATTGATAAAGCTAGTATTACAATGAGTGACACTAGTGAAAATAATAGTAATAAAGAATATTCAAATGTTGGATCAAAATCTGACATAGAAAATAAATTATCAGAAAATGATAATGATCTTCCAAATTCAGAATCTAAGTCAACCGAAGATCAACCAGTTGTAGATTCAGTATCAAAATCACCAGAACCAGAATATCAAGGTCTGTTTATATACCAAATTATTCTCAAGTATAAAACTTTTATGCATTTCTTATGAAAATGATTTTTACAGTACAGATAAAAAAATTATAGATAAAGAATGTAACCAATATGTATCTCCATTGGGCAGTGTGGATGATTTATCAATAGATGAGGCATCAAGTGTAAATAGAACATATGTACCATCGGTTAAAGTTGAAGGAGAATTTATTGATGAATATGTGAATTCTCAAGGAATAACATTCACAGCAATGCAGCAGCATACTCCTTATGGCTCACTGTGCTTACGGGAATTTTTCCGCTTTCTGATTTCTTTGTGCAATCCTCTTGATAAACAAAATAGTGAAATTATGATGCATTTAGGGTTGAGCCTTTTGCAAGTGACACTAGAAGTAGCAGCTGATGCTCTGTCTAATTTTTCATCCTTGCTTACACTTGTTAAGGATGATTTAGCTAGAAATTTGATTTTGGTTAGTTTTATAAATAGTATCAAAATTGCTTATAAATTGAAATAATTAAAAAATTATTTTTACAGTTACTAGGTGCAGATAGATTATCGATTCTCGCTACTGATCTGCAAGTATCATTTTTGCTGTTTGAAGCGCAGAGAGAACACTTGAAATTCCAAATGGAACAGTTTATTGTTAAACTAATGGACATGATCAATTCCGATTCTAACAAAATAACTTACGAACAGCGCGAACTTGCGTTGGGTAAGTATGTCGAATAGTTCGTCTATAGTATCTTTTCTTTTTTCTTGGTTTTTTATTGTTATTTTGTTTATAATTATGTAGAAACTATTGTTCGATTGTGGAAAATACCTGGTTTGCCAGCAGAGTTGTTTATAAATTATGATTGCGATTTATATTCTATAAACTTGTATGAGGAATTGATGAAAATGATGTCAAAGGTACTGTATAATGTAAGAGCTTTTCTACATCAAGATTTCTTATTTTCTTATTCTGGCATGGCTAATCAAATTAATGTTGAATATCAATTTGTATACTTGTAGAATGCAACAACGATGGCTGGCGACTGGTTCAGTATGCAATTTATTTCATTGGATGCCATTTTTACACTGATTGTCGGTATAGAAGCCAGAGTTCTAAATCATAATGATAATATAAATTTGTTGAAACCTTCCAGACATTGTGCCTCGCCAAAGCTCCCTAAAAAGGAGCATTTGCTAGAAAGGAAAACTAGGAAGAGGGTGAGTTTATGATTCAATTTTCCTGAGTATAGACCGCAAATAAATAAAGCTTCAATTTTTTTAGTTACTAGCCATTTGTTCAGAAAAGTTCAACAAGAGTCCGAAAGAAGGTATAGCAAAGCTAACTGAGTATGGACTTCTGGGTAAAATTCCAGAATATGCTGATCCCAATGAAATAGCAAAACTACTTCGAGAAAATCCTACTCTTGATAAGAAAGCTATAGGGGAGTACCTCAGCAAGAAGGAAAACACAAACGTTTTGCATTCGTTTGTTCAAAGTTTTAATTTTCAAAACACTCGCATGGATCAAGCTCTTCGTCAATACTTAGAAGCATTTAGGTTGCCCGGAGAAGCTCCTCTCATTTTTCTGTTACTTGAAAAGTTTGCCGAATACTGGCATGTAAGTTTCAATGTAAAATTATTATATCAAATGTAGGCTATAATAATTGTTTCTACAACCAATTTGAGTACTAAATAAGTAAAATTTATTGAAGTTCTTTATTTCAATTCATAGGATAATAACAACCATCCATTTGCTTCTGCTGATGCTGCTTTTACTTTAGCATATGCTATAATTATGCTTAACGTCGATCAACATAATCACAATGTCAAACGACAAAATATTCCAATGACTGCAGAAGATTTTAAGAAAAATCTGAAGAATGTTAATGGTGGTGAAGATTTCGATCAAGATATGCTCGATGATATTTATAATGCAATAAAGTGTGTAACTATATTATGTTAAATTTGCATATATATCAGAAAATCAAATATAATAAATTCTTTTATAGAAATGAAGAAATAGTTATGCCAGCTGAACAAACGGGTCTCGTCAAAGAAAACTACTTGTGGAAATGTCTTTTACGACGAGGTGTAAGCTCCGAAAGTGTGTATGCAAGAGTTGGCAACTCCAGTGATTTTGTCGACAAAGAAATTACCGAAAGAGGTTGGGCACCTATCATCAGTGCTTTGTGCCGAGCTTATGATAAAGCTCACAATCGATCTCTACAACGCAGAGTTGCCGAAAAATTCGAAAGGTAAATATTCTATTTCGAGTAGAAAGTTTTCAAGAATTTAAATGTATTTTATTTCATTAATTTTGTTTAAATATAAATATTAATGGCTGTTATATCTCAATTTGAAATATTTGGCAAAACAATGTACCGATTGTATTTTCCACTTTTGCAGTTGTGCAGCTATTAGCGCACACTACGGAATGACCAGCGACCTAGACACACTCATAGTGAGCCTGTGTAAGTTTACCGGGCTCGCAGCTGGCGGCCAACCGGATCAAGTAGTTTTGAAACTCGGTGGAAGTGGCACTTGCCAATTAGCGACTCAAACTCTATTTAAGATTTGTCACGTGCATGGCGATGCTATGAGAGCTTCCTGGAAGAATATAGTAGATTGCCTGCAGATGCTGTTCCGTGCAAAACTACTACCCATCAACATGACTGAAATCGAAGATTTCCTAAATCCTTCGGGCAAAGTCTCTCTTATCCGTGAACCTACAACACTTAAGCCACCGCCCGTGGAACAAGGTCTTCTATCGAGTTTATACTCTTACATTGCCTCGGACACGTCTCGCACGCCAAATCCTGCAGAAGTCGCCGCCAAAAAGAAAGCTAAAAAATGCGTTGATCGTTTCTATCTGAAACAAATCATCGAGGAGAGCAAATTTTTGCAGGTAATTAATTTACAAAACAAGTCAGTCAATATTATAAATCTTATACAGTAACGGTTACATGATTTATATTTCCATTATGCGTCTGTGTGTGCGCTATCTATTATTTAATAATTGGGGAAGGTCATCTGGAGACTTCTTCGTGAACCGCCAGTGTCATCTACTACTCTTTATCTTTCTAAAATACGAATCTTCAGTAGTATAGTGGTCAGTATCCCCGCCTGTCACGCGGGAGACCGGGGTTCGATTCCCCGCTGGAGAGGTTTTTTTTCCTTGAAGTTTTTGCTTTTTTATATTATTCTTAGAATGTGAAGATCAAATCACATAAAAATCCGCTGAAATTATAATTACTAAGCAATTTTTCGTAAAGTGGTGGGAAATACTAGTTTGTGGGTCATACGTAATTTTCATTGTTTATATAATAGAACAAAATTTTCAGCTCGAAAAATTCATAATTAAAAATGTTATTTTGAACAAATAAGAGGTCTAATATAGGACAGAATTATTATTAAGTTATACGATAGCGCTTGTTGGCATAACACTGGGGTCGAAATTGACCGCCGATGATGTTGAAAGATTAATAGTTGAAAGCACTGTTTAACAATTGATATTAATAATATGTGTGGCTTTTGTTAATAAAAAAAGTGACTGACAAAATGGTCTAAAATTTGCAATATTTACAGCTAGAGTCACTGCACTCCCTGGTAATATCGCTAGTATCAGCAGATTCGATCGACGAGGATATGTCGGTGTTTCTCATGGAGCAACTGATCGACATAACGATTCAAAATCGCGATCGCGTAAGCAACATCTGGCCGACGATTCAGACGCACTTGAACGGTATACTGACAGCGGCCGCTCGCGAGAATCAACCTTACCTTTTGGAGCGCGTGACCGTAGGCATGCTCAGGTTGTCTATCCATCTTCTGAGAAGTGAAGAATTCGCTTGCGCTGTTTTGCCTTCTCTTTTGCCTCTAACGTACTTGCCATCGGCTGAAACGCCTCCGTTGTGCAGACAAATTGCTTATGGATTACACGACTTGGTGAAAATCAACGCAGCGAATATACATAGTACCGAGGATTGGAAAGTGGTATTCAATCTGCTGGAGTATTCGGGTGCTGGGGCGCTACAGCCTAAGCAATTGGCAAGCAATACCGTGCTGAATGAGTCTTTCAATAGAAGATCACCCGTGAGTGTTATCTTTAGGTTTTTTCTTTGATGTGAATAAGTCGACTCCTATCAAAGTAATTACTTTAGTCGGTTATAGTTGAACAAATTATTGCTTCCATGTAGGTTCTTGATCCTAAGCCAGTGAGCCCAGTGCCAGAATGGGTTTTGGTATCACCGACTGGCACAGAAGCACCACTACCTGTAGCCGAAGATACAATTGTTCTAGACCGCGAACTTTTACCGCATGATCCAACAGCTTTGGTTAAGTGCTGCGAGAGTTTACAGTTCCTCATAAAGGATGTCGCCCACGTGACGCCCTTAAACTTTGAGTTGTGTGTACTATGTGTGCGAACTTTTGTCGAGGCTTTGCTTTGCCCAGTCGGTAAACGTCCTAGAATTCACACAACTGCCAGTGGAAAAGAATATGCTAATTATCAACAGGCGCCTATCGAATTGCTGCACCTTATGTATACGCTATATGCTAATGCCGAGGAGGTAAACTATTAATATCCTGAAAAATTTGTAACGACAATTTGAATATGAGTCTCAACGTTGCTGCATAATTTTCAGCTGTTCAGTAAATGGGATAAAAAAGATGGTAACGACGAAGCTAGTTTAGAAAGCAACTACGTATTTGTATCATGTCTTTTATGGTCGAAAGCTTGGCAGCCATTGCTTCAAGGTGTAGCTCGACTATGCTGTGACTCGAGAAGAGCTGTTCGCGCTAATGCAATTTTAGCGTTACAGAGCATTTTGCTCCATCCTAAACTCAAACTACCCTCAGCTATCGAATGTTCTATGTGCCTGAAGCAAGTTCTTTTCCCATTGTTAACACAGTTACTAAATCCGCTTGCTGTCAACGATCCGCTGGCAGTCGAAGAGACGAGAGTTCGAGCTGCTACGCTTATGTCAAAGGTATGAAATTGATACTTTTGGTTTAGACGCCTATCATAACTGAAATTTCATATTGAATTTGAGTTAGGTCTTTCTTCAACATCTAAATCCACTGGCACAACTGCCTGATTTCCTACCTCTGTGGCTGACAGTTTTAGATCTACTACGAAGTTATATGCATTCTAACAACATTGAAAATCTCTACGAGGCGACTCTTGAATCATTAAAGAACATTCTCCTCGTAATGTCATCTGCCGGTGTCTTACAACCCGGCTCCCACTTGTGGACTCCGACGTGGCGTGCAATTGACGCATTCCTGCCAAATCTCAAAGGCAAACTGTTTCCACAACCCCCTCCGCCCCCTCGACCATCGATTTCTCCTCAACCACCCTCACCTCCGCAATCTCAGTCACTCATCAGTCAACCGCAATTAGTACCTCCTTCAATCCAGCAATTGCAATCAACGATAGTAAACCTGATAGATCAACCAAAAGTGTCTTATCCGAAACCCATCCCTTCTCATCTGGAAGGTAGTTGCAACAGCCCCACTTCCCAGTCATCACCATCAAATACGAGCTTGCTCTCAACTTCTCCGCTAGATCCGTTAAAAATGAACATGCCGCTTATGCTTGAAAACAAAGAACCACAGCAAATTATAACACTTCTTAGTCAACCTTTGTCCAGCGTCGCAAGTCCTGTCACCGTCCAGCCACCCACAACGCAAATATACATGCCTCAACAGCCGCAGCAATCGGTCTATCCAATCGAAATTAATGCATTGGACCAAAAGCAAAGCATGACTTATCAAGCTAACTTCCGGCAGCAAACCGTTAGCATTATGGGGACCAGCTCGCCTACCAAACATCAGTACACTCATTTGCCGCAAATGCAGGATTTCAGGAGTGGCTTGTACGCTGACTCGGTTAACGTTGTTGCCGATCGCGCAAATCAGATAGAAGTGAGTATTGTAGTATTAAATTTTATTGTAGTTATTAACTTAATTGCAAGATAAAACAGTTTTATATTTCGTCACTGTTCAGTTCATGTATAAGAAATCTTACGCGATATTAACGATCCACTCATTCTTTACATTTTGAAATAATTTGGTACAACGGCAGTATTCAAGAAAGGAAAATATCGCGTAACAAACTCTAAATAATAAAACCTTTTTACAGATTCCGACGACGGACACTGCAGCGATATTCAATTCGGCAGCATACTTTAGCGAGGATTCAGCGGCAGATCGACTATTTGTCGTTACCAATCCCTGACTACGTGCTGTATATTTTTCGTATATATTGTATCATATTAATTCCACGATGTCACTTAGCCATATCGGAACGAATATAATTAAACTATATGTATGATAAATGAAGACAACAACGTCGCACGTTAGACTTATTGGGGCATTTTATATTTGTTTATATAACATGCATATTCCATGCAATATTAAATATATTAACAATGTTTATACGTATAGTGCAAATGTTTTATTATAATTTTAACTATTTACACATAATTTTTTATGAGATACAATTTAATAGTGTTATGATCAATTATTGAAATACAACTTTTCAATTGTTATCAACTGAGAAAATGTCAGAATAAGTAGGATTGTTTGGAAATAATCTTCGATTATGGCCGTACAACTATCTAGTTATTTAATCAGAAAGCAAACCAGAATTTTTTAAATGACAGTCATTAACTTCATCCCGAATTAGCTCCAATTCTATAGCTTAATAGTAAAAAGGCTCGAATACTCTAAACTGCGATCTAACTCGAGCTTTTGTAGAAAACTGATAGATACACTTCGTAAAGTTCTCGTTTCGTGGCTGTCGGTCACTAAAATAAACATATTTCTCTAAAGCTTTTGTCATTTGTTGATTTCTGAATGTCTGCTATTCATTGTTATTAACTTTACTTGAGTAAATGGAATTATATTCATTGTTGTTGCATGTTTATTGTGAACATATTACTGCAGCCGTTATGTTACGACAGGACTACTGCTGTGACGAATAATTATTTTATTATGATAGGTATCAGGGTATTTCGACTTGTCAATAAAATTTTTTGTTAAACAAAACAAAAATATTAGTTTATTTATAAATTATAAATAGAATTTGAAAAAGTAATAATCAAACGAAGTCGTATAAATGCTTTATTGACGTTTGTAACATCGTATTTACATTGAATTTATTTTTTCCAGAGTGTGATAAGTAATTACAACCTACGGTTAGCTTTTTTGTTGTCCAAAAACTCTTTCAAACATAGATAATGTAAAGATACGATGCTTTGTCTACACGTAGACTTTAATATAGTGTCCCGCTTTACCTGTAAAACTACGATCATATTTTATTGAGCAAAGTAAATAAAATATATTTTTTAGTATGAAAAAAGGCAAAAAATAATTTGACTGATAGTGTAATTAGCTTTTGATTAAAAATAGAAGGAAAAATTATTTTTTGTTGAAAATAAAATGAAATTCACTTAAAATTTATGTTTGGACGTAACATGAGGACTATTTTAACGAAATCATGTAAAATTTGATAACATTGTTCGTTATATCATTGTTTGGATTGCTATTCATGAAATAAATTCATCCAACTTTCAGCAAAGCTCCTCGAATTATCAAATTTCTCATTGAAATGGCCTTTGCAATAATGAACGTAAATATTATGTGACAATAACTGCCTGCAATTCTCACATGTTGACCTTGGACACGCATTACCACGTGACTATACAGGACGCTCGGACACTCGAAACAGACATTTTGATGCAACTCTGCCGAATCATTCGCATATTGTCGCATCAATATTAAACGCGTGATCACTTTGACAACACACAAGCGGCGACCTTCGAAAATTGTCAACTTAAGTTGCCATCGCCGAGTGGATATAATGGTAAGTTCAATTTATCCGAAACCTAAGATTTTTTTTTAACTATTACTTTTGTGCGAACGGGTAAATGTCTGCCATGACTACAAAATGCTATACTCCAAACACTTTCCGCATATATATAAATATGAGGCCTAACCACTAACAGGTCTATGGTTTCTGCGGGTAAGCGCCCTGAAAGTGCCAGTCAAATAGGAACAGTAGAGTATTACAGCAAAATCGCGATTCGCGACTACAGCTACATAGTTTGGCCGAAAGGGACGTGTGTATATACATACATACACACCACACACAGACACACATACACATATCTGCTTTTCTGTTCTGGTGCGTTGTTGCGCGCGCACTCTCTCTCGCTCTCTCCCTACAAATTTTTTTCTTCACTCTTGGCAGCAGCAGCAGCCAGCAGCAGCAGTCAGCACAAGTCAGCAATAATCAGTGGTGTAGTGCGCGTCGACGATAACTACGGCGACAACGACAACGGCGACATTTGCTTGATCGCTACGGTTGTCCTTACGTATAGGAAGCAACAGAGCCAGAGCATCGATTCTCTTCGAAGAAGATACGCGCTTGGGTTGCGCTGCTTTCGCTCTCTTTTTCTCCGATTTCTTCTGAACCCACAGTCAAAGTTTGCAAATAACCAACGTTCGTATCAATGTTGTCTGGCAATGGTGTGTAAGGAGAACGTGGTATCATGGTTTTCAAGTCTGTCCAGGTGAGTTACTGTAATAGCAACATCACTTGCAAATGATTACGTGCGAGCTAGAATTCGCTCTCTCTCTTTTTCTCTCTCACTCTCTCACTCTGTCTTTTCCGTTCGCTCTGTCTCTGTCTGATTCGCGCGCGCTTTGTGTGTGTCTTTCTTCCTCGCTAGAACGACTACTATGTGCATGGGCTTTCTAGGCGCTCTGCTCCTCTCTGCCTCTCCCTCACCAAGAGCTTTTCCGGATCTCGTATTTCGATCTACGTCTATTCTGAGGCCAACTACGGTCTTTAGCTATGCCGGAATACAGTCGATGAAATTTTTTTCACTCCTGATTGCTTGAGAGAGAATTTCTCATAGGCTCGCTATTTCTCTCTCACTCGCGCACGCTTACTTTTTCAGCCTGCGAACGCAGGGCGTTTGCATATGTTACTCGCGACCGCCAGCCAGGATGTTTGTTTGGATGACCATGACAATTTTCTTCGAGATATTGTCTGTTTATTTACCCGCGCCTTTTTCGGTACACTTACGTACGGTGATCGAAAAATCCTGATAAGAGTTAGTTGCCCACTTAGTAATATTTATGTTGCATGAATGTGGAGTTCCCTACTCTTTATTTTGCTGATCTGTACAATTCTAGAATGTCACTGATTTTCATTGCTTTTGGGTGTGCATTTGAACTCAATGCAGCTGTATGAACTTTCCTCATTTGATTTACATACTCAGGGTTACTATAGTTTCTACAAAAAATTATTATCAATTAATCACTTTTCAAATATAAATGAAATGGAAACTCTATAAGTCCTTGAAATTATGTAAACAGATTGTAAAACTTTTTCATGTCTATTTGTGTAAAATTTTTTAAACAATGTTATAAAGTCAACTTTTGATAACACCAAACTTTATCCTGCATATTTTCAAATAGTTGCTAATCAATATTTGAAATATTTACTAGTTTTTTCAAGCATTAACATATCAGTATCTACTTTTATTTATTCATAAAACATTAGTATACCAGTAATAAGTTCACTTTCATAAAATATTTATGTATATACATTTTGCTTGTATTATTTATCATACTATCATTTTTCTGATAAGGTTCTGATTTTTTTTATTTTAAATAAATTCATGATATGTCTTTTTTGTAAATATTCTACCAGTTGTACAAGAAGATACAATCAGACATTAAAAGTTCAGATAAATAATTTTATATGAAATGTTGATTAATTGAAGATGAATTTGATGAATGTTTCAGTTATAAGCGCATAGATGTGATGTGCACATTGTTAAACATGTGCCTACCGTTTGAAATACGGTTCTTTGGCACTGTTGTAGAGGATCTGGGCAAGCGGGACTATAATGTCCTGCGAGACACAGAGCATCGTGCCAATAATGTATCTGACCTGACCGAGTTCACAAATCTCAGCATGACTGACAAGCGCACAAGGCGAAAGCTTGCTCTGTACACAGCATTGCTACAGTCGTGCAGTCACAGCTGTGCAGGGGTCCTGTACAAAATTTTGTCAAACCTTGATTTTCAAGAAATTCAAACTCTTGTAAACGGGACCAATTGTTCATCAGATGAACAGCCATTGGAGGAGTTACTTTTGCTCTACACTATGGCTGTCAATCATCCAGCTTTTAATTATGAGCAGAAGAGTACATTTGGGAATGTTTTAATAAAGCTAAAGACAGAACACAAGAATCTAAAAGATTCTAGATCTGACTCCTTGTCCTTCAAATCACAGGTAATACATGTGTCTGGTCAGTCATGCATTTGACTAATTCAAATTTTATCTTAACAAGTTTGGCATAAAATAAACTAATCATATTTTTCTAGAACTGCATACCTTGTACAAATCAAAATGACAGAATAGACCCGGATATTTTAACCAACATTATAGCTCCTCCACCTATGCAAACCTTTCAAGGTAAATCACTTGTTAATCTACTTTTTAGAGTAGTTTTTCCAACTGGTGTAAGTGTTAATGTGGTGACATCATTCTTCTAGTTCCATAAAAGGTTATATAAGATTTTTAATTGCAGAAAGTAAAGATTTTTTATGCTGTTTTATGTAAAACTGCCATTTATTAAGAATCATCATTATCTCTTTCCAATATTGTTTTGAATATTTTCAGTCACACAATTATATTTCCAACAATATTTGATTTAATGGTTTATTGATATTAAATAACAGACTATGAAGTAATCCATTAGCATTCATAATCTTTAAAATTTTAAGGCAGATGCACTTTTTAAAACATAATATCCAAATATTTTACATCACTTGAAACTACATTCATTAAAACTATGTCTTGTTCATGATATTTTTAATTGTTTCAAGAATAATTTTTATGGATAATGTTTCCAAATTGATAGGTGAAATGCAATTGAGGAATAACACTATTATTGCTGGAATACCTTCAGGAGGTATATCTCTTACATCACCAGGACTGTGTCCTATACCAGGACCCGAACAGATGAGTATGCCACCACCTGGACATTCACACTATGTGCATGTTAGTTTTCCTTCGGTACAGCCAATCCAAGGGTGGCCAGGTCAGATGATGATGGGTCAAAATCAGTTTATGTATCAACCGAGTGAGAGTAGTGTGATCTATTCTCCCTCAGGCAGCCAACAATCTTCGCCGACACATTCTCAGGCCCACAGTCGAAGTAACTCGCCCATCGGCCACGTGCAGCAGCAGCGCAAAAATAACAGTAATAACAATAACAATGCCAGCAGTAATGGACTACAACAGCAGCCACCACGTACTTCGTCACAAATCACGCAACCTACTTCCAATATTCTCACGACATCGACGTCCACGTCGAGCACTCAAACTACGAACTCCACTAACTTGGTATTTTTTCATTTATTTTACAATTATTTTTATTTCTTTTTCTTGAGTTTTGGATTCTGGAATATTTTATATTTTTTATCTATAAAATAATATGCCACTGTTCTCTTCTATTTTTAACTAAACTGCTTTCGTTATCGTTTCTAAAATTAACGTTTGAATCGTGAGAATAGAAGCAATTCTTTTACAAGCCATTTATATCACGCGTCATTTTTAAAACACTTTTTGCAGTTATAATCTACTAATCTTTTGCTTTCTTGCGATCGTTAATTTTATTTTTATTTGATGGCAAGTTCTTAGAATAATAGTCGTTAGTCATACCTTAACTCAAAAAAATAAAAGTAAATAATTTTATTACGGGAGGCATATATTTCCATTAAAAAAAAACAGGATAACTAAATTTGTTTATTATTGTAATTTTCAGGGTACGGCAATGTCACTACCGCCACTCTCGTCAATCAGTACTAGCAGGAATCAGAACATTATTTCAGGGCAGTCGCAGATACAGCCGTTGATGCCGCCTGTGGCGCGACCTCCTTTCTCGTTGAGTGGACATCAACAACAGTGGCAACACAATAACAACGTTGAGACAACCATAACAACTAGTACAGTGACGGTCACTTCTAAGCAGCAGCAACAGCAGCAACCGCCACCGCCCCGATTAAAGTCAACTCATTCCGGCGAGTCACTGCGCGAATCCGGCAACAAGGAAATGCCCAATTTCAAGGGTAATTTTCAAAACACTGTTAACAACGAGGTATGTCTGCGACTACTTTATCAAAGCTGATTTCGTGTTATCTGTGCTTATTCTTTTCTTCTTTTTATTGCTTACAGATTAAGAGACTGAGTGATGAAGATATATCGAAGTCAGATCTGACGTCGAACGCACTGAATAACATGAAAACACAAACGGCCAACGGTTTAACTCAGACGCCGGAGAAGAAAATCGAAGGCTCCATTAATATTCATTCTACGAATGAATCAATTGAAAATGAGGTATGATTTGCATAAATTGACCTGATCAAAATTATCCTTGATTTTTTAATATAGACTTTTTATTCGCAGATTACGCCCATGGACAATGTTGTGGTAGACAATTCCATAGTGAAGCCTTCCACGATACCGGATCCAGCGATAATAAACTATCATCAACCAAATCCAGCTTCTATGCCTAATTTGAGGCGGTATCCACACCAGATGGATCCATCACACATGCCGTTATTCCCTCCTCATACCATGTATCACACACAGAATCCTTGTTACCAATGCAATCCTGCTGGGTTTCCATTAAATATTCAAAATCGTTATGCCAGGTAAGCGGTGTTTTTTGGAACTTGGGTTCCATATAAAAAACGTAGCTCTAATAACATTGATTTTTTCAAGTAGGAATCCCACAACCCTATACTGCGTGACAAATCAACTGCAGGCATTGAGGCTCGACCCGGAGAACAATCGTAATTCTCAGAGCAGTAGTTCGGACAGTACCGGTAGTCGCTCACCACCAGAAACACCGCCTGCGTTGCAATGGATGGGCAACGAACTTAACTCCACACCTGTTTCGACAGTTGTCGAGCAACAACAGCAGCCACATATGACAAACGTTCCACCACCCCTTCATTCCATTCCCGCGTCTCAAGAGAGGCGGCCGTCCCGAAAGAACCAAAGCCATTTAATGCGACAGAAGAGTCATTCGTCCAACATGGTGAACGGCGTAGTTCCACCTCCACAACAGCCACAGCAACAAGCACCTCAGCAACAGCAACAACACCAACAAGTACAGTCGACAGCGGTAACGGGATTCCAGGTGCCGCCGCCAGGCTACGTGCCGCATCACTTTACAGGTTTGAGGCCCGCGACTACGGGTATTTATTCGAATTTCACGCCCGCTTACGCGCGACCTGGCTACCCGATCGCCGCCACTACCTACCAGCACAACGGCGAGATGATGTATCAGTATTCGACGCATCCTCCTCCGCCAGGCAGCACAGCTCCTCCACCGTCACCGTCGGCAGCCGTCCAGACATCGCAGCCACCACCCCAGCAGACGCAGCCTAACTTTTCCCAACCTCCGCCACCACTTCCAGTGACTTATGCATCGGTCAGCGTGCCACCACCACACATCCCACCCAAAACATCGTGTTACAACTGTGGCAGCACCATGCACCTGGCCGCCGACTGCATCGAGCAGACCATGGAAGATATCACGAGGAGAGGTACGTTATCGTGAGGATACACTTATGATTTTTATGCTAACGATTGCTGACCCGGATTTTTTATCGTGTTTAGTACGTTTTGAGTGTTTTTTTCTTCTGAGAAAAGGAAATATTCCACTTTGACAATTGACCTTAGTAGGCCGAAAGGAACCTTGTTGGTTCGCGCTGGACTTTAGGTTGAAAAAAATGTGGCATTTAGTATAACGAGCAATATGTATAATTTACGACATTAATTATGCATATAAGTCTGTCTGAACGTATACTTTCATAATCATAAAGAATACTCAAAAATCAAGTTTAGCTATAATTGTCATTTTTTGAATTACTGTACTTCATTGTGATTTTGAAAATGTTTCTTTTACGTAATTGTTAAATACAAAAAATGTCAATGATTAATATTTTTAATTTTATGGTATTTTCCGTAGTCTGAGTGTATAAGTTGGTTAATGACAAGTTAATTTTTTACTCTTAAAAGTGAAAACAGCTCGAACTAAATTTTATTCACTTAAATTTTTCGATTTCACTGGTTAATAACATCTCGCGCTTTTTATTTTTTTTAGCAAGTTGTTCGCGCCAACTTGTAAATATCGAACGTTCGTTTGATGTTGGGCGTATGTTCGTTTGGTGTGTGTTTTAGCCTCGTACCGGTTGGACTATACGACGACGAAACCAACAGCTGGCAGTGGCGATCAGCAAAACCAGAGCTCCGACAAGTGATCCCCTGCCATTACTTGGTACGAGCAGAAGCAACTGCAGCAATGTGTGAACAAAGCCGAGCTCGAGCTGGAAGTTAAGCACTACTCACATCTTCACATTCGCCTCATGATCATCATGCACCGCTGTACTACTACTATGGTACTGTTATGAGAGACACGCTCGTCAAGTATTTTTTTCTTTAAGACGATGCGTAGTGCCATTTCACAATCCATGCATAATTTATTCTTATGCCCAATTATCAAGTTCTTTCGTTAAGGCAAAAATCTATTGTTAACCTTGGATTAGTGGATCGTATATGCCTGTGTTACGTAAAGATTTTGTTTTTTCGTTTTTTTTTTTTTTTTTTTTTTTTTTTTTTTTTTTTTTTTTTTGTTTTTTTTTTTAACAAAGCAAAGATAATACCGTACGTATATTAGAGATAAAATCCAATAATGTTTTGGTTAATTATTTTGTTATATTGTTATCGTGTGATAAAATTTTCAATATTTTTTATAAATAATTTTCAATTGAGTTGTAAGTTCGAATTGGTAATATTACTCAACAATGGCTACGCGACGTTTCTTTGTTTTCCATACGGAGATTGAATAATCACGGGAAAGACTGCTAAATTGAGATAATGAAATTTTGTAAATAACGATGAATTTGAGTCAATTGATATTTCCCGTGCGTGATTGCATCGAGCTGCGGGGTACTTTTCTTCTAATGCAAAGGGTAAAACTGTTTTGTGTTTCTTTTTACAAAATTCTGACATGACAACGTCGCCGTTAAAAAAAGCAGTGATAAAAGCAATCATCACTATTGGCTCTATTTCTGTTGTTGTCGAGATCCTTTAATTCGCCAACAACTATTGACGCTGCTATAAGAAACACATACACGTACATGTCTCATTCACACATCCACTCACAATGCTTAGCTGAATGCATAGTTCTCGTGCGTGAAAAGGATACCATAACTGTTCGATTGTCTAGCTGCCGTTGCGCTCCTACGTGTGTTTAAACGATAGATGTAATTGATGAAATTATAACGATAATAATGATAATGATAATGGTGATGAATGAAAGAGAGTATAGCCAATGGATGCTGTTTTCAAGTTATTCTTTTTGTAGGAAAAAAATATGAGAAAAAAGGTTAAAAAAATGAAGGGGAAAGAAACGAAATAATCTATTGGTGTGGTTTTAGTAATTTTATATTATAATAGACTTTTATTTCCCTGGCGCAAAAGAAAAATAGACGATTCGCTATTGCGGAGAACAACGAAACGTTGATTTTGTATATTTGTGTCCAGTCTCATAGACGCACGTATACGCAGTAAACAAAGCAAGAGGAGGCAAACAAAAAAAAAGATACATGTCGAATGTATATTAAAGATATGTATCTTATAGAAAAGTCACGAAAACGCTCATTATTTTTTCTATTTGAAGCGAGCCCAATTGTTTGTGGCAGCTAGTCATAAGCTGGTGCGTGCGTAATATTATGATATTTAGCGGTGCTGAACAAAATTTATTGATCGAAGTGAAGTAGGTTTTTATGATTTTTGACGATCTGGTTTTTACAGTATTTCGTACGTAGATACATAGCGTTCGCGATAAATTTGTTTTAAACATCCTACAAATACATTTTGTTCTATGGCGCTTGTATATTAATGTACTTTTTTGTTTACTTGTTACCTTGAATTGACTCGGGGACACGAAAATTCTTACGTACTAAAATTATATTTCCTGCTAAAAAAGATTATTACGTAGTTTTTGAAACTCGTCCAAGTTAAATAAATTGATTTGTTAGTTTCAAATAATTGATTAGACTGTGAAAAAAATAAATTTAATTAAAGTCGAGTGCCATTTCAAAACTGCACTCCGTGACGAATGGGAGAAATAATAAAAGAAAACTTGTTTCTTAGTGATTCAGTGATATATAGGATAGGAAACATCGGCTTTCCCGGTAATTTTGTAAGCTTTAGAGATGTAAAACTCGTATAGACTTTTTCTGAAATCACTTACTTGCCCATTTATAATAAATAAAAAAATTATCACTCATATAGCTAGCTTCTATTTTTTTAGACAGTGCAGTTGTGAATTGGGAAAATGTAAAAAAATTTATCGTCTTTTTTATGGATGTAACAAGTAAAGAGATTTCCGAATAACTCTTATTTATTTTTACGTAGATTGAGTAAACGTAAACCATTATAAATGAACGTATTTCTCCAATTTAGCTTTTTAACTTATCGATAACTAGAAGAGAAATAACGAATAACCGCAGAAAACTATTGGACAGCGATTAAAATTGTTTTTTAAATAATAATTATTGTTGAAAATTGATTATAAAAGATGTGATTGGCACAGACTCGATGGAAGAATCAGTATTACGTTTTTACCATGTCCGATGAAATCAAAACTTGACCAAAAAAAAAATGATGGACCATATCAATGTTGGATCTGCATTACGGGAAGAAAAGTTGAGAGAATCACGATGACGAAAACTTGAGAAAAATCATTCTTTCCTTTAAATGGTATAGGTCGTTTAACAAAAGAATTTAAGTATTGAGAAATCTTTATGTAATAAAGGCATAAAAAAGAGGAAATCATTTGCGAGCGAATGAGAAAAGGCTTTATTGTTCTATTTTCGAATTCACTTTTGCATAAATAAGATAATATTCATAGGCAAATAAAATTATCCTTGTAAATCGCGATGGCATAGTGACTTATATTATGTAAGTGAATGAAGATTGCAGTTTTTACGAAAAATCATATATGAAAAGTACAATCATTCATTGATGAACTCTGACAGTCAGGCACAAATTTGAAAAAAGAAAAAACTGCAGTCTACGTAGTGATAAATATCTAGTTGCATAAGTGATGATGTTTCTATAGAGTACTATCAAACTTAAAAAAGATAAAAATGTCCGAGAAACGTAAAGATTACTTATATTAACGTTTTCTGGATTATAAAGCTATCAAAGTAGCTCCGTAAGTAGAGACATGAAAATAGAAATTATAGAAAAAAGTTTTATGACGTCTCTTCTGTGAATGATTTACCAGAAATAATACTTTAGAGACTGTGAAAAACAAAATGTTATAGGATTGATAAATTTAAGTGGTAAAGACTGATGTAAAACTTTTTCAAATAATTTTCGCTCTTTGGAGATAAATTTCGCTGTTAGGTGTGTTTTTTCAAGAATAACCGAGGGAAATAAATAATAAATTATCAATAGCGTTCAACGTTCTATCTGAACGAACGTATCTCGAATGTTAACAGTGAATACTTTACTTTATAATGAGCTGTCGAGTGAAGAGTTAAAGTTTTGCAGTAGAATTGTAAAAACGGTCAATGTTCCTGCCGTTGACGTGTCGCAGGAACACCGATAAAAACAATCGGCTCGTCGTATATTTTCTTCCACTTGCGTGTATTTTCCTATTTTTCTCTTTTTTAACGATTAACGCTGCTGTACCCAGTGTATAAGTGCTTAAAATGATACAGCAACCCAACTGCCATTATAATGGGTAATAATCAACTCTGATTGCGTGTGAACGAATTTTTCTAAGTTTTATAACAAAAGAAAATAAGGAAAAAATTGAGCGTGACTTATTTAATTTCTCTGACATTTATCGTTGCTTATGTTTGTTGTGCGTACGACGTCAATTTTGTTTCTCGTGTTGAATGAGACACGTGACTGTTTATTTTCCAAAATAATATTCTTTTCATTAACTAATTTATTCGTTTTCATTAACTCTCTTATTACTCGTATTAATATCACATTATCATTATTATTGTTGTTGTATATCTGTCATTATCATCATCACATTAGTAGTTCTATAATAATAGATGTTACCAGAGAACGAAACGCGCGAATCGACACAATAACGAGAGACGTACTCGGCGTGAAAGTCAAACGTCGTGAGCTTGAAAAGCTACGCGAGATTCACTTTCCTAAATAAAAATGTTGCATTGAAGCTTTGTAAAACTTTTGAAGAAAACAAAATTTAAATAATAACTAATGGTAGAAACGGAATTTTAGCCAAACCAAAGTACTTACTCGCGTAAAGAGGTAAAAAAATATTGAGAATGATGACAATTTTGCCGCTGTTTCGTCGCTTCGCACACTAGCACAAAAAGACGTCTCCTTTTCTTTCTTTTATATTTTAATTTAATTTTATAACCCGGCGTTTTTATTTTTTGTGAATTATCGTAATAAGCGTTGCTCAATGAATGAGAAACATAAAAAAGACAATGCGGCGTCAATCGATTTAAGTAATTTTATAATAGTTGGACGAGCGCTGGAAATGTGTTTTTTTATATATACTGTGAAACATCGGCGCTCGGCGTCTAAATAGTAATGCCCGTCGAGATTGAGTGAGAGTGTAAAAGTGAGAGGGAATGAACAAAATATATAATTAGTGGTCTCGGATCCGTTGATATTTTTATTTCCCCAAAAATGGATCCTGTTGTCCAAACCGAGAGACACACTCAGCAGCGCGCACGGCGACGACGGCAATGTTGATAAATAATTAATAGACGAATAAAAGAAAACGTACGGTAAAAAAAAAAACAGATACAACAACAAAATTAAAAAAAAAAATCACAAAACAGATAATGAAATAGCGTCGTAGTTTCGTGTGTGCCTGAGAACGTGTATATGAGAATCCTTACGTGATGATAAATAATACAAGATTGTAAGCGGTTTTATGAGAAGAGGTGAATTATATATTGTAAATTAAATTGAAGATATGATAAAACGTGATTGCCCGCCTGACGGTGATTTTAAAAATAATTGAATAAAAGAAGCGCGGGTGAATTAATGAATTATTACAAATTCGTATACTGATTAAATGCCTGTGTGTGTGCATGTTCGTGTGCGACAAGCTTTTCGAAGCGAATGAAACGTTGGATGTAAATGTGTAAGAGACTATGTGTGCCACTAGATCATGTAAATATATATAAAATTATAAAAACAAAAAAAGTTTGCATACGAACATGTGATGTGTATATACACTCTTTCTATATATATATATATATATATATATATATATATATATGTGTATATATATATATATATATATATGTGTATATATGTGTGTATATATATATATATATATATATACGAAAAATATCGAGATATATTTGTAAATTCTGTTATCCGAATGCATTATGAATATTTTAACCTCCTGTAATAAAATATTTAATAAAAAATGTTACCGACCAAAATTTACTCTTGCCTCACTGCCATTGTTAATTGGCATCCTTTATTGGACACTACTAACCAAAATCAAAATCAATTACTTCGTTCCTTAATTAGTGAAAATCTTACTGCTGTCATTCCAATATTAGAAAGTAGAATGTGTCTGATTAATCTCGACTTCGGATAATCATGAAAATCAATTCAAAATCACGGTTCTATCAGTTTGCTGGTGTAAAATAATATCACGCAATAATATTATGTTTGTACAAAAAATTAACATGCAACTGATGTATTAATCTATCCAGTCAACGAGAAGTCGACTTTTTTTCGAAAGCAATCGATCAGTAGATCTCGTTCTGATTAATTACATCCCTTCCCACCCGCAGTCTCGACGGGACAAAGGTGAAGGTTTCTTGCGACTATCTACGACAAAAGTTTAACCGTTGTCATAATTGAAATATACGTCTGCACGAACGGACTGAAGTCGTTAGTTGCTTCAAGCCGGTGATCAGCCTGAAAAGCACTTCGTTATTGATATGTTTGTCGTTTCGAGTGAATCCCGACACGATCTTGGAAAGCGGAATCGATGAATTGCAAGCCGACGCGAACTCGCGAAAACGAGGCTCGGAGTTTGCAAGCAGACACAACGCACGCGGCATATTGGCGTCGTCGCCGCTGCTATAGAAGGAGCAGATATCATCATCGAAACGCGAAGGCTACGCGGCCCGTCGAGTGCATTAAAGCGCAGCGAGAGAGGGAGAGAGCTTTTGGGCTTCTATCGGATCGAAGCGACGCGCCGGCGCACAGCACTTCCGCGCCGAATGATCTGTCCGTCTGTGGGCTACTTCTCGCGTCGCCCCCTCGGTGTACTTTTGTTCGACCCCCCGTCCCCCTGCCCCTTCTCGACGATTGGACGTGCGTGCATCCATCGGCTTCGCGATCGAGCGGCGAAGTCGCGGCATCCGCGCTGCTCGGAGACCGACGAGGCTCGGTCAAACGGAAAAGCCGCGAGCTCGGCTGGAAAGCTCGCTCGGTCGGCGCTCGCGGCGGCTCGATTGGCGGAGCACGCGAGAGTCCGGCAGGCCGGCGAGAGGCCCGCGGAGGAGAGAGGAAAGGCGGAGAGCGCGCGGACATCCTTGACCAGCAGCGGCAGCGGCAGCGGCGGCGGCGGCGGCGACGATTCCGGCGCGTCGCCGTCAGCGCTGCAGCAGTGATGCCTCGCGACGTCATAGAGAGGCGAGTGGGGGCGGAGTGCAGGTCGGAAGGGGCTGCGCGGAACGGCGCGGCGCCTGCGCGGCAGAGCTTTGGATCGCTCAATATTCATCCCTTGGAGAGCCGCGGCGACGGCGGCGGCGGCGGCGGCGGCGGCGGCGGCGGTGGCCGTTCGCTCAGTCTTCGCGCGGTGCCCCCATCGCTCGCGACGTCCTCTCGCTCGAGCGCCCCGAGTCCACCAAGACAGCCAGCACCGTCGACATGGAGAAGAAGGAGCAGTTCTACATGCCGCCGCCGAAGCTCGACAAATGGGAGAGCATGCGGCTGTTCCTGTACAACTCGGAGACGGGCCAGGTGATGGGTCGCACCGGCTCCAGCTGGGGTGAGTCCAATCTCGAGCCGACGGGCCCGCGGCGACGCCCCGGGCCCCGGGCGAGGCAGCGGCAGCGGGAGGGGGTGGCGTCGCATCGGCGCGGACCTCCTCGTCGGCGGCGGGCGTCGCTCGGGCGCCCGCGACCACGGTCCGACGAGCGCTCCGCCGACATTTTGTCGCGGCGCTGGGCTGCGCGCGCGAGCCAGCAGGGAAAGTCGACTGGGGCTATCCGATGGGCTGTTCGCGATCGACCCGCGCCACTCTGCGACACCGGATGCCCGTCGCTCTCTCCCTCGACGGATTCGATGGAGGGATCCTGGGCTTTCCTTTCGTTCGGAGACGCAGAGGGCGAGAGAGAGGGAGAGAGAGAGAGAGCCAGCGGTTACATAACTGGGCGGTGCGATATCGACGACGTATAACGTGCACTCGTGCGCGGATTTTTTCCCTCTCTCTCTCTCACACGTACGCACACACACACACACACACACACACACACACACACACACACACACACACACACACACACACACACACACACGTCGATTGTCGAGGATGCTGCCTGCTGGCGTTTTCCTTCGTTTTACGAGCTGGCGGTAATTTTCGCGCTCGTTACGCGCCTTGTCCAAGGATTCTTCGCCTCGCGCGTCCGGCGACGCGGACAGTCGCAGCGAGGCCCGGAGCGCGACACGTGCACGCGGCCCCGACGGGACGACGGGATTTTCGGGCTTTGTGGGTCGAGCGATCGCGCCGCGAGCAAGGGAACGTGGCGCGCGACGGCGGCGGGGGGTGCGGCGAACGCAGGCCGCCGCGCAGCGAGAAGCAGGCCAAAGAAAAATTAGCGCTCCCCCGCGCTCGGCTCGCGCGAGCTCCGGAGAATCCGTACGCGCCGCGCGCGGCTATAGACAGGACGCTGACGAGAGAGATCAATAACCCGGGCTGGTGGCTCGCGCGCGAGCCAGCGCTACGGGGTCGTAGCACTTCCGAAGTGTCGCCTCTCGCCTCGCCCGGGCCGTCGCTCGTCAGCGCGGTGCCAGCGCGGATCGATGACGCGCGAGCCATCTCCGGCGAGCTGGTGCCGCCGGGAGGTCGCGCCTCGCTCGGCCTTGGCTCGCGAACGAAAATTTTCGTCGATGCCCACGTGCGTGTCGCAAGCGACTGCGAGAGAGCGAGAGAGAGTGAGATCGCGCCTTCCAATTCAGGCCAATTAGCCGCAACCTCGTAATTCGTCGGCAGGCTATTTCGAACGATCGACGCATCGGCCTGCGCGCTGATCTCGCCGCGAGCGCGACACTTCGCGTCGGTCGACCGGCCGTGCAAGCGCGACGAAGCTCGCCGATTCGCGGGCTCGGACATGGTCCCCCTTGCGCGCCACTGATTTTCCCGTGCGTGGATCGATCGGCCGCTCGCGCCCCGATGCGCGCGCGACGGCGGCAGCGCGACTGGCGCACCGCTCGCCCCCCGTGCCGTCCTCCCTCCAACCGATCGCGACGTCTGGAGATCCGAGCGAGCAGCGGAGCGCGCTCGTAATGCAACGACAGCCAGAGACGTAACGCTGGGACTCGGTGTTTGTTGCCGCGCACAGCCAAGATCCTGATATTCTACCTGATCTTCTACATCGTGCTGGCGGCATTCTTCGGCGGCATGCTAGCGGTGTTCTACCAGACGCTGGACAACCGACAGCCGAAGTGGCAGCTGGACGCCTCGCTGATCGGCAGCAATCCGGGACTGGGCTTCCGACCGATGCCGCCGGAGAGCAACGTGGAGAGCACCCTGATCTGGTACAAGGCCAGCGACATCGGCAACTACCGCCACTGGACCAACGCTCTCAACGTGTTCCTCGAGGGTAAGGCCGCCTTTGTTCGCCCCCCCCCCGCTCGCCCCCTCCCCCGCCGAGCTGACCGCGCCGGCGTCTGGTTGCGCGCAGGTTACAACAAGACGGGCGTGGGCGCGCACAACCAGGAGAACCGCATGATCTGCGAGTACGGCAAGCCGCCGGTGCAGGGCAAGGTGTGCGACGTGCTCGTGGCCGACTGGCGTCCCTGCACGAGGAGCAACTCCTACAACTACCACAAGTCCGCGCCCTGCATCTTCCTCAAGCTGAACAAGGTAACGCCGCCGGGCGCGCGATTATTGATTTCCGAGCGAGCGAGCGCGCGCCGGCGAATATAGGGCGCGCTCCTGGCCGATCCTCGCGCCCGCTAAACGCTCGTCCTTTGCCTCGGCCGCCTGCGCAGATCTTCGGCTGGCTGCCGGCCTTCTACAACGACACCTCCACCCTGCCCAAGAACATGCCGAACGACCTCAAGAACCACATCGCCAGCCAGAAGCCGGTCGAGCGCGACACCATCTGGGTCTCGTGCGAGGGCGAGAACCCCGCCGACGTCGAGAACATCGGCCCCATCAACTACATCCCGCGGCGCGGCTTCCCCGGCTACTACTTCCCCTTCAAGAACGACCCCGGATATCTCAGCCCGCTCGTCGCTGTGTTCTTCGAGAAGCCCAAATGTGAGTGCCGCCACGCGTCGCGTCGCGTCTCTCTCGCCGGACCGAGTCCGGGAGTCGCGGCTGCCCGCTCCGATCGCCACGGCCGCGTCGACGGCTCGCGGCCATCGGCGCCCGGCAGCCGACTCGAACGCGAGCCGGACCGACCCGCCTACAACGGCGCACCACGTTCGTGTTCGCAGACGGCGTGCTGATCAACATCGAGTGCAAAGCCTGGGCGAAGAACATCATCCACGACAGATTCGAGAAGCGCGGCTCGGTGCACTTCGAGCTGATGATCGACTAAACAACTCGCCACGCACGATCAGCAGCAGCTTATTACCACCAGCGATGAGAGCCAACCAGCAGCGGCGTAAACCACGGCGACCGTCACCGAGCAGCGACGCAGCAGCAACATTTTTTCCTTCTCTCGAGATCTCCGGCTTTCTCTGTCTGTCTGTCTGTCTGTCTGTCTCTCTCTCCCTCTCCCTCTCCCTCTCTCTCACTCTCTATCTCTCGTGCGTGCGAGAAGTTCACGGGCATCCACGATCGATTGGCGTTGTATGATATCCGGGAAGGTAGTGTCGAAGCGCCTCCGCGAGGGAGCCACACTCTCCGGGTCGGACGTGCCGCATTGCACAAACACAACGATGGATCTCGCATGCGCCTCCCCCCCCATTCGCCTGTCGCGCGATATCACTCGTTCTTTCTTTCGCCAAGTTCAACGGTTAATTGTCCATCGGGCTCCTACGATTGCTGCTGTTGGTGAGGGTTGCCCGCCACGTATCTATATCGAGCGCGACGAAAATAAAACCGCAGTGTTCTCCACAGACGTACTCTCTCTCTCTCTCTCTCTCTCTCTCTCTCTCTCTCTCACACTTTCGATTAGCTGCCTCTCGTCCTGTCCTAAATTACGCGCGACCGTCTTTTCGATCGCGGAAACTCCGTTGTCATGCGTAACGCGCCTCTCCTCCCCTCCCCCTAGCCCCCTTTCTCGCTCGAATCCGAGTCGACCGCTTTCTTTTTCATCCCCGGCACTGCGTCTGGTCGGAGCGTTCGCGTCGAACGACGCTGGTCGCGGACACTTTCACGCGCGACACAACCTATATTATGTACAATTGTTCGACTAATCGCGACGTAACGCGTTATCATGCGTACAATGTTTGTTTCGCTGTTTCGCCCTGTTATTTTTGGTTGGAATACGACCCTCCGATTATATATATAACAAACCCGCAACTGTCCCGCGAGAGTGTGTTGGCGACTTCTCGAACAAACAAAAAATAATAGGGGCTTCTATCGTCGAGCCGCGAGCGCGTATTTTTCTTATATATTATATATCGTTAAAACGAAGCGACGTGTACTTATTGATTATTATATGATATATATTATATATATACCAGACAAGTCATGGATGGATACGCCTTGGTGTTTTAGCCTTCTGTTGATAAAACCAAATACGAGAGAAATGAGTATTACTATTGAAAGCTGAATTTAAACAATTGATTAGAACGTTAAAATGCGCAAGAAGTAAGATTCAATTTTACCTCTTGAGAATACTAAAAAGTAGAGCATATAAAAGCAAAAGAAAAAAAGAAAATTATAAAAAAAATCAAGTAAAGCACCGATCGGAGCCTATAGGGAGAAATATAACAAAAAAAAATAAATAAAATAAAGTATTATGAGAATTTCACGCTGTATATTGATAATTACATGTATAACGTGCTGCTTAAATGACAAAAAATTAATACGTTCCAAAACACGTACACGCGCGAATTCGATTTCTTAGGCGAGCGCGAAAAAAATTAAATAACAAATAAAAAAAACGGAGCGTGATCTAGTTCGGTTCGACAACTATACACGTATACACACAAGGGAAAAAGGAACATTATTACACGTAGATTGCGAAGCAACCGAGATGCAGCGAGGGAAAAAATTTTTCGAAAACCACGAGGAAAAAAAAAAAAAAAAAAAAAAAAAAAAAAAAAAAAAAAAAAAAAATTAAGTAACTTTAGTGGCCGGTTGATAGAGCTTCGCGCGACGTGCCGAGCGACTTCCAGGCCGACGACTCTCTTTTTCCAGTTCCGTTGACTGCGCGTCTCGGCGTTTTACTTTCTCTCTCTCTCTCTCTCGTGCGCAGCGTCGCGACTTGGCGGTCCGCCTTGCCGATCGCGTCCACCTTCTGCACGAACGTGGAGCAGATGCGCGTCAACTAGACAGGACGAGGAATAACGAGAAAGAGAGTCGGCGGCCGATGCCAGAGAGCTGGTCGCGGGTCCTCGTCGTCGATACGATTATGTCATTGCATCTGTATAAATATATTTATTATATGATTCTATTAATGAATTTCGAGATTGAGGATTATTTCCTGGACGCGATCCGGGCTCATGTTACACATTTAAACTTAGAGAAACGATTATTATTATTATTATTATTATTATTATTATTATTATTACTATTATTATTATTATATATGACACATATATGTATATATATATATGTATGTATGTATATGTATGCATGTATATATATATATATATATATATATACGTGAGCGAGAGTGAGTGCAAGAGCGTAGTGTTGAATTAACGAAAAAAAATTAATAAATTAACTAAGTAACAAGCAAACAATAGCAAGAAAGAGAACAAACAATACGTTACAATAAATGTCACTGATTAAAAAAGAACAGCTAAGTGTTGCAGCGTCCGTGCAATGCGAGAGGAAGCGAGCGTGCACGGCATTGAAAAAAATTGACAGAAAACAAAGAAAAAGTTTCGATTGTAGGAACCATCGAGTACTGATGCGGCATAATTTCTGTAAAAGTGCGAGCGCGCGAGTTCCAAGCTTACTTTTGATAAAGACGCGAACGAAGACGCTCACCGTTACGATCGAAGGCTGCGCTGTGCACGCGGTCGAGCTTGCGACTCGCGCGCCCTTCCTGCAAACTCAAACCCGCGAGCAGCGTACATAACGATGAAACCTAATGGCATAAGAGACCACGAAGCAAACGGAATTACCCGCTGACACGCGAATGCGTGTGTGCGGGCAAACAAAAGAAACGATGACAAACGACAAAAATAAAGCAGAGTCACGCCGTTCGAGTCTGTGTATCCCCTCCCCACCCCCCCAAAAAAAAAACAAACAAAAAAATACGAGAATGAGAATACGAGTTGTTTCTTAAAAATGTAAGCGAAGAAATTACCAAACGTTGTTAAACTAAAAAAAAAAGAAAAAAAAGAAAAAAAAGATGTAGGAACGCCGGGCAGGTGATGGGTGCGAGACTGCGAGTGCCTGGGAGATTAAGCAAGAGTTTTTATTTGCTATATTACCACGAGTGAAATCAATAATAATAAAAAATATATAAATGAACGTAACGACAAGAAACGAAAGAAAAGGAACACGCGATACAATTGAGAAGCCGCTTTTGGTGTGCGTCGAACAAGATGTATATGCGAGTGCGTGCAAGCGAGCAAAAGGAAAGCAAGGGATGCGTACTTATTTGTCTTTAATTTTTTTCAGCGAAAGAGAGCGTTGATGTGCTAGGGAGGACGGACAAAAGATAATGGATAAAGAGAGACGAGCGACATTCTTGCACGACATTAAAACAGCGTTACTCGTTTAGCCGATGTATAAGCCTAGTTGATAAACATGAGAAACCAGTGACATGGAAAATACGCGATGGGCACTTTTTTTGGGAATAAAAACGAATAAGTAAAGTGATGAATAAAAAGACACTACTCTGACTTGATGCGTTTTGTCTATTATTTCACAAACCTAATTTTCTCTTCGTGATCCACTTGCAACTCTTGTTTCCTTTCATTCTTGTCTATCATGTTATAGCATTCGTACGATATTTTTATGATATTGTAGGAGATTCTTTTTTAAAATGTCTTGTAAAATTACCAGCTTCCGTTTCTCATATAATAGTAATTCTCTTCAGTTGTGACTGTTTACTTATTGCAAGCAACAATGTATAGGTAACAAGTAGTTACGTTTCAGTGGGATCCAACGTAGTTATATATCATTGTTTTTGTCGTACTGTAGATTTATTCCTTTTTTTTCTTTTTTCAAGAAATTGAATCTGATCGTTCTCGAAAAAAGTATAAAGCAAATGCAAGAATCTACTGCGGTTATTATCCAAGAAAGAGCGAGGTTTTTACGTCGTCAAATATATGAACAGAGTTGGATTTCATGGAAAGTTAAACAGAAGAATATAACAAAGCAATACACGGACGAACTAAACACAAAGAGGAAAAGTAACGAAGCGCGCGCGTACGCATATGCACGCGAGTCTAAACGAATTTACACAGCTGTCAGTAGAATCAGGCAAAGCTTTCGGAAGTGATAAACGATCGGGTGAACACGCGAACATCAAAGTAGACGCATGACAAACGAAGCTTGCGCCGCCGACCGTAATCGAAGGCCTACTGAACATTCAACTGGCATAAATGAAACAACGTAACTGGCAGCGGTGAGCACCGACCGACGATACGAAAGACGCAATTTCGGTAAAGCGAGCAACGAAGAGATCGCAGCGATATAGCTACCGAGGGCCGACCGAGCCACGACAAAGATAAGCCGATGGCGCAATTATCGGCGCAGTCGCGATTCCAGTAGAGACAGCTCGTGAGCTCTGCAAGCTACGGGTGCAATCAAATCCAGCACGGGACTCCGCAGCAGCGCCATACGTTAAGGCTTCAATAGCCAAGTTTTAATTAACGGAATTATTACACCTCAAAATCATTTGAGAAAAACTTTTCGCTTCTTACATCATTTCATCATTTCTATGTCTATACATATTATTCTGGCATTAATGATCAATTTGTACATTTTACCATTATTCTACAAACAGCAAGTAATCTGTAGTAAATCTTTCAATTATCAAATGATATTTTAAGGAGGCGCCATTTATCTTCGTATTTGATGACCTTTATTCCACTGATTTCATATTCAAACGTAAGTTTGATTTATTTGATAATTCTTCGAAATAATACTACTATCTCACGATTGATCACAGTGCGTGTCGCGAGTGATACTGACGAAATATCCGTCACTAGCTTTTTTTTAATAATGAATAACTTTTTTTATTCTCACACGGTCAATTTGATTAAAATTATTATCGTTAACCCGATCTTTAAGGTCGACAAGATTATTGTTTAAAAAACATCGATAAAACAAAAAGATATGCCTAGCATTCTAGATTCCTAGCATTGCCACTGAAAAAGAAGCAAACTGCACGCAGCGTTTAAGGGTGTCTGGCAAGTCTATGTGATCGCAGGCTTACCGACCGATGAAATAATAAACAGATGGCAGCGTGCTCCACGCTCCCGACTATTGGATAATTTTTCGCAATCTCAAAGCGATGAATTTTCATCTTCCTTATTACTCACGATTACATTATTCATTCATACACATTTACGTAATATTATAATGATATGCAATGAACGATTTTCATCGTTCATTGTACTTTAGACACAGCTTAATTTGAAAACAGGTAAGTCTGTCGTTAAGTTCAGTTGTAAGTCATGGCAGGCGTTCGTAAGCTCAACGTGCTCTTCGGCGTTTTCAAAACAATATTTCAAATTCTGATTTCATGACGGACGGAGCATTCGAGTTTTGTCAAAACTATAAACGAAAATTAAAGGAACACGAAAACTGTTTGCCTTGTTTCTGAATATGTTAATCAATAATTTGGAGTAGATTTAATAACTAATAGTTATTGTTTTATTTCCTCTAGTTGAATTAACGATATACGTTATTTCATAGCGTATCTTAAAAATAAGCGCAGTTTCATTGCTTTACGTTACTTTTAAGTTTTTCATTTTCACAAATTTTAAAGTCGTTGTTCGCGCAACGAACTTGGAAAATCAATATTCCAAGACACCTTGCTAGAGCATTATTCAATGACAATGTCAGTTTGTCGAAGCCTATTAGATCCGAGTTAATTGGATGAATCGGCGTATGACTTCTCTAATTTACCATTGAATCGGAAAATCGGCCCTCTTTGCACGTCGATATTCCTGAAACTTGCGATTCACGGCTGCCTCGTAAAATGTAGTAAATGCCAATTGAAACGCCACGTCGAATGGATAAAAAGCTGAAAGGTAGTAGCATCGTATTAAGATCTCTTAGGCAATGTCAAATTGCGAAAGCAACATTGATCGATTATATTATTAAAACGTGCGCGCCTGAACGATGCTTACCAATTGTACACCGGCTCGAACCGGACGACGCGCGCGCACTCCGCCGAATGTACGTCACTACGAGCGCAGTAAAAGTTAATGCTCGATAATACTGTAACTCTGCTATTCAAAAGACGTCTCTTTCGCCTATGCCGCTGTCATTTGCAAGTGGAAATTACGTTTGACGCGTCACCTTGACGCATTAAATTTTCTCGCTGGTTTCAGTGATTTTTCAGTGCGCGTACGTCGACGCGTCGCGCGCAACAAGACAATGGCAACTGATGAGCTAATCATTGACGGATAAGTATGTTGCGTGCAAAATACAGCTCGCACACAAGCGACATTGAGATGAGTTTTAATCATAAGATAGTACAACATTCTGTGATTGTCGGTTTTTCATAAATACAGACACGAAATGTCACTGGCAGTTGTCTAAAGATCGGTACTTCATGTGACACGCCTTGTTATTACGAATTTCATTGTACAGATGTACTTTCATTAATGCAGCTCGGTGCAACAACCGAATTTACCCGGTCGGAAAGTGGATCAGGCTCCTGACTGCGGCTCCTGACGGAGTGACCATTTCAATGCTCGTTCAAAATTTCATCACGAACTATTAATAATAACCGCGCACGCGCGAATCAAAATATCGATTTTCACAACTGTTCTGGAATACTCCGACTCTCTTAGTTTGTAATTTAAAAGCGAACGCAAAAAAGCTCTACCGTTGAACCATTATTACTTCACTGCAGAAACAAGCAGCACGTGGACGAGACAGCATATATAATAAGTCACTCTAAATCGTACATTTTTATTTTTCATTTAATTCTTGGAAATGACAATGACTCGGACATTTATCTCAGCATCGGCAAGGTACAAATAATGCTTTATGACTATTCTTTGACGGGGCAGAACGGGGGGCACGAGTTTGCGCTAAAGTAGCTGCGGATGATTTTGCGCAGTCGCCCCGTCGGCAAAAATCAGATTATATTATATCGATAAGAAATCAAAAGCGCGTTCTCATTTTTCTTCGATCGAAGCCGGCGACAGCTGGGCTTATCTCTAATTGTTTTTCCGATAAAATCACAGCACCATAATTATTCAGCGTTTCCTCGGCGTTAACTGCGTACGTAAAAAGGTATTTTCATATTTATATTCGTATAAATATCTGTCCAATCTCGATTCTGCTCCAACAAGGAATAATCGTGGAGCAAACCTTTCAAAGAACGATATTTGTGACCGTATGATATGTGAATTAGGACGCGAACCAGTGCTTTCAAAGGTTTCACCTTTGCAAAATTCGTGCACGCCGTTACCGATAAAAAAATTGTCGATTAAACGAGGTCACGTGAGCCGGAGACGTCGAGTTGTAAAATAGCTAGCTGGACGCAGCAACAGCACGGCAGATATGCAAAGAAGTGGCAGCGGCGAGTAGCGGTGGCGGCGGCGGCGGCAGCAGCAGCAGCAGCAGCAGTAGCAGCAGGAACGTCGGCAAGCTTGACATTAGCCCGCGGATGATTGAAAAAGAGATGTGCGGGATGCATAGATTGCGATCGCCGCGCCGGCGGCTGACCTTAGCCTCCAATTCATCGGCGTGCGCGCGCGCGCGCGCGCGGCTGATCGCGCGACAAGTTGCCGAGACTGCCGCTGCCGCGGTTCGGTTTGTAGGTCTGCGCGCCGCCCGGACGCCCGGCAAGGACGCCCGAGTACGCGCGCTCCGTTAGCCGCCGCGTTTTTCCGCGCGCCTCCGTACAATGCAATCAGCAGCGATACTCGCGTCGCTCCACGCCGCTTGCGAGCCCCGCGCGTCCCGACTGTTTTCACTGGCGAACACGGCCGATTTCGCGGCGCTCGTTCCCGTTTCGAGCGTTCGCTCGTGCGGCTGCCGGGCTGCTCTTTTGCTCGCATCAGGATATGCCGCACCTTACCTCATTGTCGTCGCCATTCCGCCGTGGGTTTCTCTTTGTACTGCCCTGTTATTTACCGAACGACGTTGTTGGAAAAAGAAGCGCTTCGTTCCTTGTAAATGAGTTTACGTGGGCGATTTGTCCGCAAACGGTTCGACATTAGCTCGCGAGACCTTTCGATGACTGGAAGTAACGACGCTCTTTAACTTGAAATGCGAAGGAAAGCAAATTTATTTACTCGTACTGCGCGATGCCTCCGTAGTGGGAAATTCCTCCGACGAAAAGATTTATTTGTTTGATCGGATAAATGCCGGCCGGTTAATGCATTTGCTCGGTTTCGCGCGCGAGCGTCGTCGGCTATTGTTCCGAGCGACTTCCGCTCGTCTTGTGTGGCGGTCTTTTAAGTAATTGAATGAAAACCGGGTCTAACCGGGTGAAAATTTGAAGCGTGTTGTTTCGCGCGCGCTTTGCCACTTTCCTCTTCCGAGACACGTAGGTCGCATCCCGCGCGCGACCAGTGCTTGTCAGCAGCTTCACCACCGGCCTCGCGCCTCGAATGTCGGCCAACTTACTTGGCTTTATAATTGCTTCGAGCGCCTACGAGTGTAATACGCAAGCAGCTTGCGCCGCGCGACCAAGCGGTCAAACTGGAGCCGCTCAGCGGCGAGCACGAGGATTGCAGTTTGTCCGTCATTGATATTATGGATCTGCAACGTATTCGAACACAATCATTTGACGCTTCGATGGAGATCCAAGTACACGCGTATCGGTGGACAGGAAGACAGGCTCGCGTCTACTTCCGCGTGCGCGCGTGCGTGCAAGCAGCATATAATCAAAAGGGAGCAGCAAGCACCTCGACGAGAAGAAGGATTCGCGTGGAAGGGCATACAAGCGCCAAGTATCATGCATGTCGGAGCGACTGGCGCGTAGGCCGCGAGTATCCAAGGAAAGCCCGCGGCATATCGAGTTTGTACGGTGGAGTTGGAGGGGGTGGTTATAACGCTCGTGGCCATACCGTGCGAGACAGAGAATGGGTGAGGCGATCCTGATGACGAGGATGACGGAAAGTACGAAGGCTAATGAATTGGCCAAGTGAGCAAGAAAAAAGGGATATTGAGATCGGTCGAAAGACAAATAAATCTAAGTCTAACACTAATTATTTTTAACAAATAATCATTAAATTTTAACATTTACGAAATAATTTTAACCTAAGGACAGTATAAGACTAGAAAAGCAATTAAACAAAATACCAGACGACAAGATATTACATTTTTCTTCGTCCGATGAGTGTGTGTGTGTGTATGAAGACTAAATCTTATTTTTAGTCTAAAGCCTTATTTCTATTTTATCAAAAAAAATCTTTGGTTTTATTAAAAATCTTATTTAAAAAAAGACCATTGTCCTTGAACTCATTCTTATATATGATGTGTTTCTCTCTACTTTATGTTTTGGTAGTTTCAATAAGCGATTGTTGAACAATAAATAATTAGTATTAAAAATGTATAGGTCCCCAAAAATCGTGTGTTCATGTAGCATAATAAAAATTAGTATAAAAAAAGCAGCGACTTACAGGTAATATTTTAGAAAAATTATAAACTAGGTATATAAAATTTGTAGAAGTGGTAATACTAGGGTATAGCATAACATTTCTAAAAATGTAGACTTGATTCAAACTCCCTATAGCCTCGGACCGCTGGACAAAAAAAATTTTTCCACTTACGATAAACGTTCAAACGTTTTTATTATCTAAAATTGATGTTATAATTAAAATAATCAAAATTTATTGAACAATTACACGGCACCTTTGCCTTTTGAAACACTTATATCATCAGCACGTCTTCACTGGACAACGTTTCTAATCAAAGTCCTCTTTTCTTTTTTCTCTTAAAATAATGTCAACTGTCTGAAAGAACATCTTTAATTAATTAAAAAACTGTCTACTTAATTCAATTTATTTATTTTGAGATTATTTCGTTTACATTCATCAAAAACTATTTACACCACTCAACCAATAACATCACGAATAAACTGGCTTCGCATTCAGATCCATCTTTTTTTTTGTATCGGGAAAAATAAAAGTTTATCAGCAAGCGTACCGCGCACACGTGACTCAATCTTTCGCGTACTGTACTAACTCGATGAGAACTGACCAATAAAATAAAAGTTAAAATATTTTTTGTTGCTTAAAACGCCCGAGTGCTTTATCTTTAGTAGACGCAATCGCAAGTCAAATAACCATCGACTCAATATGACCATTCTCCAAGTACCAATCTTGTCGGGTCCTAAATTCTAGCTCTCTTTTATGATAAAAAGAAAAAAGAGCATCGTAATAATCAATAATCATATGAAATTCACAGGTATTTAAGTAATTAAGAATTTTATTGTTTATCGTATCAACACCGTGAAATATATCATTTATTTTTTATCTCATATAATAAATGCATGTTATTTTTGTCAGAACGATACCTACTGATTTTAACAACAAAAAAGCAAAAGTAAGAAATTACTAAAATGATATGGTGAATTCAACTGCCCAGTCAACATTGTAATCTCTGGAATTCTATTTTCGAAATGTAAAAAACCACCCTACTCATCGGGTAAGTAAATAAATCAGTAATCAATTACCTGTCAATTTGTCGTGGAACGTACCACCTCGAAATTCTTATTCAACCTATGAGTTTTTTAAAATATAAACTATTAGAAATATATATATATATACTAAAGAGGCTACGTCCTCATACTCGCTCTGCTCGTCAACCTCCGGGATGTAATAAATGGAATCACAGTTGTCGAAATTGGAATTACAGTGGAAGGTATTGAAAATGCAGTGGTTGGTATTTGATTCACAGTGTTAGGTATTGGAATCGCAGTGATTGGCATTGGAATCCCTGTTGGTATTGAAATCATAATGGTAGATTATATACAAAAAATGATATTATTTCTTTTGAGGTAAATATCATGGACCATTTTTTTACAGCGTTATCCTCAGTAGGCTTAATCCACTTAACAAATACGTTTGACCTATTTATATAGACTAATCAGAACAAAATTACATAAAATTAAACAAAAAATACCGAATGAAAACTTTTTCACCATTTGGTGTCGACGAATATTATGTAAGAACGTTACAATCATAAAAAAAAGTAAAACAAAAAGAAAAAATGCAGATACTTGATCGAAATGAAAAAAAATTTGGTTCGTACGGGAATCAAACCTGCTGTAACAAACACTAAAAGGCATAATATGCATGTCTCGGTCGATCTTCTATTGGTATACTGAGTATTTAAAACATGAAAGTTACATGTTTGTAAAGAAGCGTAGGGATTTAGGATCAAATACTTGTGTTAAGCTAATAGTTAATTGCTTAATTATCTCGTTATTGACCTAAAATTTGCATAATTATCAATGATGGGACGTATCAAGTCTACAAGTCTAAGTGTAGCAACTCGAGCGGAGCTCGAATAGGTCGGGAACTGGCAATACTTCCCGTAGTCATTTATACCTCCCCTCCGTAACTTTAATAATATTTATATTTTTTTACGAGAGTAATCGATTTTTCTAAGGTGCTAAACCCGTCATTATTTTGTTATTAACAATTTAATTGTTTCATTGTAAATAACTTTTTATCTACAACATATAGCAAAGTTATGTTCGAACAAATAAATTGAAATCTTCAATACAAACGTGTTCGATTGAAAGTTTTAAAAAAATATCAATTAGAACCAGAGTAACATGCAAATTGGTGTAAAAATACTGCAAACACACACTCTTTTCCCATTCGCTGGATCATATTTCGGCTTCTAACAATGCAGCTTGAACGTTTAACCATTTATTTTAAAGAAGATACTTTGCTCGTTGAAACAAGCCTATTTGCATGTCGTTTAAGACATTCAGAATAGTTTCACAGCTCTCGAAAATTCAATTTTCTATCGCACAATAATCATTTCAATTGCTTATAACGTTTTTCAGCAGTAAACACCAGAAGAACATCATGAAATCCATTATCTCGTGTTATCGCAAAACAAAAATTTTGAGCCTTCGCTGATGCCTATAAAGTAAACGGTATAAATTTTTCAAGTAGCACACTCCCGGTCAAAAGTCTACCTACTCACAAATTCAATCACTAAAACTTCAAAGTTTTATATTTTAGTTGGAAAACCATTGACGGACGCCGGGGAAGGTTTGTTTAAGAGGCCTCTCCGAATACTCTCTAACAGTGTATACATCACAATTATAAATAATTTCCTTTCCAATCTGTCATGCAAAGGTAAAACAAGCTTTTCAAAATATTTTGCCCATGTTCAAATACTCGCCATTTCACGAAGAAAAATTGCAGAAAAGATGTAAAAAAATCACGGTGTAGCTTTTTCCATGTACTTTTCAAATCACTCCTGTAAAAAATTGTCATTTAAATTTAGCTATTTAATATGCATTTTTGTTTATAAAAAAGGTTAATTTACGACTCTATGTATCTCTGAAAATTTGAATGAAAAAAAAAAAATTTATTTGAAAGAAAATGCTACGTATTGTAAAGGAAATACCGAGCAATTTTTCCAGAATTTTTTGAAAAAAAAAAAAAATTTACTTTTTGCATCAGTGAGGGCTTAAAATTTTTGTTTTGCGATATAAAATATCGCGAGATAATGGGTTTCACGATACTGTTTGGTATTCATCGTTAAAAAAGTCTAATAAATAATTGAAATTGCTATTTTTCAATTGAAAATTCTACTTTCAAGAGATGTAAACCAGCTCCAAATCATTTAAATAATATGCGGGTGAGTTCGTTTTAAAGGACAAATTTTCTTCTTGATTTTTGAAATTTGAAAAGGAATGGTCAACAAAACTGACGGGTTGGGTTTGGCACCCTAAAAAAATCGATTCTCCACAACAAAATCAAATATTAACAAAGTTACCGAGGAGAAGTAGAAATGGCTACGGGAAGTATTGCCAGCTCTCGGACTAAAAAGTCCAAAATGCTTCCAAGCGAGCAAGTATAAGTGCATGCCGTTGCTCCGCCCCTTTCAGCCAGCTATAGCAGAACCACGTTCTCCTCACTCGATAGACGCACGTTTACTGTCCCCCTCTACAGCTCGGAGGAGAACATGCGTCAGCTTCGTCGCTCGGCCAACACGGGGCGCTTGAACCAGTCGCTCAGGCGGGCCCGCGCTCAGTCCTGGCACACTCTAAAGCATTTCAAGAATAGCCAGTCAAGATGGTTGGACAGAAGACAGGCAAATACCATGCCAACGCGCATCCGTACGAGAAACCACCGAGTATGTCTGTCGGTCAGCACTTCAAACGGTTCCTCTACAATCCTGACACTGGCGCTGTTTTCGGCAGGACTGCCAGCAGTTGGGGTAACGTTGACTATATTGCCTCTTGTCTTTTCTGCTTCTCTCTACCGATCGCGCCTGTATTCGCACGCGTGAGAAAGTATCGGCTGAAAGAGCGAGAGAGAGAAAAGGGCGCTGGCCTCGCCAACGCTAATTTCCTATTATGACGCTTGTTGATATTCCACGCGGCTGATTCATCTTTTCATTTTTCCAAAATGAACTACAGCGCGGGTGAATGTGAATCGACTGGTTTTTGTTACCTTCTTGGCTCTCATGAACTCTACTTGAATTGTCTGCCCTTCGATAGCGGTATATATATATACACACGCATGGGTATATATCGTATTGAGTCGACAAGACAAATATTTGTAGTTGCAACTGTAATACCATTATGCATTTCAGAGTTATTTGCTATAGGCCGGTATCACTGAAATACTCTATAGTTAAATTACTTTCCATTTTCGTTTATATACACATCAGCCGATTTTTACATCCGTATGTTATAGAGTCCACTTGAATTATGAACGAAATCGTATTTAAATATTTTTTTAATAACTTGCCAGCGTCGTTATTAATTTTCGTCGTATGATTCATTCATCGGTCAATCTCGCAGAAAGTTCCTTATGACAGCTGTGCATACCCAAAAGGAAATAAAAATTGACGCGCGTGTGTGCTGCAGTGCCAACGGGTCGGCGCACACGCGCGCGCAAGGATCAACTGTACTACAGCCTGCCTGTTATTCGTCAATTTAATAAATCATTTAACAAGTCATTCATTCAACTTTCTTGCGCTCGGAAAGTGAAACAGCGTCCAAGAGAAGCCTTGCGAGGCGCTCGGATTTTCACGCGAACTAGTTGAAAGTGTACCTCCGCGAACGCGCACGCAACATAACAGGTAGTCGAACGGACGGAAATAAAAATGATCGTCGTTCGGTTGGCGAACCGTTAGGTTAGGTGTACACGTAGCCAACAGTGCTATGGACATCGGATCGCCGGAGCCCCATGCGCGCCGTATATGTGTGTGTGCGCTCGAGCTGATTCACGCAGCGTGTGCGCGGACGATGGTCATTCCATGTGAACGCAGTAGGCACGCGAGCGTGCTATAGTTTGTTTTGCTTCTCTTTCCGTCGAGCGCCATGTAATGTTTTTGGGTGCGGTCTCCCTCTCCAGCTGTCCCTTGTTTTACAATTGATTCGGAGGTGCATATCGGAACGACGTCGCTCGTGAGTGCGGAATAAGAAAAGCCAACGCGTCAATTCGGACTTGCGTTGGCTGTTACGATGCGTGCAATGACTATCGCGTGATTCACCGCGCGGGATACTTAGCGCAGTCGGCATCTCCGCGAGCAATTACGCCCGTACGGATATCGCCGTTAAGCGTTCTGCTCGCTCTTCGAATTGACGACCGATCGGCTTGTAGGCTTCGCTCGAACGGAAAATGGAAAATCGCTAGTGATAACGCGAGCGATCGAGCGAATTAAATATACTTTACTGATAATTTTTTTTTTTTTTTTGAAGAACCGATGCTAAATGCTTGGTATTGTAACGCGAACGTTACAATATAGTATTTCCGCCGAGAGCAAATTAAATATAAAAAAGATTGTCGGTAAGAAAGTTGCAATAATCGGTTAGCAAAAAAACAAATCTGCTTTACCGTAAACTTTCGCTTCCAACGAGCTCTTCACTCTCCATTGCACGACGATATTTGAAATATCAAACGATTGACCGTCTACGCGTTGTCGTGACGACACCGTCTTGCACGAACAGGGCATTTTTAATCTAGCGCCTGTTTCCCCTCGTTGTTGGCAGGTACCCCCCACCCGCCTCCAAATCGCTGAAGCGGCAGAAAAGCAACTGTTTGCTAACAAAGAGTCGAACGCTCGTTAACAATGAAAGGGACGGGCTATATTTTTGGGCGCGCGCGGCCTACGCGAGGAATACAACGAAAATAGAAAAAAAAATATAGAGAGAATCAGGATGGTTCGTCAAGGGCAAGAACTGATTTGCCGGGGGCTCCACGACGGCGTGAGTGACTCACGGAAAGCTTTCCGTGGACACTTCTAATGGGAAAATTGGTGCGATAGTTCATGAATAAGGTCAGATTCATCGGAATATGTTGGCCGGCGCGCGCGCGCGCGCTCTTTCACTTCGCCCCCAAGCTTCTTTATATTTTAATTGCGAGCGCGTAACGGAATCGTCGTTTTCTCGCCGGCTGTCAGCGACGTCGGCCGCGGGATTCGTCGAACAGCGAGGGCACGACCGACGGCGAGCCATCACGCGGCGTCGCGCGGATCGTCGGTAGCGACGAATCGCTCCGCGTCGACGTCGGCAATTGGAGGCGCTCGTTTTTCAAGATCACGGCTGCAGCGTGTCGCGTGAGCGCGGTGCCGCGCTCTCCCCGTTTGTGGGCTGCGCGGGCGATCGGCGTCGGTTGGTTTGGGGGGAAGTTCCGCGATCCACGGCGCTGTTCGAAATCGGCTTCGAGCGCTCGTCACAGGTGGCCCATGCGCCAATTGCAGCGAACGATCGTTTCGCAGGTCAGCCCTCTTACTCGTCCGCATCGGCGCGACTGGAGCAAGCGAAGCCTTTTATTTATTCGGATCCGCAGCGATTCAACGCGAGTGAAGAAGAGAGATTGGGTTTGGCGTTGGCCTTGTAAGAAAGATAAAAAAAAAGGAAGAAAAAACGAGTGCGCGCCTAGGGGAAGCCGGGGAAACGCGGAGCGGACAAAAGGCCAGCAGCATCGTTATCAGTGGCGGCGCACAGCGCCGCTGAATGAGGCGGAAGCCGTTGGTCTCCGCACGCGCGCGCGTCTCTCGATCATCTCGCTCGTTCGGCCGGTCGGCTCGCCGCCACCGCCGCCGCTGTGCTGCCGCTGCTGTGCTGCTGCTGCCGCCCGGCAGCTGCTTGAATGGCAATTGTTGAACTTCCCCTCCTCCGTGGCGCAACGAGGTCAATTGACGTTAAACGACCGTCGAGCATTACGGGGGCATTACGTAATCTGCCACCGCGTGCGGGCGCACATGCTCGCGCGGAACCCTTCAAGGGTACGCGACTTGAAGCCGCGCGTCGAGGGATGCCGCGCGCTCGGCCATCGCCCGGCACAGCTGCAGTCGGATGTGAGACGATGCGCGGCGCGCTCTTGGAAGGCGCCTTCGGAATTAAATATAATCGCGCTTCGGACCGATCAATGTCAGTCGAACGCGCCTCGTGTGCCAGCCAAACGCCTTTAACGAATCCCGTCGACACCCAGCGCAGGCGCGGACTTGTTTTCAGGCAACCATCGTTATTGAATTACCGCCCGTGACGATCTGAGATTTTATTCGAATCACTGTCTCTCTCTTGCCGCGATGCGTTGACAAATCGCGCTGGATGTGATGTGATTGCGACGCTCCTTGATTTGTCGTTCATTCTCAAATACTAACTCCCATTTGGCGCTCGGCGATTGGTAATCAGCGACGCATATTTCCTCGTGACAGTACAGCGCAAAGGGGCATTTACATATTTTTCCTTTTTCTTTTTTTATTATTTTTTTTTTTTTAAATTGACTGCTTCCGATTACTCCATCGAGGAAAAATGTGTACGCTGAGGACCGTCTCGAAACATTTGATTAAGAGCCACACACACGACACCGTCTGCCCATTCAATTACAGTTTGAAACGAACGTCGAGTCCGTTTCTCCAAATCGCACAAAATCGCCGTTTAGAGTTCCTTCCGCTCGTCCTTTTTTTTCGGAAGTAATTAGCGTTTCGCGGTAGTGGTACAGTGGACAGACGGTGCATACGCACTGCGCGACCTCGAGGATACAGTAAACGCGCGAATTGAATCGGAGAGCAAATTGAATTGCTCCACTTGACTGATCCTTTTAATCTCCGCTGATTTTCGTGCCTCGTTACGGCAACCACGACTGAAACCACAATACGCCCGCATCATTTTTCTCCCAGAGATCGTCTATCAAAATCAAGTTCAGGTCGTGTCATGCCGATCGTTGGATTATTTATTTATTTATTTATTTATTTATTTATTTATTTATTTATTTATTTATTTATTTTTTGACGAACCATTCTTCTTTTTACGTAACGCGCACGGCATTGTTCGAACGCACGTACGCGCAGTAGCGGATAAGAAATGAGCTTCGATTTCAACTCGTCGGTTGTTAAAAACTAACTTTCGAGCTGGTTGCGTATTCTTCATTGTGCAAATATTCCAACGACGAACGCGTGTTTTCATTTTGCAGGTAAAATCGGTCTTTTTTACCTGTCCTTCTACGGAGTTTTGGCGGCGCTGGTGGCAATTTGCTTCTGTGGATTCTTCCAAACAATCGACCCGAGAAAGCCAACATGGACCATGGAACGTTCAATCATCGGCACGAATCCAGGTAAGCTACTTTGTTTTGCCGCCGTTGCCATCGTCGTGCTAGGTAAATCTCGTGAAACACGATAACTATGCGTGTGTTTAATCCAATTGTAACATTTAAATCCAAATCTCCCCCCTCCTCCTATTGATTTTTCATTATTATATTTTGTTTTATCCAGGTTTGGGATTCAGACCATTGCCACCACTGGAGAACGTTGAGAGCACACTGATCTGGTACAAAGGGACCGACAGAAGTAACTATGAACACTGGATCACGTCGTTGGAAGAATTCTTGCACGGTAATGATTGCAGCTTTGACTGTCATTTTTCGGCCAATTGTTTCGTGGTAAATCAATATGTCAACACGATGAGGGTTTCACAGATTATCGTACACCCGGAACGAAACCCGGACGTGGTGCGAACATACACAACTGCGACTACGATCACGCACCAGCGCCAGGCCAAGTTTGCGCGGTCGACGTGAAAAATTGGCACCCCTGCACCAAAGAGAATAGCTACGGCTATCACAAATCTCAACCGTGCATCTTCCTCAAGCTCAACAAGGTTTGTGTGTTTTGTTGTGATTTCTATGATGACGTACTCGAAACGAAGAAAAATAATAACCGTAATACAAATGATTTTGAACAGATATATGGCTGGAGGCCCGAGTACTATAACGACACGGCGAATCTGCCGAAAAAGATGCCGAACTCACTTAAGGATCACATCAAGTCGATAAAGAATCCCAACGAACGCAACACCATTTGGATATCGTGCGAGGGTGAAAATCCGGCCGATCAAGAGAACATCGGCCCGGTTAACATCTATCCACGACGAGGTTTCCCAGGATACTATTATCCATTCGAGAATTCAGAAGGCTATCTCAGTCCACTCGTCGCTGTGCACTTCGAAAGGCCACGAAGTCGGTGTTATATAATGCAATGATAAATTTTTTTCTTTAAATTTGACTAAACTTGCCGATGTTTTTTAGCTGGTATCCTGATCAACGTAGAATGCAAAGCCTGGGCGAAAAATATTATTCACAACCGGCACGAGAGATTGGGTTCAGTACATTTCGAGCTGTTGATCGATTAAAGTCAAACGAGACTTTTCGACGTATGTCGCCACAATACCAATATATGACCTCGTCGATTGCGTATATTTGATTTTTACATATACATGGCGGCTATACCTCATCATCACCCCTCAAATTAACAACATGTACATTTTGACACAATACATCCATACCGTAGGGATTATACCTTTAAGTATACCTACAATGTAGTTTATAGTCGTTCGAGCCGGCTCCGACTCTTAAAGACGGATAATTAACGTGGGTTTGTCTGTTTGTTTGTTAGTTTGTTTTTTCTCTTGCGATTGTCTAATTCTCATTGTAAAATGATGCTTAATGTGTCCTTTGAAAATCTCATTATATATGGTGATATATTTATTGATTTTAATGTCGCGGTGGATTGATCATATAATTATAATCATTTTAACGTTTTTATTATTTTGATAATAACGTAGGACAAAAAATGAAAAGAAGTTTTATATTTTATATTTGTACAAGATTGGGCATGTTTTAAATACTCATAATATGAAATGTTTGCGAAGACATAGCTGAGAGCCTTTTGTAATTAGATATTAAAATGCGCCTACGTGTTCCATAATATACAAATGAAAGAAAGGAAGATGAAGAATGTTAAATGATTAAATATGTAAACCGTTCGTTGCTTCGTATAAAGATCGATAGTAATGTTGACAATTGTTTCAAAGAAGCACCTTTCAATCTATATTTTTTAAATATTCTTTCGATTGTCAATCAAGTTGCGTAACTTTCTTAAATTAGAAAATGTGAATAAAGCAGATTTCTTATTATATTTTATTATATTATCGTCGAGAGCAAAAAAAGAAAAAAGAATTAATGTCTAACCTTCGTTCGTGACCACTTATGTAGAAACGCATTTGTATTTAGTTGATAATTATATCGTAGATTATTGTGTGGAAATTATTCTACTTTAATTGTATAATCAAGTATTTTACGTTAATTTGAATGTTTAATATTAATTACGAAATATTTTGAATTATTTTTATTGCCTCTAACAGTTTACTCGAAATTTAGCATATATGTAGATACGCTATTTGAATAAGTGCATTTCCTTTAATTGTACCTAATTTTTTGGCTAAATACTGACTAAACTATTAAAATGAATAATAAAAGCAAGATAATACTGACTGTGTGCTCTTGATGCAGAATAGATCTGATGCATGATAAAATTAATGCTACTAAGCACTTGCGCAATTATTACGAATCTCTTTTTTTTTTATTATCACGAGTTTACAAGAATAAATAAAAAAGTGTGTACAAGTAAATAAATTTTAATGAGAACGTCTTTTACCGCATAATAGGGTATTTTTTTTTTTATAAATAAAAATGAAATCGATGTAGTTTGATAAAATTTTTCGAGATTTTATGCAGTATTATGAAACATAATATATTTTAATTTGTATCTTGTATTATTGTAGTCAATAATCTTCTGCATCAATTAGTGAGCTAATTATTGTAGAAATTTGTACATACTTTACAAAGTTGAAAATATATGACATAAAATAAAATGCATCACAAGTACTTTATTGCATTCTTCACTGTTCATTACTACTTTCCTCTGTATTATGAATTTTATTTATTTCATTGTTATTAGTAAAAATAAGAAAAATATTTAAAATACTAAATATAATTGTTGAAACATGATAACTCCATGATCACTAAGTGCTATTATCATTTAAATAATATTTGTAAATAGCTAGGTTAAATTAGAAAAATGAATTCAAGAAAAATGTGTATTTATCCAGGTAAATTATTCTTTATATAGTTGTATGCATCACAATGTTATTTATATTCATGTTAAGACAATTCCCATTCCATCTATACGCTTATACAAAAAAATCATTTTATCCGAAACATTCTACATTCATTCATTACAAAATTATATACTAACATGGGATATATTTTCTTACACTATGAACGATATAGTTAGAAGCTTATCTATATGTACAATTCGTATCTTATACTACGAATCCAGCGTAGTAACAATAGTTACATTAGTAAGCACATGAAAAAAAGTTCGAGTTATATTTGAGCAGCAAAATTGATATGTGCTATAAACAAGTACTGATAACGCCCAATCCGGTCAATTATAACATCGCATTTTTTTAATACTTTACGATTAAGTACGATAGAATACTCCAAGTTGAATAATTATTTGATAATTTTTAATGTACTTTGTTTGTCTTAACACTGACATTCACGACAATAAACTTTATAATTTTTATTTTCAATAATTTAAGTAAAACTTATCAAAACATTACGTAGGTAAGATCGTCCGATAAGTTTGAATCGATTGCATCTTAACAAACTCACGTAACACGTAAACATTTGTACTTCTATTAGAATAGATATAATTTTTGTTAACCCGAGCTTATCTATGAAATGACGGTTTAAAAAATAAAGTATGAGATTTCTTTGACACGCAGCATTTTTGAGGTGTAAAATGTTTTACATTCTACTTAAAATCTAAATACATGATAATTTATATGTAAGTATATCAATATATACGCGCGCGCGCGCGTGTGTGTATATTTATGTATGTATGTATGAATATACTTATGAATGACTCAACTACAAAAATTAAACGAATTTTACACATGCATCCACAAACATAATTCTGCACGTAAAACAATGAAATAGAAGCCAGATTTATGCCACTTCTTACTTAAGTATAAAACTACTTTTTAATAACAGCGTACCTAATACATTTGGGAAAGAGATTCTCGTCCTTTCCAGCCTCGACTCGCTCGGGCGTAAACCTCACACGAAACAAGAATCTACTTTCTCGCACTAGTTAGCTAATGTATTATTACGTATTACATGAACAAATGATTGTTTTTATAAATTGATGAATAACTTAAGCAGATCTGTAAGGAAGTAGCAGTCGAGTTGACTATTTTAAAATTTTTAAATGTTAATATTTTGTTTAAAATTTTACTGTGTTACCATACGAATAATTATGTGGCTATCACTAATCGGCACGTAAATTGTACAAAGACAGTTTCATTAATCTTGACGATGTTGACAAGTATTTAAGTTGTACATTCCGTTAGATCTTTATGAGTGTTTGCCCACAATATGCATTTGAAATTAAAAATTTTGCATTCGAAAGCTCAAGCCCGTAAAGCTTGGAAACTCGCACCAGTTTAGCCTTTGGAGCTTTCATGGAAGCTTAATTATTGTTAATATAATTTTTAAGGGAATACGTTTTGGGATGGAACACTATCGATCCCAACAGGCATCGTTTAATTGACTTGCGTAGTAAACATATGAAGCGCTCTCGTTCGCAAAAGTTCTTTGTCAAAATGAAAGTTTGTTCCAGGTTAAAATTGTTCCCTCCGTAGTACGCGAGTAAAGTATCACTATAATCATTGGGATTATGATTGTACTGAGAACATCAATAGTAAAGTAGAGAGCCGTTGGAATCAGCATCGCGCAATTCGGTTGACAGCGATCGGTTACGTGCAGGCGACGTTCGGCTACGTATAAATTAATCGTTAATCAACCATGAGTTCAAAGTGAATGGCGCCATTTTTCTCTCCTTTTTTGGACCTGTAATGGATGTTCTTGGCCCAAGCCCGACACTCCACTCTAATCACTTCGGATCCTGAAACAGACGTTTTATTTCAGCAATAATATGTTTGCCACTGTGCCCGTCACCGTACGAAGAAATGGCTTGGCGCAATACCTTCCGGCCGCACGAATTGCACGGCTACGATCGGGCTTACGTATTCCAGTTGATGCGTGTAAGGAAAATAGTATCCGGGAAAGCCACGGGTCTCCGGATAATAAAGCAGATCGCCTGTAATCTTGTCGGTAGCAGGGACAGGATGGTCCTTGTCTTTGGGCTTTCGTATTGTTTCCCTGGCGCGTGGATCTTCGCCCTTACACGACACCCATACGGTGTTCAACTGAAAAAGGCACAGCATATCGATCGATCGTTAGTTCAATGAATAGAGCATGGACATATGGCTTTTTGCCTATACCTTTTCTGGCTGATTTCTCAGGGTTTTTATATGAGTTTTCAAGTCCTCGGGCATTTCTTGGGGCAAATCCTCGGTGTCGTTGTAGTAATCCGGGATCCAGTCGAATATCTGTAAGGATATTTTCGGACTGTATTATGAATTTCGTTTGAAAGTTTTCATGAGAATCGTCGATAAAACGTACTTTGTCTACAAGAGAGTGCAGACAATGATCTTTCCGGCAGCAATATTTTAATTAATGTGCAATTGACTCTCAAAAATAACAATCAAGAACTGATCAAAAGGCTGAAAAAAAGACGAACGCGGTTATCGTTCGGAGCTACTCAGCCGCTCGCCATAGCGAGGCAACGATGAGAAGATCCAGCAAAGCAGGCCCAATGCAATCCGTTCGATAGGGCGCCAATTTACAAAAATGTACAAAAATTTAAAAGATCATTGTCTGCATTCTCTTGTGAACAGAGCACACTTTATATGGCGTTTCACGCGAGCATCTCTAACGGAAAAATGTCCACGCGCAATGAAAGAAAGCATCGTCGTTCGCTAAGCTTTCATCTAAAATTTCATGTTGTGGCTTTTAGACTATATCAGTCGATAAAGTGCTGCCCATTCCAAAACATTTAGGCCCATGGCGCGATACATTTGAACGCCTTCATTGATATTCAAATCACAAAGCCACTTTTTCGAAAATGTACTGTAGAATACGAAACGGAAGTTGTTCGATGAGCGATCAACACTTTAATTATCGTCTTAGTCGATGTCAGGCGACTTTTATCATCGTAGACTCGTGTAAAGGATGAGCTCCATAATGTCTCTTGATCAATAAAGCTGTGCCGAGGGTCAACGCGCTAAAACATCCTGAAATAGAGACACGTTTTCCGTAGCGAACTTACCCTATTGAGTTTGATGAAGACGCACGGCTGGGAGCTGCTGTAGCCATAATCCGTCCCGGGCCGACAATCGCCGTACTTCGTGAAATCGACGTCGCATACCTTACCGCCGTGTGGCAGCTGATTGTAGTCGCATGGCATCTGAGTTCTACCGCCTTTCGCCAATGCCGATTTGTTCCAATAGCCTGGCGACGCGAAAGCGCTCGGATTAATCGTAATTATCGCTGTGTACCCGTACGGTCGTCGCTAGAAAAGGTTTACCTATCAAAAAATCATCCAACAGGGCCGTCCACTTATTGATTTGCGTCGCGTTCTTCGCGTCGTACCAGATCAGCGACCTCTCCGAGGTATCGTTGGAAATCGGCCGAAATCCGAGTCCTGAAAGAAAAACCACAATGTACACCGAGCGATCAACGATTTCAGTTTTCGAATGAACTTTCGAGCATATCGCAAGTTGGTTTGTATCTCGATCGAGCGCGAAACTGGAACGTCAATGTCGACAGGTTTTTTTTTTTTTAATTTTTTCTTCTACCGTCCCTCCTTGCACTGATACGCGCGCACTCGCTGCCGCGAGTCGCGTGCTGGAAGCAATTTTAATCGGCGCGCTCGTATTGCACACGGCTTCGACGCAATGCAGCGCGTTCCGTTCGGAAACGCGCGTCGAAGATAGTGTACTCGTCGTGGGTGTGCTCAGTGCTTTGATTTACCTGGATTCGTGCCTATGAGGCTCCTGCTCAGGGTGTAAGTCGGTCGTTTGGGATCTATCGTCGCCATGAGTCCGCAAAAACAAATGGCGCACAGTGCCGCCAGCGCGCTGTAGAACGTCAAGTAGAATAGTCCCACGATGCCTGCAACGAGAATCGTCGGTGAGAGAGAGAGAGAGAGAGAGTGGCAAGCGAGCGCCGAAACACAGCGAGTTTCGCCAACTCGTCCGGCTTTGATCGACCTACTTACGGCAGCGGTGAATCGCGACGAGTTCTCGCCATACTATATAAATAAGTCATCTGCATATCAGTCGGCGGGCGTCCTCGACGTCGTCGCGAAAGAAAAATCTCACGCTCGCGCGCACGTACGCAGCCGAGCAGATAGCAAAAGAATATAAAGTCAGGGACGAAAAGAGCGCTGCTGCTCGCGTGTTTACGCTGCCTATGCGTGACGTCGAGGCGCCTAGGGATAAGCTCTCTCGCGGCTGGCGTTCGCCCAACGAGAGTACCGTCGCTAAATATAAATTCGCTCATTCCGACTCGCCGCGTTGGACGGATGCAGACGGAGAGACGCGCAGGCTCGCCATTGCAAGTTATCGGCACATTTCCGAGACTGGCAATGGTTCGCAGCTCGCGGCGCTGGCTTTTGGCCGCGAGTTTGCAGGTTGCTCGTTCGCCGAGTCCAAGCACGCGATTTTCCAACTCGAACCGATTGTTCGACAAACGCGCCTCGACGATCCAGGTCGTCGAGTGCGCTGAATAAAAATAAACGAGAAAAAACGAGAAAAAACGAAAAAGAAGAGCAGTCTCCTTGCTTCGAAGCGATACGTCGCCGACGCAAGATGGATCCTTTTCGCCACGAGAGCTCATCCATAAGTAGATCACGCAAAAATCTTCGAAGATATTTTTTATCGGCACCCGATCAAGCTTTTATCGCTGTTTATTTCTGACGCAGCAGAGGTTAAATGCGTACAGCGCGATCGAGCTTTCATTTCGCGCCTGTAAAAGCCGACGGAATATGGAAAAATACCGCAATATTAGCAACTCATTATCAATCGTCTCAGATAAAACGAAACCAAGCCCACCTTTTGCAAAAAATAGTCAATGTAATTCTTTATGATGTTTTTAAATTCCAGCGTGCAACCAAGCTGTATTGTAAGCAAATATTGACACTGGCTTGCGCTTGGAGTCTCAGTTATGAACCTAATGGATCGAATGACTTTCTATCGTCGTATTGACTCTGCTTCGTGATAAACGTATCTCCTTCAAGTTATAAGGATCATAAAATTACATCACATTTTATTCAACGAAGACGTCAACTACTCTGGGCATGCAGCCGACGAATAGAACTTTCAATCGAGCTATCGTGCAAGTTCAGTTGAGAAATCGTTACTTTTATTGCACCTTCAATTTTCGTTCAGTTCGATCCTCGTTTAACTTGAAAACTTTTTACCAGTAACAGCACATTCTTTTCACCTTCACATTCGACAAATTTAATGCGATTCATTGATCGATCGTCGCTTATAAATTGCAGCCATCGAACTTGTAACCAACGATCGTTCGTGTCCCATCGATTTGCTTTCGTTACCCGATGTCGACTCCGCTTCTTTTTTTTTCCGGAAAAGCTCAAAATATTACGTTCCGCGCCCATACGCGTGCGTAAATGTTTGCCCTCTTCTCATGACACGCAAAACCTTGAATTAATTGGCGCAGTGTAAACGACACCACCAATTCAATTTGGTTGCGAACGGGGGCACGGAAATACAGCGGGAAAAAGAAAGGCCGTCTCGTTGTTCTTCGGCTCAAGGTCGATGTAAACTTCCCTTTGATATATTGCATACTCAGCGCGATGAGTTATCCCGACGATGATCATTTCTAAATATTCGCGGCATTATGTTAATTGCGGATGTACTCGCTTAATTGTCGTTTTAAGGGAGTTCTTTCAATTCTTCAGGCACGTAATGAGCTCGTCGATTACTTCGAATTGTTATTGGCCTTGTTGTTGGAAGCGATTTGCTTAAGCATTCCAGCTTTTAAGTTTATTAGCGTGTTAAGTTTCTTACGATATGGTGCAACTTCCGCGTCCGAACTATAACTCACACTTGGATAATAAATTGACGCCGCAGTCATAAGTCAATGCTTAACCATATTTTCTATTTTACACAGTGTCTTTTTGCTTGCTTTGGATTATATATTCATACAGGTTGACATCAACCATTTAGGTGAAATTACCAGTTATTTGATTGTTCGTTTTAGTTGAGTGACGGTAGCCGAAAAAAAAAAAAAAAAAAAAAAAAAAATTCCAATGTTCAAATGAAGCAGATAAAACAGTATCACGAATAAAAAAAAAATGTACGACACATTGTAAGTAGGCCAAATTATTATTTACCCAAACGAACACGACGAGATACTCTTTGCGAGTCACAAAAACAAAACGAAATTTTCCATTTTCACGCGTAATTTCCATTTGAACTCATCGGCCGACGACGTAGACGCTCGGAAGCGTCGCAAAAAAGAAAAAAAATAGATGCATGCAGCGATTATGAATCGGGCAGAGATCGAAGGCAAGTGCATCTAATAGTATTGGAAAAGAAAATCGACCGAGTTCCGCGCGCGCGGCCTTTTGTCTTTTGCGTAACGGGCGCTCGCGCGTTATCTACCACAGTTCGACGATCGAAAGAAAGGAGCTATAACGCAGCACGTGTGCGCGCCGAGTTCTTTTTTCGGATCTTCATGGGGGCCTAGGCGCATTCTCACCACGCTGAAAATCAATACAAAACGCGGACCCAACCGGATTTTCTAGTTTTTCCGAGCCTCGAGCTTTACCGTAAGCAGTCGACGTGTACGCGACGTCTATCGTCAACGTCAACATTCCATTTCGTCGCTTGATTTAATAAGGCACCAGATATTTTTTCGAAAGATGTAAAAACAGCGACGCCAAAGCCTTGACAAATTTTCAGCGGGTCTCATGATTTCGCGTGGAAACTTGAAAATTTCAAGGTAACTTTGAAAATGTCATAGGTAGCTTGCAGTTATTTTCTAACAAAAATCTAGCCAACAAAATTCCAGTTGAGCAACGGAACAACTTTAGCAAGTCCTATAAATATGTATTAATTAGTAAAGTTCGATCGAGAAAATGGAAAGAGAAACCCGTGACGCAATCGTACATTAGTGATACGACGAGCTACGAGCGTACGAAAAAAAAAAAAAAAGTGAAATTGCAAGGCCGATTTCACAACGGCAATCTGTCCGTACACAACTATTTTCTTTTTCGCGTTGGATCGAAGTCGCTCGCGAAGAATTTGTCCAACGACAGAAGCTGAGTCGTGTGTCGTCTTTGTGAATCAGCGTCGGGAAGAAAACGTTCCCAAAGCTCTAAAAATACACGGAGCGACCTTTGCGACGAAAAGAAAACGTGAATCAGTTGGTCCGTGCGCACAGCGTTCGCGTGAATTCATACATGCGCGAACGATAGGCGTTATCTAGATGAAACTCATATCTCAGTATCTGTTTGGTATGGGAGTGATAGTAGGGATCGAAAAGAAGCCTGCCCGGAGCGTCTGCCAAAGCAGAGCGCGCGCCAAAGGTGGTACTCGACTATTTTTACTCGGGCGCTCGGTCCGCGATGCTAATTCGACTCCGCTCTCGATGTGTTTTATCGCGGCAGCTCGTTCGGCAAAACTAGCCGATATCGCGCGTGCATAATTGCGCGATCGACGGCGCCAGAGAGAAAAGAAAAAAAAAGGGAGGGGGAGGGGGGAAAGAAAAGAAGAAAGTGAGAGCGGCGCCCCGAGGCGGCGAGCGCGAATGTGAGCGAGAGAAGTGCAGCACTTACCCCATTGCTTGGCGGTGCGACCGAGAACGGTGCCCTTGCGCGGATCGTAAATCCAGTCGCGAATGACCTGGCGCTTGGTCCTATCGTCGGGCTTGCGCATGTATCCGAACTCGTACGCGGCGTCGTCGCCTTGCTTGCCTCGAGCGCTCATCTTGGTGCGCGCACCAGCCTAGGCGAGCCGCACTCTCGTTCGAACACAAACAAACGTCGACGCGACCGCTATCGGGAGCGCGTGCTGCTGTATCGGGCGAGACGCTGTCTTTCGTCGGCGAATGCCGAGCGCGCACTGTGCGTGCTGCGCGACTCGCTCTCGCGGACTGTCGGTCTACGCGCAACGTTGCCGACCTGCCGTACCTATATATCCGCGCGACCGGCGTATCTTGTACGCGCGCGCACGAGCCGTAAGAATCGGGACCCGATGCTCAGCGGATTCTTACGCCCGTGGCGCGATGCACCGCCGAGGACGATTTCAGCGCTTCGCGCAGCTGTTGTCGCACCGGCCTTTTTTGGTTGGGATCGCTCGCTCGCCGCCGCACTCTGCCGCGAATTGCAATTTTAAGCGGCTATAGGTAAACATCGCCCCCTAACCAAATACTATCGCTGCCCGGCCAATCAACTTTAATTACAAGTAAACGAAAGATAGAAATTAGCCTTAGCTGATAGCAGAGCTTTAATTGCTGTCGCTGACATTTTTAATTATGCGTTGTATCTCAATCGTTAAGCAATGTTAGCCGCCGGCAGGAGACAGCAGAATCTACGAAAAGCGTTATTCTCATTTAACAAAACCTGATCTTTATTAAGAGCTTATTTCACGTTGCTGGACGTTTTTTAACCTTCTCGCGAAATTTACGACACTGTATATTTTTAAATTGACACCAGCTTTACTTCGCAAAATGATTTTACTGCCTACTTTGTTTATTCGAACGACGGCCAAAACGTTTGAAATTCACTCTCGGTAAGCTATTTATCAATTCTAGTAGAATTTCCAAGCACACTGCTGTAGCGAAGTGGTTCTGTTAAACTAACAGATAAGTACGACATGTTTACGTTCGCAGGATTAGAAATGACTCAAAAACTACACGATTGCAACTGGTTGTTAGTCAAAGCTGTTTAATTGAAAACGATATTCTCACCGATCAATCTCGACAAGCGCTTTCGTATCAATGATGTTACATTTTTCCAAAGCTGCCAATTTTAAACGTCATCGTGTCAAGTTCGTGTCGGTATAATACGACACTTGAGACGTATCTTACGGCCGGCAAGCAAGCAATCCGGACAGACACAGACTTGGCACAAATAAAAAAACAAGTTCCCACTGAAACAGGTATTCCCCTCCTCCTCCCCCCTGACTGTTCATGGCAACGTCGCGTGCAGTACTTCATTGCTTGTTTTTTTATTTGAGCTCGGCACGTGCGAACAGCTGACGTCACGTCACGTCCAACCCTCGTATACGACATAGGTATCGGCATAGCATTCGAAGCTTTCATCTAAGAGCACTTCGATGAATGTTGCCAATGTTAGCTGGATCGCACTTGATTAAAAGGTTACTTGTAATATGGATATCCCGAGCGTGCATGTATACGGCGATACGAGCCCTACGGTCATACTTAAATATTTTTTAGGGGTCGAGGTTTTACTGTTGATCTTTAAGAATTTTAGTTCGCTGAATCTAAAAGTCGAGGGTATTTTACCAATTTTCCAGTCGATTTTTTCTTATTAACACTGTATATTGCAAAATTACGTTTTTCCGCGTTTTTAGCTGACAAATGATTATTAATTTCAAATCTCTCCATCTGGAAAAAAATGAAACAGAATTAAGCAAATCTATGTTCGGATTAAATTAGTTATAAATTTATTCAAGATGAAAACGCCTAGCCACGCAAGCGTACGCGCTTATACCTTTTGTTGGAACAGCTGACTTGGGTTTAATTAGTTAATATATGTATTTTACAATGGAGAAGCGCGTATTACAAATTGTTATTATTATTATCATTATTATTATTAGCACCATTGTTATTACTTTTTTACTTTTTACACATAAAAATCAGAGCATGTAAGTTCGAGAACCCTTGGAGATGCAAATATTATTATCAGTATTATTATTATTATTATTATTATTATTATAATTAGTACCATTGTTATTATTTTTTTACTTTTCACACATAAAAATCCGAGCATGCTAAGTGTAAGTTCGAAAAGCCTTAACAAAAGACGTGATAATACTCATTCACGCTGTCTTAAGAACTCGGTAAACGACCCTCGATATTCGGATTCAACGATCCAAAAATATGAAGATCAACTATAACAAAAACTATTCAAGTGTCACACCTGACTGTGGACGCAGCTTTAGATATCCAGTTTCGCTGGCGGACACGTGCGAAGACTCGACGCGAAATGTGCTTGTGTTGATTGAAAAGCTTTAAAAAAAAAAAGAAATAAAAGCACAATCGATTACTGTTGTAACGTTCTGCGGCGAATCATTATCGCTCGAGTGCAGACGTATGCAATTATTTTTATAGTTGTTCGACCAGAAGAAGTGCATTCTTAACGTCAAATCGAACTAATTTCAATGTGTGCGCCTGTGAAGCGATTTTATCTCCTAATTTACAATTCTTTAATCGATTTGACTCATCAAACTATCGCAAGTTAATCGACTATTTTAAAAATAAGATGTTCATATTACGTCTGCGGTTAGGTTTGCCATGTGTACACACATTCGGAAAAGTGCTAAAAAAGTATCTGTCTCGACGGAAACGAGAATTGTGTACGTTTGAAAAAATACACGCGCGTATCATTCCTAATATTTACCAAAATCAAATTTCTTATCTTTCGGTGTTGAAATTCTAATGATGAGCAATACGTGGGCTTTTGGTATATCTAACGATCATACATTTATTTATCATTCCAATAATAGCCACGAACGGCATCCTATCTCCGCTTCAGTCGTCTTTGTTCTAAAAGCACGAAAAAATATTGTTTTCGTTTGAAAAACGCGTTAACTGTCCTCGTCATCATTATATAAAATAGAAACACGATCTCGTTGTTACACACGCGCTCATCTGGTCTCCCGCAGCCTCGAACTTTGAAAAAAAAAATGGAACAGTGAAGACGAACGTGAGTGGAAAAAAACCAAGTTTCGAGAGAAATCCAACATATGGAGCCGAGGAGATCCACGATATTATGCCTGCATGTTTCGCAATGTATTGCCTAGGGGATATCCAATTTGAGCAGGCGAATTCGAAAGTTACCATCTTTTGCTTTCTCGCGCGGCGATAAACTTGAGAGCTTATCGATTGACTAGTTATAGCGCGAGCTTTTCATGAGTAAATCTAATTTGCTGGCTGAAGTCAAGACGCAATGGTCAATTTATGATTATCTTAATTACCGTATAATGATATTAGCAATTATAAAAGTAAATTAAAAATGAAGCAAGAAAATTATGTTATCGATCATTTCCGAGTAAACAATCGCGTGACTATATCTACGAGTTGCTGAGCATTATTTTGAAGTTTAGATTGTAACGATCCTCATTGTCGATGTTGCGAGCCCAAGTCTTGCATTCAACGGTCACTTGCTCGCCAACTGTAACAAAGTCGTTTAATTAAATTAGAGTATCTTGCTGTTTCCAGTACTTTTACGCAACGAAAGTGCGTTAACACGATAACTACAACCTTCATTTATTTATTTTTTTTTTTTAGGACGACACGCGTGGCAAAGTTCACTGACTTTGTCTCAAACAAAAGCACTCCCTTAATGATATCAATGGAATCATCTGCACGATAACTAATTCATCGCATTTATTTCCAACCTGACAAATTGCTGAAGCTCAGAGCTACTACGGGCGCTAGATAATTCCTTTGCCCGTCGAATGGAAAGAAGTTGACGGGGAAACCGGGCTTCGGGAGGTACTCGATCTCGCCGAGTTTCGCCTTGTCTTCCGGGCTCTTACCCTCGCACGACAGCCACACGTGAAGCTATAATAATAAGTGCGTTGATGTATGAATGGATCTACCCTCGTGACTGCGCGTGCAATTGTATGGGAGTACAAGACTAAAAATAGGGCACAGTGCGCGTCGACAAATGATACTCGCCTGCTCGGATCGACGTATGTTGCTCTGCAGCCAGTCCGGCATATCTTCCGGCAGTATGGAAGCCTGCCCGTAGGGTATCGGCGACCATCCGTATCTCTAACAAAGAAAAACAAAAAAAAAAGACATAGACGCTCGGAGCAACGACCGTCGAATATCCGAACAGCGAGGCTCTGCCACCTTGTTTATCTTGAAGTAAACACAAGGCTTAGGCGCGCGTTCAGCGTATCCGAAGGGCGGTTGCGAACAATGTCCCAAAGTTGCGATGTCGAAGAAGCAAGGCTTCTCGGGATCCTTGGATCTGTCGTCGCAATTCGGAGCGAACTTTGACCTGTCGATCTTGTACCCTGGAGAAACGAATCGCTCGCTCAGTGCGTTTGCCTCGCCACAAAACGAAATGGCGAACAGACCTTTCAGGATCTTGTCTATTTCGTCGACGTACTTTTGCGGTCTACCCATATCCGTCGACCGGTCGATAAGTATACGGGGCGAGTGTCCGTTAGTCAAGATGTTTGGTTTGAACGCGATACCTTAACGCGACGACAACGCGAGCGTTAAAATTCGAGGGGTAGAGAAAGGATCGAGCGAATGCCTACCGGGTCCATGCAAACTCGACAAGATGGGCTTATTTTGCCGACTTGGCTCCAACCAAGCTTTCCTTAATTGAGGCTTATCAAACTCGAAGTAGGGCTTGCTCCGGCAAGCTACGTTCTTGTACGTCAGCCAAATTTGAAACGCGGTGAACGAGAAAAGTACGCCGTAGAAGCACAGGTAGAAGATTCCCACGTTCACTACGAAACACAATGAATTTTATGCATTCGAGATGTATACAGTACGTGTATCCTAGCCGTAAACATTTCGGCAAACATTGATCAACTTACTCCATTCTTGAGCAGTTCTATCGAGGAAAGCTCGTCTCTGGGAATCCCAAAGGAATCGTTTGAAGTTTTCGATGACACCCAAATCTGGTTGGGGTTTTCGTTGTCTGTAATACTCTTCGTCATGCTTGATCAACATCGTGGTACGTCAAATGCTGTTTGACGTACTTACATATGATAAACTTAACCTACATTCTCCTCGATTGTTTTTTCTTTTTGGTGAAGGGGTGGGGGCAAATGCTTTTATTGCTTTTTTAACTCCACATGGCTGTCGAAACTAAAAAGTACGTGAGAGAAATTACGTTCTATAATGAATTACACGGGTTTTGAAGCGTTCGTTATTTATCAAAATTTTTATTTAGCATTAAAAGAAGTCTCGGTATCGCGCTCGAGATAAACGATCCGAGAAAAATCTGACGTAAAAATGCCGCTGGAATGTTCATAACTTCGTTATCAACGGCTGATTAAAAAAGCCCGCGGGAAGCGCCAATCACCGTCAGCAGATAGCGCCACTAATGGGTCTCTCAAGTTCTGCACAAAGAAAAGCTCCTCTAGACTCCTGCGAGAGCGCGTCGTTTCGTAGCATTTACGTGTCGCTGTGCGTATGTTTACGTAAAAAAAGAAATCAATCAGCGTAGCTCCAAATCTCCGGCGCGCTCGCGAAAATCCCGAGGAACGAGTGATTATTAGTTGCGCGCATCTCTCTGGCTTTCCCTCAGCGCGCAACTCGTACGCATGGCCCTCTCTCTTTCTCCCTTTAATTCGCGCGCGCATTAATATCCACCCACATGCGTTATTTGCCGAGCGAGGGCCATTGCGCGCGCAGCAGCCAGAGAGAGAGAGAGAGACGGCGAAGATTCCCAGGCACGCGATATATATCGCCGCGCGAATCGTCACCGCGCGCCAGTGCCGCCGATATTTTCGCATTGACGATTCGAATTAAGCCAACGATACGAACTTTAATTATCCATCTCGCTTCTATTGTCATGCCGAAGAATGTAGTTTAGCCCATATGTTTTCAAGTCTATTCTTCAGGTATGACATTGGCTTATGCTCTGATTAGCTTCATTGGGGCTTCCTAATTTTTTGTCATTATTATATAGAGGAGGCAGCAGCAGCCACAACTTATATGTACCTCAGTTATTTTGATTTTCTTTTTGTTCAACGGGAAAGGTAACTGCGCTAATCGTTGCTTGTTTATCTAACTTTATTTCTTATATTATTATTGGTTTCTTTTCCAAACTATAATAATTCAATTATTACATTTTACCATTATACGTATTTCTCTTGCTTTAATGAATTCAAAATTACAAAAATTAACGGAAAATGTCTGTCCAAAACAGTGATTCACACTGTCCAATACACACCAAGCGTTTGCATCATTTCGTCAACAATACGTTTGAAAATTATTCGAGCTGATATTTCAACACGCAAGCACAGCTTGCAATTGTAGCTTACTGAATTATCGTGGATAAGATAACGCGTAACAACAATTAGTCAATTGGTGCCACCAATAGAAGCTTTCAATCGTACTCGTCGACGCTGCTGACGAAACTAATCCGTGTTCGTCGTTGCAATCGTAGAAAGTTCTCTATCTGAAAAGAAAAATCGGAGAATAACGTAAAGCAACGAAATTCTCGGGGCACCGCCATCGAGAGATACAGTCCTGAACTATAGCAGCGCTCCATCTCTCGCATACAGCACCTCAAGTATAGCACGCGTTCACCTACACGTACAGTGTGCGTTTGAGGTTTCAATACGCGCGGGGGCTCGTTAAATGCCTGGCTGTGTTATATGAGCTAGCGTACGTTATATTACGCGGGGCTAAATCACTTATTTAACTCTCGGCTACGTTATGTAGTCTCCCTATCTCTCTCTCTCTCTCTCTCTCTCTCTCTCTCTCTCTCTCTCTCTCTCTCTCTCTCTCTCTCTCTCTCTCTCTCTCTCTCTCTCTCTCTCTCTCTCTCTCTCTGTCTGTCTCTATATCTTGCTCGCGCACTCTCGCGGAATAGAACATACACACGCATACACAAACGTAACTGTATATAGTTTTATCCGAAAGGGTATTGCGGGTGTTCCTCTTTCTCTCTCAGTATGTGCTTGCATTAGCTCGCGGCGGTGGCGACGACGGCGGCTCTAACAATATTATAACAATATTCCGTCATCTTGGCGCTGCTCTCGCACACGACGGCGACGACGGCCTCCTGATTTTCGTTGCTCTGCTATTGCTGCTCATACTCCCGCGGACAACGGAGAGTGCGCACACACACATACACACGCGATCGCGCAAAGCGAAAGAGACAGACACGTCGCGCGAGACAGCATAGCGCGCCCGCGGAAGCGAGTTATTATATCGACGACGAGAACGAGATCGCACAAGTTAACGTTAAAGAAAGAGAAAGAGAGAGAGAGAAAGAGAGGAGACTTTGCTGTGCTACTGTGGCCCATCTGCCTATACGGCCGGTACTGCACGCATCTCACTCCGTTGTTTTTTCTTTTTCGTCGTGCAGTGCGTTGTTTGACGCGCGCGAAGAGCCGCTGCAACAGTCTAGGTGAAAGCACACGTATTATAGCAGAGGCCGTTGTTCGTTCGTTGTTGTTTGATGCAGCTACACCTGGGTAGCAGCAGCAGTCGTAGCAGCAACAGCGACAATGATCAACGTCACGGAGATCCGCACTACGATCCAATTGTCTACCCAGTTGCTGCAGTGAGTGATCATTTTTTGCTCTACATCTTAATAATAAGAAATGTACCCTGTCTGCACGCCCGCGCTCGAGCGCCGCGCCGTATACTCGCGATATATCATGTGATCGCAATTTTATAAGCCGTACAAGTGCCTGTTGTGTATCTGTGTATCTGTATGTGGGCAGCAAGCATATACACGCGATATTTAGGTTAGATATCCGAGGAATCGCTAAGTGGATGCAATCGATAAGTGGGTTAAAAACCCGTCCCTCCTGTCAGACGACACCTTCGATGAAGTTGCTTTTTCTTTCTCGTTGGGCGGCTTATAACCATATCCCAATCGTTGTTTACATCGTTTGGCAGTTCCGTCTTCTGCTTCTCTTTCTTTCTCGCTCTCTCTCGCTCTTTCCAGTGCGCGAGGGTGGGGTTGCTTGTACGATACTTGCGGGGGGCTTTAGCGCGCAGGTGGAAACAGAGAGAAAGAAAACATTTTTTCGGACTGTCACCTCCGGGCGGCGTATCGATTTCCCTCCAAGGGCTCAGGCTTATATCTCACTCTCTCGTCTGAAAGAGAAGGAGAGAAGCTTAGCTAGTTTGTATAGTACGTGACTTTGTGTGTTCTGTGACGGCTACGCCCTTTGACTTTCGCACCTGCTCCTTTTTGGTTCGTGCGTGTGCGCAGCCAAACGATCGATTACAGAATAGACACTTTTTTCGCCCACGTCATTTATACTCGCGGTATAACCAGTCGCTTGCGCTCGCTGCTTCTCTTTCCAACTGCTACAGCTTGTTTATAGACGAATCGATCTAATTTAACCGCTTCTGCAGCATCGTTTATTTATGATTTAAAAGCTCCCTTGCTCGACTTTCGCTCGCTACATTTTTCATGTGCATCACAAGAATAGACTCTTTTCTTTTTTCTATGCTTTATTTGAACCGTTGATGGACTTTTTTATAGACGGTGAGAAGGCATTTTTCTCAACTTGTTGACGAATTACGCGAAAAGCCGATGAATGGTTTTTTTCTCTGCCTCTCGTTTCCTTCACACTTTTTATGTAATGCTAGGCTTCATTATGTAATGTGGCACAACTGTTTTCGGCTTTTTGTCAGTTCGCCGATTTCCCGCCAAGAACGTGAAAATATAAAAGTGAGAAATTTTTTAGTGGTTTGTGAATCTTTGTGCCAAACGGGGCTATATTTAAACCGTGTAAATGAATGAGAGGTCAATGTATGTCTCAATGAAATCACCCGACTTGAATGTAATAAAAATATTTGGCATCCAATTCTTTGTTTTTTTCTCACGGCAAATTTGTTTGAAAGATTGTCTTTCATTCTTCAGCTGCTAATCATTCTAGAGATGATTTATTGACTGGGAGTTATTAATATAAAAAATTTACGAAAATGAAAGAGAACTAGAAATTATTTTATAGCAATTCACCTTAAAAGTTTGATATAAAAACCTACTATAAGTGAAATTGATAGTTCTCAAAAAAGATTCATTTATGAACGGTATGTTTGACCAATGAAGAAATACTCAATAGTAGTGGGTAAAATAATATATAGCTTATAAAAAACATCATATGATTTGGAAAGTTGCCATTGAAACATCTGATCTTTTAAGAGCTGAGTGGAAGCACTGCTTTAACATATACTACATACTGTAGCGTACAGGTTAACTTGAGCCATAGCTACCTAGAAATTTTTCAGCAGAACAGTGTTACAGTTTCAAAAGCCCAATCAAATTCAAATGCACCAAATTAATTTTAGGAATCATGCAGCTGTTAAAATGAACTTTTGTGATATACTATAACTGCTTGACTGCTGCTCGGCTCTGCACACATTTGAGCTTTGAGCAAAGATGTATTTTTACTCTCAAGTGCTTTTGATGGTATACTGGCATGATAATGTTTATCTGGTATAACATGCAAAAAGCTCCCTACTAGTCATATGCCGATGTAAAAATATTTTATATTGAATCAAGGTTTTTGCATTGAGTAATGGTGGGATTATAAATAAATACCTTGAAAGTTCAATGACTCATGGTGTTACTCAAAAAAATGCTGTAGCTTTGAATCATGGAAACTTACTGATTCTCTATGTATCATAACAGTCATCCATATTTGTCAACAATTAATTAATTTATAGTAAGTGTAAAAATAATTTTATCTTCAAGCGATGATTGCTGACTGCATCACAGCAAAGATGCATGCAATATTGCTATTATCTTACTTTTATTACTTCGTACTTAGACTTTCACATTACGAATTTTATCTGGTTTCCTTGAGAGGGAAAATCTGCTCAGAGGCCAATGTCTCCTTGTAAATTACACTGTTTATATCAGAAATAAATGGTCTTTGTATAACATCATTGTGTAATTCTTGTCAAAGCTCAATTTAAACTGACAAAATTTTACAATCAAATAAAAAAAGGTTTCGGAATCTATTAATACCAGTAAAATATGATACAGTATGAGTCGTAATCATAACCCCAAGTCAGTACAATTGGCTTAATTTTGAAATTAATGTGAATGATATTAGGCACACTTCTTACTGACAAGGATAGTATCTCATTTCCGGGGCACTAATTTGATCAGATTGTGAGTGATGTTTTGTGCTACCAACCTTGATGCTGGAGAGTTGTACAGTTGTATGATTGCAAGATAGGCCAAATAATGCAGCTTGCTAATATACATTTTAGCTAGTATATCAAACAAATTTTTTCTACATTTATCTTTACAGATGAATACTAAAACTTCGAAGGAGATTACGTAAGCTGCAATTAACAATGCCACCAGCTTGGAGCATGGATAATCCAGCTCCGTAGTGCTGCTGCCATGTTGGTCACGCAGTCTCCCTGCCCTATAGACAATCCATCAAATATGCTGTCGACACTTGAGGAAGAGAATAATGTTGACATTAACGAATGCTTCCCGCCACATGTTGATACCAGCAACATCATCATTCAGCCTGAGTCTCCGATCAGCAAGAAGCAAACCCTCAAGACTTTCAAGGAAGTTAATGCACTCCTACAGGCTGATAGATTACGTGAGGTAAAGCTTATTCTCAGGGAGAATGCCTGGCCACTGAACAATGGTATAAGGTCCCAGCTTTGGCCTGCACTGATCAATCAACATGCCAAAGGCAACAACACCATGGAGGGTTATTACTGGGATATGGTGAGCCAAGTTTTAGGGACTACAGGTCAGTTTTTGCCAGTTTTTTCTAGCAATCTTAACATAAAAGGGGCTCAGTTGTGCTAATCAAGCTGTTCTCCTTTGCAGAATTGTCAGGGCAATCAATCATGTTGCCACCATTCGTTGATAGTATACATTGTTTATCCTATAACTTGACCCATAAAGGTAGGAGTGTTACAGATAGAGTTGTATCTGTACTAGGTTATGCATGTCCAGACATAGTGTACAGTCCGTCGCTCTACCCTATCACTGCTCTTCTTCTACACTTTATACCAGGTATGCCTAGAAAACTTATATGGATCTTTAAAATTAAATATATATTGTTATATGTAATATTATCAATTTACAGAGGAACAATGTTATCACTGTGTACAAAGCTTAGTGGCATCCAAGAAAAAAATGTTCATAACACAAACAAAACTTGTTTACGAAGTGACATGGAAAACAGTAGAACAAATCACAAAGAAACATGTAGTATGTAGTCAATTTTTTTCTTAATAAAAACTTTTGAAATGTTTGATAAACTTATTAACTTATTGATCAATAAACTTGTTGCAGAAATCTGCTGCTGTGCATTTAGCAAGGCATTGCTCAGGATCTCGAGCAGAAAGAATCTACATGGATTGGATTTGGTGGATTCTGCAATTACTTCCATTTCAACATCTAGTCAGAGTTATGGACTGTTTTTTGCATGAAGGCATTAAAGTAAGAAATTACTTTAAATTACCAATAAAGTTGTAGTTCTTCATAACTATTGACTCAATATGATCTTATACTTATAGGTCTTCTATAGGGCAGCTATGGCTATAGTCTTATTATTTTACAAATATTCATCACCACAAAATTCAGAGTGGATGGCTGAAATTAATAAAAATGGAGTTGACGCGGCCCTTTCTAAATTTTGTAGACAAATGCCGGTAATTAATTGTCTTGACACAATTTAAAAACATTTTTTATAATGGTTATAATTTATTTTTCATCATTGCTTTAGGTAACGCCAGCCAAGTTTCTACGAACTGCATTTGGTATTCGTAATCTGAGTTCTGTTTACATATCGAGGGTATTTATTAGTATTGAAATAAACTTAAAAACTCGGAACGTCATATCGGGAACAAAGTCATTGGTAAAATCGCGATCAACCGATACTCTACCAACGAGTCAGTCGCAAATGAACATTCAAATGATGTCTCACACCCTCACGATAAGAGAGGTAAGTAGATCAGTTACGATGAATATATACGTAGAATGCCTTTTTTATTATGGTATTAAGTACTTTTATTTTTTTAATTATTATTACAGATTTGATTATTCATTTGTTACCTTCAGTAAATAAAATTTACGAGTATACTGACGTATAAAAAGGATATATATGTATATTTTTTTATAATTTATTTAATTTCTTTTTATCATACGAATGTTTTAATTAGTTATTTTTATTTATTCTATCAACTCTATCCTACTTTCTATTTTTCTAATATGACAATAACAGTGGTGTAGGGTTAATATGACCTCACAAGCGTCGTATTTTAACAAACATGGTTTTTGTGTAAGATCTATGGTCGCTTGAATCATTGATTTTTTTTTAATATACCAATAATTGTACAACACTTCAACTATAATTGTACATGGTTGATTGACTGATTTCATTTTGTTACATAGTGAATCGCTAAAGACACGACAAGTTTGAAGAATTATTTACCGAAAAATAACAATTCAATAGGACAATTAATTAGAACAAAAAAATTTAGCACAACTGAAAACTACAGAAGATTTTTTCAATGATTCACTTTGTTTTCAGAAAGAATGTGAAGACACGTACAAAGACAGGGTATCGTATAATTATCTTTTTGACCAATGTGCCGTTCGTTTCATGTGCTACCTTTTTTCTCCTCCCTAAAATAAAAATAAACAATAAACTACTACTTCGAGTTACACTCACACGTTACTCTCTTTCTCATTCATCGCGACACTGTATAGCGTCGTCGGCTTCTATCGCTGTTACCATTAATGCGTCACATATTGCAACTGCTGCCCTAATTTTTTTTAAGCAAGTGGTATTAATATTCATAATTCAATTTTTGCAACGTTATTTTTTTTTTGTTCGTTTATTTTATTTTTCGTTTTATCTTGGGTGCATCTATAACCATTCAAACCTGATTAGAAAATACCAAGAGTACGTTTAACGTGTTGTTATACGGTATCTATTGTTGCATTAAAATATGTAATTGAATATTTTTTAATCAGGTATCTTTACTCACAAAAATGCAGAGGGGCAATGGCAAATTTCTGAGCTTTAGTTGTTTCTTTTTTTTTTTTCGTGAATAATTTGATCTTATTATTTTCATTGCAAAATCACAATAAAAATGGTATTCGCCTATTTCTTTTTTGATTATATCCATGGAGCCAACCATCGTCTCACACAATCATTCGCTCGTACTCACAATGGGCGCACTGCAGTCCCGAAAAGAATTTTTTGTTGACAAACCTCTCACATCTGAGGCTCGCGCATCAAAGGCACATGATGCAAACAATCGAAAGGAAAAAAATACTTCATATTATCATCTCTCTGTATCTGGAAATAAAAATCGTAAAAGAAGCAAAGATCGATGAAGTATTTCTCGTTGAAAACATGTTTCTATAACCGTTGTTGTTCAATGAAAAACAATGGCACGGAAAGCTAAGCGATCACGCATTGCTGCTTGCCGCATGCTTTGAAATTTCGAGTGATATTACTCTGGACTAAAAGCAAATCTTCATCTCCACTCTCTCACTCTCTCTCTCTCTCTTCTCTCTCTCTCTCTCTCTTCTCTCTCTCTCTCTCTCTCTTTCTCTCTCTCTCTCTCTCTTCTCTCTCTCTCTCTCTCTCTCTTTCTCTCTCTCTCTCTCTCTTCTCTCTCTCTCTCTCTCTCTCTCTCTCTTTATCTATCTTTGTCTCTCTTCCTTTCTTGTATAACTTGTACTCTAACAAAGGTGCTCTGAATGTGAAAGACTAACGTTATATGGCTGCAAGGCATGAATGCTTTTTTGGCGGATAAAAGGAAGATGTGCGTGCGTGTGCCCCAACGTTAATTACAGCGAAACCCAACGAAAGCCTGCCACAGCGTATCGGAGGAAAAAAACGTTCTTTTCGTCTGCTCGTAAAAAGTATTCGTAAACATCGGGAAAGCGGCCCCGCACCGCTGGTTCTATTTCCGTTCGATCTCATACGCTTCGAACACTCGGCGCGAACAGACAGCATAATGTACGCGCGCTGTACGCTGTCTTAAAAATAGATTTTACACAAAGCTAACGTAACTCTTATAAGGGAAGGGAAACACGCCACTGCGGATGTAATTATTCCACTGGAATTTATCTTGCAACGTTTTCTTTCTTTGCGTTATTTTTCTTTTATCATTTCTTATCGATAAGAAGCTTTTTGAGGAAGTTATAAAAGTCGTTGTCGATGCATCGAGCTGCGCTTTTCAAAAGCTCTTGAGAATAACAGTTGGAATACTTGTATAACTATCTCAAAAATATATTTATGGAAATGTAATAATTATGACTGTGTAAAATTTTAATAATCATCGATATAATTCAACATCTAATTTTCCTATGATTTATACCATTTTTCGTTGTCTCTTGTGCTTCGAAAGCTCAATCACAAAATGTCAATAATTATCGCGCGTACATACTTTATGATTTACCTTGAGTTTCAGTTCGTTTCCTTGAGTTCCAAGCCTGTCACACACTTTTACGTTAATTACGCAGATATAAAATATTTTTTTCGTTTGACATTCGATTTGATGATCGTCGCTTCGATGTGTAATCATTTTCATCTGTCGAGCAACTCTCTCGCGAGAGCATGAATTTACAAAAACAAAGGTCAACTAGTGTAACAATCTTATACAGTTGCGTATTGTGTCTTTGTGTGTTGCGCTGCATTTCCTCGGACACCGTAATATCTCTGTGTGTCTCTTCTCGCTCGTTCTTTGACGATGATGGGGCTGTGCCAAAAAATAACGTAGGGCGCGCATAGTCCTGGACCACGACCCGCCCACGGCGTTTATCCCATACAAAACTTACGCTCCCAGATCCTTGAGGTGTCCGACGTAAGTAAAAAAACCCCGTCGACAGCTATCATTTCTCTCTTTCCTTGTACCTTTGTAGGTGATATTATCGTCGGCATGTAATTTGTTGTTTATCTTTTTTCAGTTTTGGGCTACTGTATAAGCTTCTTTGATTATATAGTCGACGGAAGAAACGTTATGCTTTTCTTTTTTTTGCTACTTGGCGATGAGTAATTTATTGGCAGGTCTGTTATAAACTTCACTCACGTATCGTCTCGAGACAAAGAGAAGCAGCCGTGCGAGAAGCGATCACTATTTTCTGTTTTTTTTTTTTCTTTTTCGTATCGTGATTCACCCCGAGTTTGTCGAGATCTCTTGAGGTTTCATCGCTGTGCGTTTCCTTCTTCTTTTTTGTTTCGTTTCGTTCGAGCATCTGTTTTTGTTTTCTACCGAGTGATACCTTGGCGTTTGGCATTTCGCGTAGATTAAGCCATACCAGGCTGCTTACAAACGCACGGATTTACGGACGAATCGAAGCTTGCTTATAAATCCGAATCTTTAGTTTGGACTTGAATGCTTTGCTATGTTATTGTTACCGAGCAAAAACTTGTCCAAGCGTGCATGCAAGCTTTGTTTTTTTTTGACGCTATCTTCCATTCATATTGTCTTCGATCGTCGTGCGTACTCGTCATTCCCCTCCCCAGGCTTTGGCTGTCATAATTTATAAAGCATGCGTTGTGCACTCTGGCATGGTTGAATTAGCAGTAGCTGTAAGATTAATTTTACTGCATATACAAAGCACCCTCACTTTTTTTTACAGTAAATCACATTTACAGAGCATCGATTGCGATTAAATGTTGTGAATTAACACGAATAACACACTGTTTCTTACTTTGAGAAAGTCGATGATTTGATGTGTGTGTCGAACGTTCGTGTACTTTTAAATCGATATTATGCCGAATCGGAAGACCGACAAAGAGATTGTTCTTTTCTACCGACAAGAAAATCATACATATTTGATGAAAGAACGACGAGTGCTTTGTAAAGAGATTATGCATTTACGTACGCTAGAATAGATTATAGCAGCTTGCTGGCGAGAACAAAAAAAAAAAAAAAAATAAATAAATAAATTGACGAGCTCGACGCGACTGGCGCAAAAGCCTAACGGAGTGTGTAACTTTGGTTTTGAAAGAGCTTGAACGCTGCGAGGCGGCTCGATTAAGCACGTCAGATTTTAATCGAGCGCGCTCAGCGTAAGAGCTCGGTCTCGTTATACCGTGCTCAAGAGCATCACCTTTTTTACCGCTCTGTTTGGTTTTTGCGAGCCAAAGACTGTTTCCTTCGCTCGTTTCACGTTTCAATGATTTTTATGATTTTTCGGCACCTCTGTTTGTCCTTCGTACGAGCTCACTTCATTTGACGAAAAATCGAAAACCGAGAGCTGCTATAAACTTTAACGGGACGTCATGACATGACGAGAAAAACAACTTAATTGGCGAATTTCGAGGGAGGGTGAGTGAACGAAAAAGGAAATGAAGCTTCTGTTTTTGCGTTGTCGACAGCTCTTCACCTTGTGGTCCTGGCTACCCGTGAGGATCACCATGTATCAGCCGATTCTGCTGTACACCACCGAGGAACACGGCTGCTCTCTCACCACTTTCTACGTGCGCGTAGAAAAATACGAGCCGACCCTTCTTATGATCAAAACCTGCAATAACGAAGTGAGTAGAAAAGAAAAACCCACAACTTGGCGGTGAAAAGCGAAAAATGAAAACGTCGACGGTTCCACAGGTGTTCGGAGCATATTGTTCGACAAGATGGTGCGAGAGAAACCTAAAGGACGACAAAGGTAACAGGCAGGCGTACTTTGGCACGGGCGAGACATTCCTGTTTAGTTTGTATCCGGAGAGGGCAAAGTATCCCTGGGTCGGCATGGACACGGCCAACGATGCGAAAGTCGATCACTCGGCGGAATTGTTCATGGCTGCCGATTCCAAAATGATCACCATCGGCGGTGGGTACGTATCGTTCTCTCTGTCGTCGTTACGGCTCTTGTTACGCCACGAGTTCACCCCACACGTTCGATTGAACAGAGACGGCCAAGCAATTTGGATGGACGAAAACATAAGGTTCGGCAAAACGGATCGCTGCTCGACTTTCAACAATCCGCCACTATGCGCCAGCGGCGACTTTGAGATTCGGGTCCTCGAGGTCTACGGCTTTCACGGAGCATAAGTCAAAGATAATTAATCGAAGAAGCTGCAGGCGGCCACGCTAGCCAAGTATTCAAATTTCCGTACTGCCAATTAGGTAGCGTACTGCCTACAAAAATCATACTTCATCGCTATTTCTTCTCATTCTATCTCCTCTCTGTCTTTCTCCACTGTCGTCGAGTCTTGTTTGTATATTAAATGTTGGAACTTTTGCCGCTTCACGCGTGAATGTCTTGTTAACACGTATACATATATTCACATACACACACACACACAAGCATCAATTCGTACGTATATATAATTATGCGTGAATACGCATCGTCGTGCACTCGTGTTAATTGAAAGAAAAAATTACCTTGATTATTTTGGAAAAGCTTTAACTGACATCATCCTGCGTATAAACTCAATTCTCTTTATATACCATATATGGATGTAAACGCTATGTACGATAGCGACTCGAAAATAAGTCCGATTTTTTCCGTTTGTTTTGATCTTTACATAATGATAGATTTCTATTTTCATTCGTTAAAGGTATACGCATGGTTTAAATCAACTAACAATGAATTTGCGGAATGATTGCTTTTAGCTTTTCCCCTCTTTCGTAGTTCTTCTTAGAATCGAAAGCGAACAATATAAACACGCGATCGATCGTTTCATTATCAAAATAAAATAAATAGAATGAGCTCAGCGGCAGCCCATAAGTAGTTCATATTCACAACGTTGACAATAATAGCACTCGAGCAGATCATTCGAATCCTTAAGTTCGGTATTTCTTCTTTATTTACTTTGCAGACTAGAAAAAAAATTAGTTTAACCTGATTACTTAACAAACAAACAAAAAATATTCATTGGACCAGAAAGTTAATAATACGAACACACTTTGTACATATTTATTTAATTATGTCTTTATAATTTTTAAGATCGCATTCATGTTTGTACAAATATATTGTTATATAACAATTTATTTAATTTAGCAATGTTACGTACTAGCTTTAATCTGCCGTTAGAGAAAAAAAAGCAAAATGGCAAAAAAGGATATTTGTTTTTATATCATATAACTTACTCTATCTCTGTATATATTATAAATATATATAAATAAAACGAAAGAGTAGTTAGTGTACTATCAGACAAATTGTGATTGGCAGCTGGTGCTGGCTCGTTAACCCGTGAACTGAAAAGACTACAAATACGTCTTTTGCAAAAATACTTCCAGGCTTTTTATCGATTCGCTTGTTGGAAAGCAAAGAAAAAAGTATAAAATATTTTTTTGCTTGCGTTTTATTCTCGTTGTGACTCGTACTGCTTAAGTTTTTGTTCTCTCTCTCTGTTCTCTCTCTCTCTCTCTCTCTCTCTCTCTCTCTCTCTCTCTCACTTTCTCTCTCTCTCTCTCTCTCTCTATGTCTCTCACTCTCTGCATAAAAGTGGCTGGCACCACTGAGAAAGAAAAGTGTTTAATTTTGTCGTCCACATATCCTCAAGCGAGCAAAGTGTGAAGATTTGAACATGTGTCATTCTTCCTCTTTGATACACACACATGTGAGCGACACCCACGGAAATATATACTCTGGTAAAAATATTTCTTTGTACGAAGTATTTGTCTTTGAAACGAACCGAAACAAAGAGCAAAATAACTCGACATGACTTCAAACGTAGTATTATAATCATGCAAAGGATATGACTGAATTTATGAATGATAATGATAATAAAAGAAAAATAATAATGTTTTATTTGTTTGCTTGACGGCAAGATTGTATAAAAAAAAAGCGTTGCAAATTTTGAATGGTATTTTTTGGAAATATTTTTACCAAAGCGCGCGCGTGTACGCGCACATATACACTCACAAAGAATATTATTAAGGTAGCAAGACAAAGAAATGTATGTTTAACGAAATAAAAGTAAAAAAAAATAAACAAAAAAACAGTCGCGTATGATTGTGTCTATATATTTGGTGACGCCATATGCGCATTTTCATAATGTACAAATCGCATATTGTACAAGATTATATATATATATGCTGTTAGAAATTTAATTGTATATGTCACGTAGTTGACTAACAAACGCCTCTAAGCCTCCTTGCTTGCCTACTTGAAAGAACGATTTTGAAAGCAAGCACGCTCGTAACATCACAAACTAATGTAGAGCGTTATCGTGCGCGGATCGATGCATATCAGACACATTTGAAAAAAAATGTGAAACGAATTTTCATTCACTATTGTTTTTTCTCAAAATTTTAAGGAAAGTCGTTTTCCTTCCTCCGTACTACTGCATAGTAGTATATTGATATATCAAATGAAAAATTCCTTTGCGTAATCGCACATTTTCGAATGTATCTTGAAGTATTCTCTGCAGCATCACAGAATTTCATACGTCAGCGTTAGTAATCTTTCATTACTGTAAAGATTTTTCATTATTCACTTACGTTTTTGCTATTCTAAAACAAAAATTTCGAAGCATTTATTTGTTGAATAAAATCAAATGTTACGTTTATAAGATTCAATGCAATAATTGTTTGTTTGAGATAATCGAATGTTGAAAGTAATGACAAATGCCAATATAGGTATTAGCTTTCGTTTAACGTAAAACTACGAACAAAGAAAGAAAAGCAAGAAAATTATTATAAATGTTATATTTACGTAGCGTTCGTCGTACAATGTATAATAATATATATTTAAGGACTCTCCCAAATCATGCTTATTACGAGTGACAATTAGCGCTATGGATAATCAACAAACTATAAGCTTAGTTGTTAGCTTTTTTATATCTGTTAATTTGTAACTATTCTCTTTTTTGTACAGTCGTAGCATTTAATGTTTATATTCCTTTGCGAATACGAGAACTGCTGTTGTGCGTTTATGGCACATATGTGTAAATATTAGATATTCTGTAAAAAACAAACGAAAAAAAGCAATTTACCGCATTTCTATTAATTTGAAAGTATTATGTTGTACTGATTACTGTAGAGCTGTAAAATAGCAACTATTCATATTATTCTTTCTTTCATAATTTTATATATTAATTTTTATACAAAATAAACAGGATTACTATATAGATTAATTATTTAAGTTATATTTACGCCGATATACGTACATCATGAATTTCTGTTTTTATTGGAACGCGAGTGATATTTACGAAATGCACTGCATCAGTTCTCATATTCAAAGGTCTCAACGATATGTCTAACACTAACAAATCTGCACACGTACGTTCTAAGCTTGTACAATTGCTGTAGTCCCTTTTCTAAGCTTGTTTTATACGTATAAACAAAGGAAAAAAAGATTCATATAGAATCATGTGTCAAACGGAAAGAAATCTATAGAATTTAGATTTTATTTTGTAAAAAAAACTGAGGAATTTAACACGTGAAATTATAGTTAGTATATGAAAGTCAGAAACATAAACAAACAATATTTATGTTTGTTGATCAATAGACTGCGAACATCATTCGTCTTACTTGAAGAATTAAAAAAAAGAAGAAAGTAAAAATATGTAATTGTAGCCTATGTAGAGAATAAAAAATTTATTGAAAAGTAAGACTCATGATGCTTACTCGTATGGCAATATACATGAGTTATATCAAGTAAAAACCACAGCTTTGAATTATAGACTTGCATCGTCAATTTTCTTTTTGTAGTGCATCGGTTCAAATAATAAAAAAAAACAAATATTTTACGACGAAGTGGAAAAAAACTGTTCAATGTTGTAAGAAAAGGCAATCTAAAGTTTGTAGTGTTGTTAATCGTAGCGCATAGTGCGTCAAAACCTTCAAACGGCCACTCGAAAAAATGATAAAAATGATACGGTTGACCTTAAAGGAAAAAGAAAATAACACATTAATGCGTTGTACGCGACGAGCGTGAATTTACAAACGGAACTATATATACACTTTTGATGGTTTTTAATTGAGTATAAAAGCATAGCCTAATTTACGAGAGTAAAAGTGACGTACACAAAATGGTATTATATTATACACGAAAAAAAATATATTATATATATAAATGTATATTATACATAAGAAGAAAAAATCTATACGATAATGGAATGGAATGTTTTTAAAAGCTTTCCGTGTGTAAATTAATGTTATATTATCGCCAGTTGTACTGTTTCCTCGATCAAAGTTGTTGCCTGATTATTATTAATTATTATCATTATTATTATATGATATACATTATCGTCATATCATGGTCGTTGTCATAGATATAGATTATTGAACAATTAAATACAATTCTTGTTACATCAATTGCTCATCTCTTATTTCTCCATCTCCTCCACCACGTATGTCATATTTTTCAATCTACAAATACCATTCCATATAAAAATGTAACAAACAATACGTAATCCATTTCCAGCTAATTTGTGTTACGCAACTTCAGTTTGAGTTTTTCAATTCTAATCAAGTGTTTACTGCTACAATTATTTTTCAATAGTAATACTCAATTTTCCTTCTGTTGTAGCAAATACTTAATTTAGATAGTATAGAAAATATTTATTAGATTTCAATTTGTTGTCTCGCATTAATTAATACAAATAATAGAAAGTAGCAAGCATTAGAAATAGAGTTTCTCCTTGATAAACTACAAAATACGTGTTTAACATAGTGATATAAAAAAAGGTCACGTTCCGTCTAGTATCTTATACGTCAGCTAAATAGTCTGCGAGTAACCACATACCTAATGATCCGCGGAGAAGCGTTTATGTGTTGAAAAAACAAAAGAGAACGAGGAGGCAACGTGGAGTAAAAAGAACGAAGCGAAGATGCAGGTATCGCGTCATCGTGGTTGGCGCATATAGCGAGGCATAACTCTTCCATATTTGTACGCAACGAGGCCCAAAATCGACACAAAGGCGCTCGTTTGCGAAAGCACTCGAAGAGCATCAACGTGCCTTCGTTATTCTTCTATTCACGTTGGTGTGTAAATTATACAAGAGGTCTGCCGTATTCACTTGGAAAAAAGAAACATTGGAGAGCGAGCCTCTTTCAACGACTAATTTTACGGACTCGACATTCCGCCACCGTCTCTCCCGGCAGCACAGCTACAATTTCAGAGTGCGCGTCCGTTTGAATGTCGCGCAATATCCCGAAAGGTCGGTTTACGCCAACCGCGAATAACGCTGCGGAAGCATCCGACGAAGCGCCTTCGCGGATGAAAAACTGTAGCCAGCAGCGCGCGCGCGTGACAGATGAGCGTCGTCGACAAGCGACGAGATGACGGCGAGTGCGCGTTACGTGCACATGCGACGGGGCGCATACCCGTTTTGTGGGCGCTCGGCGTGGCTTGCGCGCAGTAACGCGCACTTGAGAAAAAGTGAGAAGAAGAAGAAGAAGAAGAAAAAGCGACGTCGAGCCGTGTTGGCTCTTTACAATGTCATTATGCGCGAGCAGGCAAGCGAGCGCGCGCGCAACACTCTGCCTCTCGCCAGTTGTCGCGTCGCTCTTCGACCAGCTTGCACGGCACATTATAGGTGGGTCCATTATTGGTTATAATTGTTCAAATTCTTTTTTTTTTCTTTCACGCGCCTCAACCTCGCATAAGTCAGCCAAAGCATTGCAGGCGACATCGTTCGTAATGGATACTCTCGTCGATTCGGTTCGCAGATTCTATCCAATAAACGCCGAAAGATATTCGTACACGCTCGCAGTCAGAATGACAAATTATTTTTGACTCGAGCCGTCAAGCGCGCTAGAGTGTGAAAAATGCGGCATTAGCGCGGCTACTAACATTCGTGGCTGTCATTACAATTGTCCACGACGACCGGAATAATCCTATCAATTTATCACGATGTATTTTTCATGTCACCGTCATTTATTTACACAGTCAAACCACTTCGAATGCAACGGACAATGCTTGAACGACTCCAACTACAATTGTTTGAAAAAAGAATATTGAATTCGGGGCATTTTTATTTGCACTCGCATGATACCAGTAAACAATTGTAATTGCGTTCTCGGTGAAAGCTCCTTTCGCGAGTCTCGGCACGAAGACGGACGAAGTGCTCGTCCTCGGCAAATTTGACGATGATTTTGGCGAGTTACTGGAACGCATCGCGCGGTGCTCCAGTTGGTCGCGCGATTCGAAAGGCGCGTGCTCGTAAGAAATCGAGAAACATACGAACGCCGCTTTTATCGCGGCGAAAATACGTGACGATTCCGCAAACACTCGGCAGGTGTTGCGTCTGTTCTCGCGCGAGGCGATCGGCTCGCCGAAGTGAGTCGGCGTCGAGTTTCTCGAGGATGCGACCAATGACGTTTGGCCGACAGCGTTGGACGCTTTGCTGTACGCTCGCGCGCGGAATTTGGGTCTAGTCGCGCTGCGCCAGTGTGCGCAGCGGCTTCCTCGTTATCATCTCCGCCGCGAGGTTGTCAACTCGGGAAACGATAATTGGTTCGCTTAGCGTTCGCCACCGAAGCAGCTGCATTATCAGCGACTCCGAGCGCTCGCGCGTAATTATAACTTGACGCGATAGCGCGCATTCGACACGGTCTCGGCGCTGTTGTCGGTCGTCGTCGTCGTCGTCGTCGTCGTTGTCGTTGTCGTCGTCGTTGTCGTCCAGCTCGCGAGCGTCGCCTCTCGCAGATCGGAAGTGGGCGCGAGCGCGAGAAGAGGAAGCGAGTCCCTGACGCTTGTGCGACGACCTCGTCGATTTGGGCGAATTAGTATGGGGAGCACGCGGCTGCGGCGGCGGCGGTGACACGACGAGGCTAGAGGCCGGCCGACTGGCTTAGTCGGCACACAGCCAGCGCCAAGGCTACCACCCACCCACGTGCCGGCTCGCAGCTCGGAGCGTCGCTTCACCGTCGTGCGCGCGAGCTTTTCGGCGCCCGCTTCCGGTCGACGCGACATGTAGAGGCCAACGCGTCAGTCCAGTCGCGTCACCGTCGACCAACGACAATCGACGCGCGCGCAAAGTCCGAGATGAATGTAATGACGCACCAACGACAGGAGCGCACGAGGAGGATGTCGCAGGTATCGCGGCTGTCGCCGGAGGACGCCCAGTCGGCCGCGGCCGCGCGAAATTACCGAAGGAGCAGCTTGGCAGCGACGCTCCACGCCAACCTCATCGGGCTCGCCGCAAATCCGGACGCTTTCGACGTGGCCAGGCGCCGTCTCAGCAACGTCAGCGACGTCGTCTCCAGAAAGATCTCCAAAACCATCGGCTGGAGGTCGTCGCTGTCGGTTTCCGTTGAGCTCACCGTCTCCCAGGTACGTTCGCGTCGAGCGCTCGATCGTTCGCCGTTCGTTCCCTCGCGGAGCCTCGAGTTGCCTTTTCCAAATGACGCGTGGAGTGGAAGAGGAAAGAACGGCCGACTCCGCCCGAGAAGCGCTTCGATAAGAATAAGCGCGATAGAAAAACAACGAACAACGCAAGTGAAAGCTCGACGGATGCGTTCACAACGACATGTATGGTAGGGAGATGCGACGGAGACTGACCGAACTTAAGCATGTTTCAAGTAGAGTTTATTGCACTCGAGCTCTCGTTTCATCACCTCAAAGTAAACGGCGTGTAAATAACGACGAAAACAGTGACAGAGCGCAGTTTGCCGATTATTGTAGTCGAATTTGTTCTCCTGAACAGCGTAAACAACAAACTGCATTCGTCGTCGATGCGCACCTTCGTGAAAAACAGATGAAACCTTTTGAATACAAGGCGAATTCGTAAACCCTGTTCGAGTCGTAGTGTAAGTGACTGCCTCCTTGAAAATTTCCCGCCGGTTGGTATATTTCACACCTGAAAGATCGATCGTGTAAGCGTCTGACTTGGGACAATACGCTCGTGGCGCTTTACCTCGGTTAAACCGAGAATCTTGACACTCGACGAGGACGCGTTCGTACGTGTGCTCGGACGACAGGTGAACTCGCGGTCGGTACCCAAAAGTCTCGTTGGTGACCTTGGAACGCGCGTGGTGCCTGCGGACGGTTCGCTTGGCCGGAGGCTCAACCCTTATTTGTCAATAAGCGGCGTCGATCGGCCCTTGCAACGATGTCGTTCATCTTGGAATTGGGCTCCTCGACCACGGAATTCCAGTTGCCCTCGCCGAAGAGGCTCTTGCAAATGGGACCTACACTTCTTGCGCGCGCCTCAGCGCTTACCGTATTTCCGAGCGCTCGAAGCGCACCGGCTCCTCCTGTATCAGTTACTCGAGTCAAGAGCTGTTAGGGCCTTTCCACACCGAGCAAATATTTCTCTCGTGTTCTTGTTCCGTGTAGTTCTCTACCTCCAGAAAAATTACTATATTCAACATTCACTTCTTATTCGCTCGTTTAAGAATCCATCATCTTTTACTCTTTTACTTTTTTAAAATTTTTAAGTCACATTAAATATAATAAACTGGTGCACTTGATATAAATAAATAAATATTATAAAGAGAACATTCCTGCAGGGCGTAGTTTAAATTCTCATTTTTTGCCGAGTGCTTCTCCGGCGAAACTCGGTTTTTTATTGCTTTTGTAGTGAAGACTAAATTAATCAGAGCCAGTAACAACGCTAAACGGCCCCGGAGGGTTGTCGAATCCTGTCAGACTTCGATTTGGCTTCATAGTCGAACAAATCGTGCAAGTCGGAGTAGGGGATATCTTTTATTTTTATAAGTTTTCATGCGCCGGAATCCAGTAAAAAAGAAGTTTAGATTTTTAAAATATAGCTGCTATTCTTGACATTAGGAGATTGAAGAAATTGGAGAGCGTTTAAAGAGTTTGACACGATTTTTTATGTCAGTCATTATGTCTAAGACAAACGCACAGAGCAATGCATGCCGTGTTAACCGAGACTCGAGGGTCGATAATTTTTTTCACGCATGTGCGGGATTGCTGCTATCGATATAGACGGCAAATGCGTTGCTCTTTGCAGTAAATCATTTAAAAGCGCATTTGGAAAAGTTCTTTATTTGAACTACTGAAGTATATTAATATTTCATTAAATTATAAATTTAATTTAGTTTAAAAAGTATCTTATAAACGTAGCTGACATATTTGCACTTTTCAAACCACCTGCTCGGGGAGATACAAAAACACCACAGGGGTATTCTCTCACCGTGGGTTATTGGGAAGGCCTTAAGGGTATCAACGACAACGAGCTCGCTTCTCATATCCGTTCCACGGTTGACGAACGTGCGCAAGGTATCGCCGCGACGAACGAACAAAGAACAAAAGGAAAGCCTTGGCGCCGTTAGCCAGTTGCGAGCGTGACTCGTCTGCTCTTGCTTTGCAATCGTTGAAATCACACCGACGAGCGCGACGTCGGGTCTGCGTCGTGCCGCGGTCGTCGCGCGGCAATGGCGTATTATTTTTGGAAAGCAAGCGCAGAGAGCGGGCGTGCGTAATCGCGCCGACAACGGTAAAGCGGCAAATCGGTAGTAATCGGCGAGGCTCGAGAGCGGATGGCAGCGAACGCGCGTAAACGGGGCGACGATCATCCCCAACAGGGCGCGTCGCTGTGCGGCCAGTACATGCGCAGCCGGCTGAAGCGCTCGGGCATATACCAGCGCAAGCTGGGCTTGAAGCGAATGCGCAGCGCGAAGCTGCTGAGCGGCCAGGCGCTGGCGCAGGAGGTCTACCCGGAGCTGATGGCGGTGGGCGCCGAGCTGGAGAAGATGCACCCGAAGCTGTTCGAGCGCGTCGCCCGGCAGATCGGCTACGGCGCCTTCAACTCCGAGCAGAGGGTCGTCGACGCGCTGACCGACGTCGCGCGCGAAATGCTCCGCGGCGGCGGCGGCGAGTGCAATTGGGCGAAGGTCGTCGCCCTGTACGCGGTGGCCGGCGGCATGGCGGTGGACTGCGCGAAGCAGGGCAAGCCCGAGTTCCTGCTCGCCGTACAGAGGGGGATGACGATGGTGCTCGAGGAGGATCTGGCTGCTTGGATTCAGGCCAACGGCGGATGGGTGAGAGCGTCGGCCGGGCGAAGTGTCGCGCCGATCGTTTCATTGCGCTCTTTGTTGCAGAGTGCCCTGGCGCTGCGCTATCGACCGGCGCCGAAGCACATCGACTGGACAACCAGTACGCTCGTCCTGTTCGTTGCCGCGACGACGCTGTTGGTCGGCGTCGCCGCCGCCCTGCTCGTTCGACTCTTCGTGCTGTGACGAACGTCCTTTTCCTATTTCGACCAATGTATATACTGTATAAAATCGTTATAAGCCTGCATTTATGGAGAAACCGTGGAAGCGACGATTGCTCAATTCACTTTGTCGTTCAAACGTTCTCGGAATTTATTTTATTATGTTACCGACGATGTCCCCATTTACATATTTTTCATTCGTGGCCAATACACCAACTTTTATTACATTTTTTCAATTTATCTTTTGCTCTTCCCTCTATCGGAAGCTTTTGACGTAAGACTCGGTCTCCCCCCTTTCCTTTTTTTTTTATTTTTGTAGTGAACGTCAAACGTAAGTATGCGCGAAGATTAACGTATAAATATAGAGAGGACGGCGCTTTGCACGAAGGACGCAGAGGAGCAGAAGCGACCGCATCGATTCAGCCCTTCTCCGGGGTCGTCGATTTCTCCGCGTCGACGCTGTTCTTCTCGCCGGCCTTGGACTCTTGCCGCCTGAGCTCCCGAGCCTCGCGCGCCCTCTCCTTCTCCCTCTCTCGCGCCTCCTGGAAGCAAGAGCGAAGGATGAGCAGCGCCGTCGACGCGTTCCCGCGGCGCGTCAATTGGAACGCCGACGCGTACCCTCTTGGCGGCCTGCGCCTTGGCGATGTTGCCGTAGACCGCGAGGAAGCTCCGATTCACTTCCCTCTTCTCGAGTGTCTCGAGGTAGCGCTTCCTCGCGTCCAGCACCTCGGCCAGCAGCTTCTTGTGCTTGAGCGCGAGCTCGAGCGCGCGGCTCCAGTTGTACATCTGGAGGTTCATCCTGATGGCCTCGGCGATCATGGCGCTCTGCAGCAGGATGCCCTCGGCGCCGAGCAGGTCGCCGGCCAGCAGCGCCATTTCCGCCAGGCGTTCCGTCTCGTTCGGCATTTCCTGCGCGACAGCTGGTCGTGAGCGTTCGATCGCGAAGGGAGAGCGGTAAAAAGGCGAGCCGCTCACTTTGATATAGCGGATGTAGTCGACCTTGTCGAAGCGAGCGACGGCCGCGCATGCCTCCTCCGCGATGTTCAGCTGCCTGCCGTCGATGGCCATCACCGCCAGGCAGGTCCACAGGGTGTCGCTCTGCAGCCAGAGCGAACGCATTGGAGGGTGCGCGAGGAGCGAACGCGACTGTCGCGCGAGCATACCTGGACTATGCGGCAGACCGAGACCGCCTCGTCCCACTGTCCGTTGAGGATGTGCCGGTGCAGAGTACCGACGAAGGCGTAGAACGAGGAGACGACCAGGGCGCCGTCGCCCCGGCGAACGGTCACGAGGCCGTTGCTCACGCTCACGATCGCGGGCTGCTTGCCGAACTCGCTGTGAAAAGAAGACGAGAGAGAGAGAGAGTCGGTCCGGCCGTGGTCGTCGAGCGACGGCGCGCGTGTCACCTGCTGTCCTTGTCGACGCGCGTCCTGCGCGCGAGCTTGCGGTCGCCGCAGTGCAGGCAGCTGGGGCACAGCCAGACGGACAGAGTGGTGTCGAGCATGCCGGCCAGCACGTTGGCGTCGCTCGCCCAGGCGACGCTCTGCGCCATCGCCGCTGCAACGGGGGTGGGGGTTCGAGGGGATCAGTCCGTCGGAGCTGCCCGGCAACTCTCGGCCTGCACCTACCTATTCTGCAGGCGCGCCCGAAGCCGGCCGAGCGCACGGGCACGAGGAACAGGTCGCGATTGGCGTCCACGAGCGCGAGCTGCCGGTCGCCGAGTCCGCCCACGTAGTTCAGGCCCAGGCTCGTCACGTCCTGCGCGTGCGCGTAGGGCTGGGCCTCGGCCAGCGGCTTCTTCGGCGACACCTCCAGCACGTGCACAACTGAGAGCGACAGAGAGAGAGAGAGAGAGAGAGAGAGAGAGGCGAGCTTTAGCTGCCGAGCGACGAAGGTCGCGGGATGGGCGCTCACGTCTGCGATTGGTTTGGTCCCTCGCGACGATGGTGTCGCAGCAGACGGACACGCAGGGTGGATAGAGCGGCTCGGCCGTCATGTTCTTCCATCTCGGCGCGCCCAGCGACCTGCCCTGGTAGTTGAACAGCGACATCGCGTTCCACTCGAGCAGCAGGAAGTGCCTGCGCGCAACGGACGCCGATGAGCCCGCGAGGATCGACGCCGACGGGACACTCGACTCACTTGTCGGCGAGCAGCACGGCCGAGACCGAGCCGCCCTTCAGGTCGACTATCGCCGGCGTGTTCCAGTTCTTCACCGAGTAGACGTGGCACTGGCTGGGCGTGACCGCCACCAGGTGGTCGAAGCCGAACGCCAGCTGCACCACGCGCTCGGCGATGTCCAGCGTCTCCCGGACGTCGCTGCCGACCTCGCTCACCAGCACGGCCTTGCGCTTGATCAAGGTGGCCTCGTAGCCGCCGTACGCGAGCCTCCTGGAAGTTGAACGTCACGCGTACTCGGCGCCGCTGCACCGCGCCCATTTTACAACCGTCGCCCGCTGTACCTCTCGATCACGTGGGCGATCGGCACGCTGCCGGAGCTGCACGCCAGGGCCGCCTGCGTGCCGTCGCTCGACCAGGCCACGTCGTAGACGCTGCCCACCTGCAGCTTCTCCGTGGAGTGCGGCCACTGCGCCCCAACAATCCAACAGGCTTTAGCGCGCCGAACCGACCGAGCCGCGAGTCTAGCGCTTCGTCTTACGCACTCCGCTTCTGTCGCACAGCTTGACCGCGTTGAACGAGCCGACGGCGAAGTAGCTGCCGGACGAGCACCAACTGAGCGCCGTTATCGGCTGATCGCCCGGGCCGCTGGCGTACAGGATGGCCCCGTTCGCGTCCCAAACCTGAGGAGCACGGAGATCGACGGAGATCGGTCGCGCATCGTTTCCGCGCGACCTCGGCTCACCTTGTAGCGGCAGTCTTCTCCGCCGGACACGATGAGATCGTGGAATGGATTCCAGGCGACGGCGAGCACGAGGCCGTCGTGAGCTACCCACTGAAACAAACGTCGGTGTCGCTGATCGGCCGCTCGCGATCGAACGGGCAACCTCGTTGCTCACCTTGGTAGGCTTGCCGCTCGCCGTGAGCGACTGCACGAGCAGTAACGACGCCTGGGAGTAGAGGATGGACGAGCCGTCGGGGCTCCAGGCGGACGCGAACACCTCTTGGCTGCCGCGGACCGCGGTGGAACGCAGCATGCCGCTGCGCGACCAGACCTTTATCAGCCCGTCCTCGCCGGCTGCGAGCATCGACCCACGCGTTGTCATTCGTTCCCGTCCGCGCGATCCGCCGGCCGCCGATCGGCTTACCTGTCATGAGGGCGCTCCCGTCCTGGCTCCACTTGCCGGACAGCGTGGCCCCCGTGTGCGCCTGGACGGACTTCTCGACGCGGCCGGCTCGGCTCACCAGATGAAACTTGCCTGGGGACAAGCGATGCACGGCCTTTCGATCTGTCGTCGCTCCGAGTTTCGCCTACCGTCGGCCGCGCTCTCACGTACCGTCAGCCGTGCTGATCAGCAGGACGTCCAGCGATTGCTTTTTCACGGCCCCGACGCCGCTCGCCTGAGCGGGCCTCGGCTGCCATTGCATGTCCGTCGGGTAAAAGTCCTCGGGCAGCTCGGCTACGACTCTCGAGTTGATCGCTCCGTCCTCGAACTTCCAGCACATCAACGAGTGATCGTCGCTGTGCGCAACCGACCAATTTCATTATTGCACTCTCCTTCGAAGACAGCCATATCGAATACTTGCCCGCACGAGTATATTTCATCCGACGAGATCCACGTTACGCACGTGACCGCCTTGCTGTGGCTGTTTGCGCCTTGCTGCTGTGATATTTTGAACTTCATGCTCCGACAATTGTGGCAACCACTTTTCCTCCTTTTCTCACCGCTCTACGGGCACAGAGTAGCGGACTCCAAGCTTGGGGGGTTACACTGCACTGCCGCTCGTAGACTAGAGTACAGCTGATTCGTGTTTCCACGGTGACCACAGTTTCACAACAATAATCAAACGGCTTGGCCATTAACGCTCTATTCTAACTATTCTTATTGGTCGATTGTATTGCGTCGCGCAACACTCCATCCAAATAAATGCATTTCAAACCATTGACTACAACTCCAATTTAAGATTGTCGAGGTTGATAGGAATTAAACAGAAGAGACTTTTCATTACATTTTGCATATGTATTTATTGTATAATTCCTGTTTATTTTTCATACATTTTCGCCCTACATAACGATGCACCATTAATCATCCTAAACAAACACATTATAACGCGACCCCACGATAATAGGACTTCACAACCTTTAACAGATCTAGGAGCAACGACGCGCTTCAAGAAAATTCAATACTGTCGATCGGATTTTTCTCGCGCATCAATTTTACACTTTTTTTTTATCAGCTATGGAAGATTTCGTTCGCTTGCGAAGCTGCTATAATAATACATATAAAATACAATATTTATAAAATAATATGATAATTTGTACAGTCGACAAATTGAATATATATATTTTTTCTTCTCATATATATATATATACTTAAAATTTAATTCTTTATTTAAACGCGTACTTTTCGTTTAATATTATGTTATTTTATACTTCTATTAATTTTACACTGCTTAATTCTGCGACGGTTAATCATATGAGCGTTAATAGTGTTTTATATGTACAACTTTCATACTGCACTACGAACAGCACCACGGATTTCTAATCGACGAACATTCCGATTAATGTATATCCGCTGCTTAAAAGTAATCATAAGTTGTTTTTCATTAAAGTTAATGCGAGTTGCGATAAGTGTAGGATTTTTAAAATCATCGATTTTGAGCGCTAGTAAGGACATCAAACTTTCATTGCTACAAGATCGTGAGTTGATTAAAATTACTTTTTTAAAGATTCATCGTGTAAATGTAGCAGGATATGTGAATTAATTGATCATTTCCAGAAAAAGACAATCACGGAAATTAAGCATGGTCATATCTCCTGGTGTTTTTCTTAATTGCCACAAGATTTTGATGTACTTTTTTGTGCTCTTTTAATTAATAGTAGTTAAAAATCCTGGAGTCTCGATGCTGATAGTTCACTTACAACGTAGAGATCATCAAGTTTAAAGCTTCTTGTTAGGTGTTTGCCTTTGAATAAATAATTTATTTTATCACGAATAATAGTTCTTTTAACACCCTAAAATTCCTGCTTACACTTAAAAAATCATTGTAGTAAAAGAAAAGAAACGAAAAGGAATTCAGCCTTCTTAGATTTTGTCACTATACACAAAACCACAATTTCTTTTTACTTCATTTGATTAAAAATCGAGAGTCTAGGCATCTTACATAACTAATTTAAGATAATTTGATATTATCCATAATTTTTTGACAGTGCATAACAATGGACGTATACTGCAATGCGCAAATTATTTCTTTCGGACGATCTCATCAATTTTGTCTCACAAAAGAAATACTTCGTTTATCAAATCATAACAGTTTATCCTTTTTACATTCATTTACAATAGAAAAAATATATACATATAATATGTAACTCACTTGAAAATGGAAATAATTATCGACGAGATCTTTTGATTTTGTGTAAATTGATAATAATGTAATTTTTACTTTATTTGAACACAACTTGTTACTCTATTTGAAAATAATGAATTTTACTACAGTATCGATACTAATAATTATTCGTAATTAAAGTACTGTCTAAAATTAATATTATTATTCGTCGCTTATTTTGAAATTTGACAAATCACTATTGAAATGCTACAATATTTCGTCAATAATTAGTATATAATATTACTATTCAACAAATTCATTATTATCAAATTTTTTTCGATTTTCAAGATGTATTTTATCAACAACTGTTGGCATAATTGCTCCCTTTAAAATACCCGTGATTTTTAGCAAGTCACTTTTGAAATCGTTAATTGTTACACAGCAGTTTTATGCAAGCTTTTATAAAATTAACAAACAACAGCATTACAATTTTTCATAGTGAAATCCCATCAAATGTAGGAACGATTAGATTTTCTCTCTCGACGCTGAGTTCCCGAAAAATTTCATTTCCAGCTATTCACTCATGGTCTTGAACGAAGTCTCTCATTCGTTAATAGTGCTTCAAGAATTTTTGATCAATTGAAAAATGACAAATACAACTGAAAACGATAATTTTACAAACAAAGTGCTTACAGAGTTTTCCAAATTGAGCGAAAAGTGCTGTTTTAACCAGTGAAAATAAATCGCATAAAAATATGGCATCAATTAGTGCATGTACAACCTATTGAAAATAAGTAATTACGCAAATTCGAAAAATATAAAAGTAACATAATAATTATGTTTTAAATAACTCATTGAGTTCTATTGCACAAGTATTGGAACATTGAGTTGCGGAATATTGCAATAAAGGCGAGATGTAAGTTATACACTTACGTAATTTCAATATAAATATTGTCTCGATGTAAGAGATATTATTGCAAAAGCGTCTTTCATATGTGATGCATAAACAAGAATGCTTTTCTAATACTGTTAGTTCAAAAATAACCGACACCCTTATGGCATCTTATCCATATGCACGTAAGAGTCAATTAATTACGTATTAGACTTATTCTTTAAATGTGAATGAATCCTTTTTCATCTACTTATTTTGTAATCAAACACGATTCATAAAACAATTTCACATTTAGTATAAAATAATTAAATAAAAAAAATCTCCATTCGAGTTATCCATGCAAATCGTAACATAAATTATTTTTTCTTTAACGTTGAACAAAGAGATTTCTATATCATTGAATTGTTGCGTTTTCGTGCATTAAGTTTATCGCATTATTAACGGTAACTACAAGTTTAAGAAACTATGTTAGCAGAAGAGAAAGTGTTCAATACACGTGCGTGAATCTGAGAATGTCTAATGCAAGAATAAACGACAAATTTGTGTTAGTTTGTAGATTAGAGGACAAAATAATCAAAAGAATATTGCATTTTTATATTCGTAGCTTTCTACAGGTCTAAACAGTCTTATGTCATGGAATGGCGCGAGACATTACACCTTAATTTATATTACTACGTGTACGCTGAACTTTTGGATTAACTTTTTATACTCTAAAGATGATCATACTGCTATCGTTAATAAAAAAAAGCTGCTCTTCACTCTATTTACACTTATAATTATTTTTGTCTTTTCGAATAACAAAATATTTCATAAAATTTACCACTGATAATCGTAAGTTGTATGTCAGTATAATATTTTGATTACTCGAATCATTATTACGCAAATATTGTTTTGATTGGAAACTACCCGAAAAGAGAAAAAATTGTCGCTGCTTTTACACGCCAGTAATATCTTGCAAATTAACATCCTTTCATTTCTCGCAGCATCATCGTGATTATTACATTTTCTTATCAAACTGATTATGATAGCACCAGTAACCACTAGCTCTTTCAATATATACAGTACGATTCCTATTATACACAAGTAATCAGTTAAGAAATGTAATCTCCAAGTACGCTCGCAATTCAAACTGAATGTCGAGGTATACCGCACAGTACAATATTTTGAAAAGTATTAACATGTCTCAATTCAATGCGTGACTGTTTCGTCGCCTGAGAAACGTACGGCTATTGGCCGGATAGACCCTCGTTAAAAAAATTAGCGAACTGCCGAGGGCAAGTTTGACAGGTGCAGCGTTACCTCCAGGCAACTTTATAAATACTGTAGCTACCGCGGCGACTCCGTCCTCCGTTGGTTCGACCGCAACTGGCCTTACTTCATTGTGGAAGTTGACCACTTTGTTTCGTCTGCTTTTGCGTTGTGGTGAATTTGGACTGCATTCGCTTTGGCTCGATGGAGAACCCTACAATTAGAATCAAATTGATATTCAATCGACCTAATAATGACAGTCAAAACTCATTGTATTTAATGTTGTAAGAACTTACCTCGCGATCATATAAAATGGTAGCAGAAGCGAAGGGTCTCTTAGCCATGTGCAACATCTCGACCACGTGTCTCCTCCGAGCTCGCCTGACATCAGCCGCCTGTTTAGTTTTCCAGGCAACGACACACGCAGCCAGAAAGAGGAAAAAGCATGAGAAGAACACGGAGAAGAACACAAATAAATCGATATGCAGTTGATCTTGTCTGAAGAAAACCATGCCATACGAGGCTCGTCCATTGAACTCTGGTAAGGGTGGGTCCACAGCTCTAAGTGCAATATGAAATTTGGTCGACCCGAGGTCGTGTCTATCTTGAGGCAATGTGAGCACCAGCCGATTGGTAAGATTTCGTACAAACAGGAAGGTGTTGCGCTCGTTGATTGTTACGTAAGTTGCAAGTCCTTCGGCTTGACGTTCGACAACCGTATACTCGACACTTGGATTCCATTGCGACTCGCTACCATTTGAAGAGAAATGATATGAACTGTAAGGGTAATAGTCGACTTTCCGTTCACGCCCACGGAATGGACCATCCTCTGGCCAGATGTACTCATAGTCCTTGCGCCATTTGAACTTTTCATCGAGTTCCACCTGACAATGGAAATCAACGATATTTTTACTTTAAGCTTTTTTATTTTTAAGTAAAGCGCAACGCACTTTTTTGTATCTCTCGAAATAATAAGTTTCTCACGCTTAAGCCTCAAATTATTTAATGTGCAGATTCATTTTAAAAACTGAGAATATCGACATAATTCTAATAGTCAAAGTCAAAATCAATAAAAAATAGAAAGCAATAGAAATATTTTGAAAAAATTATATGACGTTTTTTGGTGCATCAAAAAATATCAAATAAAAGCAGTGTTCGTACAATCTGTATCATTTTTTTTCGTAAATTCTTTTGACAAATGTACCTCGCTTTCTTTCCAGAGTCGGATAAGCATTTCCATATTAATTTATTTAAAGGCAAAATAAACGTAAAGTTTTTAAAATCATTATCGTCACTGAACGTAAATGATAAAATAATCTAAATTTTACCTTTTGATAACCAGTAGTAGAATTTAAGTTGACCACAAACGTATCGTCGCGAGGACTCAGGAATAAGTCAAGTGCACCTTGAGTGACGTCAACCATAATTCTTATGTCAACATTCATAAAACGTGGCTGTACCATGTAGAAAACAGTCTGTCCGGGATTCAATGGCTTCGGTTTTACTTTGCATTCATCTAAACAAGAAATATATCGTTAGCTAGAAATAATAATTGAAATAATTAAAAAAAACACCGATTATTGAAGGAGTACAAACCGTAGGGTCCTCCAGAGAAAATGGCAAAAAGCAAAAATTAATACATATAAATCTCATAGAGATTGTCCACTTACAATGATGTGGTAATGTATTTTGTGAATATGCATGAAATGAGCAAAATTATTCAATTTTCAAGAAAATAAAAGTCTTTACTAATTGTCGATTCAAAGTTAAACAAAACAGTTTCTAATTTGACATACTGTCAATTTTTATACAAAATAATGTTTTAAGTGAATCATTGACTTGAGAATAATGACACGGTTGGTTGTACACGCGCAATAGCACATATTTACCTATTAACTTGGAATCAAAACACATTTTGTTTTCAACAGTAACAGTTTTGTAACATTGGTGGCCATTGGTCGGTGTGCCGGCGTAATTTTCTCTACACTTGCTACACTGGACCATCCAACAAGGAGTAAGACCAGAATTGCCACCCTTTGACGGACCACTGACACAAGATGATTCGCTTTCCGTGTTATTCCTGCAGTCACATTGTTCGCCTGTTACTGGATCGCAAGTAAAGCCATGTCCGTGACATTCACACCTGCCAATTCATTAAATGCAATTCTTTGCATATACTTTGCATTTACCGGATATAAAATGACTTACGGTCGACAAACATCTCTCAAATCTTCCGTTCCTCGAAAATAACCAGAAACACATTCGCCACATTTATCACCTTTCGTATTATTGGCACAATTAACACATTTTGCCTTAGCAACAGGACCTTCAACCAATTGTTTCTTCAATAACTCGATCGACATTTTGTCAATTGAATTTGGATCCTAACATAATAAAATCACGTTAATTTTGGGATAGATTTTCTTTGAATAGCTCAATCGTATTAATAATTTCAAAACTCACCGGAACCGTTTGGTTCTCATTAATGCACGTACGAGTATGCCCATTACAGTATTCAAAGCACGGTACACATTGACCATTATCCGTTGGATTTCCAACGTATAAAGGTTCGCATTTGTCACACTGACGTCCTTTCGTATTGTTATGACATTCTAAGCATTCATCGAGTTTATCGGGTCCAGCGCAGTCGCTGTGTCCGTTGCATTGGCATTGTATCGAACAATTGCTTCCAACATAACCAAAGTCGCAATGACACATATTTGGCTCGATACAGGTTCCTCTTACGCAGCCCTGAGTACACATTGGTACGCATGTTTTCCTATAAAGACCATACAAGCTTAAAAATTGACTTTTTAAGAAGGAAATGATAAAATTGATGAAACAAGATATTACCTTCCATACTCATTGTATCCGTGCGTCCTGTAATAAATATAATCCAAATATTCAATTAGGTAATTTCAAAATCAAGCATTAAATCAAAAAAGAATTATTTACATTTCAGTTTTGTATCCTTCGCCGCACATACACTCGAATCCTTCATCCAAATCGAAGCACTTTTCACTCTTTGGCGAGCACGTGTGGTGGCTATTTTCACACTCATTTTCCGGTGGACAACGTACATAATGCCACGAGAACCTTAACGATGGTATAACGTTACTTAAAGAGATCGTAACGTTGTCATGGTAATCTTCCCCATGAGATGAAACTGTCGTTGTAACGGCTGCAACGAAACGTTAATTAAAACACTAATGAAAATGACTTTTTTGTTGTTTACAAAAAACTAACAGGAATGGCACAACTTACGCATATCAAGTTGAGGATGCTGCTGGTAATAAAGCATCTCGCAAGTTCCGCCAGCAGGATGATCGAACCCTGGAGGAGCTTCCAACGAGCCTTCAGTGCAAATTCCTTGACCAGTTACGTTTGTCGAATCCAATGAACACCAACCGCAATGAGAGTGCTTCAAGCATGTGCTGCACTGCTTGAAGGCAGAGCATGGCTCCGGACAATACTCGACGTCGGTACTTCGTAAAACCAAACCGCATACCCCTCCAGCACAGTAAAGTGGTTGATATGATGGTGAAATGCACTATCAAATGTTTTAGCGAATAAATATCTTACGACAAGAGGTTTCTGATACATGATAAATAACAATCAATCGTACCTCATTCAATCTCGTAGACCACCTGCATTCTCGCCAACCCCCCTCAGCACCGGTACCTTTCAAGCAGCTTTTGCAATCTTTATGCTCCGAACATCTTTTTTCACATTGTGTACTTGTCATTTTTATACTGGATCTGTTGAAAATATCTTCGGGGACACAATTCCAATCGTAGACGGGCTCAGCTGTCAACTTCAAACCTAATTCGGCTGTAATAATGATGATACAATTATCAAATTACGTTACGCTCTTTTATTAGCTCACCAAACGTTTTATTATTATATAATCTTACACGTCTTTAAAACTTGTCTCGTCCAAACGCAATTACCCTGGCAATTTTTACATTTCTCGCAATCGCTGGCTGGACACAATCTTTCACCGCACTGATTGACATCGGTAACGAGTTTCTGCCAGTGCTTACATTTACTTTGCTCATCACACTCTTTATCAGCAGGGATACATTTGCCGTGGCAGTCGATGCACCATTTGCATACTGGCTCTCTTTCCTGGTAATATGGCCATTCGGCTAGACAATCGGTACACGTTTTGAAACTCTCGCATTTTCTACTGGACATCCAATCAGCATTGCAAAATATTCCGTTCGATCTGTGGGCTTTTGTCACGTTGACGTCACATCTACGATAAAACATTACATAAAATTATAAGATTCTGAACAACACTTCATTCAACGTGATTTATTTGAAAACTTGAGCTTACTTTTCATCACGGTGTAATGACTCCTCGTTTGAAAAGCAGTACGACGCGTTCTCTCCACTGATAGTTGTGACCGAACAGAACGAGCAACCATAGTACTTTCTGCAAGTTATCTTATCTGTCCATAAGTTACATAAATCCTCAGGTATGTGAATTAAAGTAACGTGACTTTTAATTCCCCCATCGAATCCACCAACAACGTACACCGCGTTATTTTCTGGGTCTGCGTGGGTCATCGCATGAGCGTAAGCTGGAGGAGGTGGATTCCCAATAATTTCCATATCTTTCGTTATGAGACGAATCCACAAGTTACACGAATATTTGTACGCTATCAGAGAATCGGTGGTATTGTAAGGATTTTGACGTCCGCCAAATATCACCATGTACTCGTCAGTAGTCACAGCTGAATGTAAAAAACGAGCTTGCGGCTAAAAGAAAATAGTTTTTCAATTACTGGAAACATTTTAACCAAAAATATATAATGTAACAACCATTCACGTAATAATGATTATTAAAAGCAGTCACCAAACATTTACTCCGTTTTAATAATAATTTCGAAGGCAAAATTTTTTTTTTCGAATTGTGCGAAGGGATATAAAATGTGCGATGATATTTATTTTACATTAGTATACCTTCTTCTACGAGTAATAAATTAAAGCTCACCAGTACCATTCCATCAGCAGGGTCATCGTCGAATGGCGGTAGTACGGACCACGTTTTTGTTTTGTAGTTGAGAGCATAAAGCTTATTCGATATGAAAGTTCGATTGATTGCATAAGTGTAACCGCCAAAAATATAAAAACTCTTAGATTTACTATGAAAAACAGTTGAATGCCCGTAAACGCCAAGCGGGCCATTTCCAACAGTTTGCACTACGTCCCACTTTTCCGTTTCAAGATTAAATTCCCATACTGTATCTAAATATCCGAATCTGGGACTAAAGCCACCAATTAGAACGAGACTTTCCGATTCGCCTCCATCTCTGAATAGAGTTAGCGTGTGCCCGGCCAATGGCGATGGTTCTTTTCTTGACGGCGAGTGATCGACAATCTGCATCCAATGTTGATTTTGAAGACTGAATTTCCAGAAATCGCTCAATGTATTGTTGGATAAACCTTGCACGCCTTCTTCTTTCATCGACAGTCCACCGTAAACGTATATCTGCTGCCTGCTATGTACAATTTCGGCAGCATGGAAGTATCGTCCCTGTGGCATCGATGCCTCCGATGTGGATTCTACTGTGACTGGCATCCAGGTGCTGTTTTTGGTATCGAACAATCGAATGTCGTTCAAAGGCCCGTGACTCAAAGAATAGCCTCCAAACATCCATAAACTACCACGTCTATCTGCTACCAAACTGTGCCCGAAACGTGGTAAGGTTTTACGTAAATGATCAAGTTGATCGGACAAAAACTCGCTGTTGAATAGTTCCGTAAATACCAATTGATTGTTCTGCAAAAATTAATCTCTACGTTAACTAAATCTAGTGTAATTCCCAATCTTATCATTAACAATGAATAGTAATAATATTGAGACCTTAATATTAATGGAACAATCTTGTCCTCCAAAACCTGAAGTGCACACGCAATGCCCGTAACCCTTTTCGCACACACCTTGTTTCTTGGTAGCAGAGCAATTTTTGGGACAAATTTCGATATCACAATTGATACCGACAAACCCAAGTTTGCAGAGACAATTGCCGTTCCGGCATTCGCGATTTGGAGGGCAATTGTTACACGTCATAACGACGTAACTAGCATTAAAACCTTCAACCTCGTCGAGTTGTTTGTAATGGACGGTGAGAAAACCGGATCTCGCTTCAACAGTGACAGGATAATCGGTACTTTCTGTGCAATAAACGCCCAATAATTGACTCTGATGGCTGCTCGTCGATGAAACAAAATCTGGCAAACCATCGTATACGTAAACGCTGTTTTCTTGGCAACTAACGTTAATGTCGTCGTGAATTGTAAATTGAATGACGCTCTGTACACTCGCTGTCATTGTATCGGATGAGAGACCTACGCGAAGAAAGCAAAACCATTTTACATATTTTTTTTTTCATTTCATTGCAATTTCAATATATTTTAGATTCGTTTCTTACCTGTTTTTGGACTGATAATCCACAAACATTCTCGTGTGAGTGAACCGCCGAGATGACTCTCCCATAAACTAAGTTGTGAATGACGACTGCCGAGACCTTGTTTGCCATTGCCTTCACCGCTGAGCATACCGCGAGACATGCAACCGTAGTAACACATTCCTCCGTTGCGCGGATCACCGTAGTATCCCTTTTTACACAATTCACAACGATCTCCTTCGGTGTTATCTTTGCAGAAACACGTACCCGTTTGAGGATCGCAAGTGCCAAGCTCTACATCGCCGTGTTCATTGCAGTCGCATTTTTGACAACCTAAGCTGGTTGTAGCGTTACCGTAACTACCAGCTTTGCAAACATCGCAGTAATGGCCTTCCGTCCAGTCTTGACACTCATCACACACTCCTAGAAAATATAAAATACCATTATCATCAACTTAAGTAGCCCTATAAATAGCATTTTAGTGATTTAACGTACCAGGGCCAAAAGAGCAAGTTGAGTGATTGTAGCAACCGCAATTTGTACGGCAATCGGGGCCAGTCCAACCAAGATCGCACTCACACTTGTAATCAGGAGCTTCGCTGCAGTAACCATTGACGCACTTCTCGTAGCAAGTCTTGGTGCAATTCTCTTTGCCATCACCATTGAAACCGCGTCTACACTGACAGCTGTAGCTACCGTGGGTATTGGTACATTTGGCATTTGGATGGCAATCGTGAAGACCTAAATCGCATTCATCTACATCTGGACATTGTGCGTACGCCCAACCGGATTCGTGCGCTTCCAAACTTGTATTTTGAAATTCATTAATAACCTGAAAATGAAATGAAACTATTATTTTATATATCAATTCATTGTCAAAAGAATGTGATTATTATAACTGTATCTCACCAAACTACAGTTGACGTGAGCTTGGTTGAAATCACCTTGCACACAAGCGCCGAGTATTGGGTTATCTAAACTGTAGCACCAGCCACAGCTGAGCGAGTGCAAGCAGTTTGAACAATTCGAGTGTCGGCTACAACTCTTACACTGATCATCGCCAGTAAGGGAGGAACTTCCGCGTGTAGTAACACCCATGAGACCAGCTTGATCGGTCCACTCGCGACACAGACCAAATTGGTATTCAGACGTGTACACAGAGAAAGAGAAGCACTCTTGTGTAGCTTCACACCATACGCAACGTCCACGTTCAATCAGACATTGCGTACAATTGGAACGTTGTCTACAGGGAACTGGACACTGATCAATACTGACTACTGCGTCGGGCATGCGACCTATTCTAGCACAACGAGCTTCTTCTGTCCACCTTTAATTTAATTATAATGCTTGACGTAATTAGGTAATCAAATTAGACTTAATAAAAGATAATAATTGTGCACGGAGAACGTACCATTCGCAGATATTAGTACTGACACAAGACTCACAAGAGATGTAATTGGAGCAGTTGGCACAAGTCGTTGGATTGATTGTCAGATAATGCCACTCCTGTATAACCTTGCCATTCTCGTCCCACTCGATATCTGCCACGCAACTCTCGGTTTCATTCACTGCTCGCGATAAGCATCTGTATTGCGGACAAGATAGAAGTAATTGCATACAATGAAAATAATTATATATATAATATCAAAAATAGAAAAATGGAATTACTTATTGTTGATGTCACACCAACCACACGCAGCATCCGTGAGACAATGCAGACAATTTCCGTATTGCTCGCACGTGCCGTTTTGGTATGGCTCGAGATATTCGAAGGTGAATACTTTAGGATTCTCAGTGCGACGACTGTGCATTATTTCCATCTTACTTGAGTGCGCGTAACTAGCCGTTACCATTCTTCTCGACTCGAAGTTCATAAGATATCTTCCTGGTACAAAAGTAACGTAGCTCGATAAGAACGAATCTGGACCTGTGCGCAATGGTATGCACTGTGATGTTTCTGCCGTGAGATTTGCTACAACCATCTGTAAAATATTTAAATGTTCAGAATTTATCTTTGTGATAGTAATATTCAAATCAATTACAAAGCCTACCAGATTGTGCGTCATGTTGTTTCCCGAGACGTGAAGAGTAGCGGTATTATAGCTAACGCAGATTTTCAACAATTCCATTTTACCATCCCAGATATTATTAGGCAGTCTCAAGAATCCAATCAATTTAGCAACCATCTCACCACCCCTACCCGACTCTACTTTCGCACCTTGAGTCGATGGCACGTTAAAATCCACTGTCGTTGCGTTAACAATCATTACAGAATCTGGCTGCGAAAAATTCACTGGTGGATTGTATTTCAAGAACGTCAAGCCAGGTCTTCTGTCCATTTCACGACACTCATCAACTCGCGTTATCTCCGTGCCTTTCGTACCCCACCAACCGGGAATCTGCGATGGTGTGTCGTCGCGTAACCCACATACTCCATAATTATCATCTTTATGGTGACAGCGTGCATTTTGAACGCACCACGTGCAAGTGCCTAAGTTAAATTTATTAGATACAGAACTACGACCGCGTGAATTTGTACCCCAGCCACCACCTGGTTGACCGTGGATTAAACATGAATGACAATCGCCAAGGGCTGGGCATACTCCTGGACAACGAGTTGTTTGCAGATTGGTCGTACAGTTGCTAACGACGGTGCGACCGTAGCAGTTCTAAATAGAATGTTTTTTATTAGTAATAAATAATGCCGCTGTTTGAAATATTGAAAAAACATACCTCATCTGCAGAACACCATCCACATTCGGGATTAGCAGCACATTCAACGAGACTTTTGTGTCGAGAACAGTAATGTTCGGGTTCCATCACGTCACCATCACCCGGCGCAAGCATAGGAGGTAGAGTGTAAGCAAGCAGGTCCGCATTGACATTGCCGTGATAACCACCGACTAGTAACAATGTATTTCCAGCTCGAACGTCCGATGCATGAGCAAATACCCCTTGTTGTTTTGGATATTGTGAATCTAGTAAAAGTAATGATAAATTAAATATGTCGTAAAAAAAGCAACACCGATAAAACACGCGACATTTTGATGAGCTCACCTTTGTCACTGATATTCAAAACGTCATGGCTCACCCAGGCATGACAGCCTAAGTGATACAAATACATTTGGTTGTCATAACAAATTTCTTCCTTGTTATGTCTGTGCGAGTAGCCGCCGAATACCACTAAATAATTACCTGTATCGATAATACATTTGTTTTAGAATAAATTTCAAGACATTAATTTATGGTTTCATAGGATTAATAACGTTTTATCTATCGTACCGATGATGTTACAAGTATGAAATGCACGTTCTCGGGGAACGTAAGTGTCTCGTAAATGTGCTCTTGGGTAATGAATTTCTGACCATACTCTTCTGTTAAGTTGAAAAACGAACATTCTGTCGGATAATTTGCTGAATCGAGCTACACTAGCAACTACACCGCCGTATACGAGCAAGGAATTCGTAGCTTTGTGATAAACGGTCGAATGAGCCACGACTCTAACGTCTAATTCTTTACCACCTCTTGGCCGGACTTCGTGCCATTTTTCAGTACTTGCTGTTGAATCAGCTGTTAAATAGATTCAATATTTAGTTGATGATAAATAAATACAATTAAGCTTACGAAAATTAACTCACTCAAATTTAATTTTATCCTATACAAGCTTGAAGAAAATTCTCCGTCTACAGTGCTACCTCCAAATAAATAAATGTATTCTTCGGCTAACGTAAGCGTATGGCGGGTGAGTCTTGGAGGGTAGAATGGTGAATTTTTAGCACGCAACGTCCATGATGTTTTGTTTATGTTGTAATACCACAGTTCATTAGAAAGAGATCCGTCCTCTACTTTGCCACCGTAGATCACGAAACCACCTATTGACGATTGAAACTTTAAGAAGTACAATCCGAAATTACTTTTTAAGAATCATACTAAATTAAATGTACCTTGATATTTACATGCTGCATGCCCATATCTCGGAGAAGGTTTAATAAATTCCTCAACGTTTGGTTCTGTGACGTCATCATTCACAGTGAACTGAGTTGTGATTTGAGGTTCCAATATATCTTGCAAAAAAGCATTCTCTTCCATGGGTGTTTCTAGAACTCGATCTTCCCAATCATGGCTTTCATCAATACTAGTAATATGTCGCTGTTTATAATGTACATCATTATCTGAGCTCCTTCTATGTCTGAAATTGCAATATAATTGAACAATGTATGAATAAAATTGTTCCACAAGTACGTTGTCAATTTTAACTGACGAATAATTACCTTGTATGCGTCAACGGTCTAATTCTTCTCGTGTGTTTCTTTCTCTCTTGATTGTCAGCAGTGTCATTATTTCTTATTACATGTTGTTGCAATTTTCTATCTCTATCTTTATGGTCAACTGGTTTTGGTTCTCGCCAGCCATACTGAATGCCTTCGTGACTCTTATCCCGATGAGGAGACGTGTTATTTTCCTTGAAATTTAATAGCGAATATCTTGCCAGTAATTTCCAGAATATCGACGTTGGAAGTCCGTATTGTTCATGGGCTCCTGCTCCAATGTTTTCCAATTCGCTAGCAATCAACATTGGATCTAAATATTCCGCAGCGGAAGATCCTTCTAAAAAATTTTAAAATTAATAAGCATCTGGTCAAAGACTGAATGGCAAATATAAGATTTTTTCATATTGTATCTTACCTAAGACTGTACCATAATCGTCTTCCCACTGACTTACAGAAAAGCGATAAATCTCCAAGTCGCTTAATATGTAATTGAGATTATACCCTCCAAAAACGTATATGGAATCAGATTCACTTATGTAAACAGCAGTATGTGCAGCTCTAGGGGTCATTCCACTTTCGGAATGTGCAAGCCAGTGCCACCTAAAAATTAATAAAAAAAGCAGTCATCTTTTCTATTTTCGGTGTGGATATATTATATTTTAAATTTACAGACCTATTTCCTTCAGGATGAGTTTTATGGAGTGAACACGACTGTCCAGAGTATCCATTGTGACATTGACATTGTTTTAGTCCACAAATTCCTCCTGTACCACAATTGTTTGGACATAGTGGTCTTGCACAGTCTTTTCCACCCCAATCATTTTCACAAAAACATGTATTATTTATACATTTTCCATGATTTGTACAATTATTTGGACAATCCGTAACAGAAAACTCAGCATGAAAACCATCCAAGACATAATTAGTATCACTATACAATAAAATTAACATCTGCAAAATAAACAATGTTTTTCATTATTGTTTCTCTGAGATGAGTTCTAAAAATATTTATAGTTAAAAAAAATATACTAACAAATCCAGACAAGGCTGTTACTTGTTGGGGCTCTGTTTTGCCACTAAAACTGCCCAGTAGTGGAGATCTAAATGAATCTCCATCGTAAACAAATACGTAATCATAGCTGCATTCTGTACCCATTGTTCGGAAACTCAAAGTAATGAATTGACGACTGCTGTTGGCTGTATAAGAGATTTGTTAGTTTTGTAGTTATTAACCCTAATCAGCAAAGTACAGATGATGAATTACCTTTGATCAGCCATTCGCAGTGCGAATCCTGTGTGTAATTTGAGCCCTTGGGTCCATCGCTGATCGCACCCCATGATTCTGTGAAAATTTTTCTGGTTTTGTCGCATGGTATTTGCTTGGCTGACACCTGCGGGGCTAATAATGTGCCCCTCAGAAGGCAGCTCCAAGTTAAGATCCATAGCGCTAGGGTTGCCACCAAACCCATTACACTGACTCCAAAGATGATGTGTCACACGAGAGGACAATAGTCATCCCGTTAACTCTGAAGAAAATGTGTTTTCTTTTATCTATATTGGCAAAAATATCATTTTTATGATTTTAAGATAAAAAAGTCCTCTTAATATCAGTAATTTCTAGCTATGTACAAGTAAATATTTGCTCAAATTCTGTTAAAGCAACATTCTCAATTGTTCTGGTAAATTCATATTGTGCAACTTATCAAAGGTATTGTGTAAGAGTCCAGCCAATTGTTGTACATTCAAGATCATTTAAAAAACAACATAAGAAAAATGGATAGGAATAATTATAAATTGCCATGCATTTTGTATAATGAATTGGATTTTTTCAAATAATACTTGGATCAAATAGCAAAGAACAAGGTCATCACAAGTCTGAGCAGTGCATTTTCTGATTATAAACATAAAGTACTGTGCATCTATTCTAGTCAGTGACCATAGAATCATCTTGCAACTCTCATCAAAACTCCGAGTGAAAGAAAATTAGCTCTGAAGGCAAAATAAAGCGACACACGCTGCACACAACACACAGGCCAAGGATAAACAACACAAAAACCTCGGCGATGCACTAAAAACCCAATTAGCATGCTAGCGAAACGAGCGCATAAATCACTGACACATTCACCGCTGCGGCTTCTGGCTGCTATTCCCGAACACCTTGGATGATCCCCGTAAGAAGAACGTGCAGCAGTTCATAATAATAAGAGATGTGCAGACGATCCTTTCTAGGTGTGCAAAGTAACTCTCGACCTGATAACAGCCATGCGAACAGCAGGGACCTTATACAAGTTGTTTGCTGTATGCGATCGCGAATCACTTTTTTCCATCCGCGCCTATCTTTCGACGTTGCTTGCCAGGCTTTGCATCATTTGCGTATGCGAATCGCGAGAGTGAGACAGGGAGGAGAACACGAACACAGCTTGGTGCGGTACTCTGTCTTTACTGCGCCTATTATAGGCTGCTCCTTCAAAACATACGATACACATCTCTGCTTTGTTATTGTCCTGAGATTATCTGATTTTTTTGTTTTTTTTTTGTTTTCTAATTTTAATTATAAGAGAAGAAATTGTGATTAAGCCACGTTAATTTGGAGTGAAATATTTTTGCGAATGAAACGTAATATTTATTTGGAAAAATCTTGGGTTTACCATTTTACTATTTAGGGCACTTTATCTTCTTGATCCGTTACTGTACGTTGACGATTGCAATGTAGTGGAATATATAATCGCTGTCAATGTATGTATAGGTATATATCCAATATTGAGTATCAGTTCTTTACGTTATTCTACGAGCAAAATTTGAAATGAAATAAAGAAATAATATTTGATTGAGCTAAAAAATTTGTGAAACGCCATAAAAATTGAAATTAGTTGTTGAAGTTCACTTTAAAAACTTAAAAATAGTAAGCGTTCTCACTGACTGTATCGCCAATGTTTATGTGATTTCAATTGTTATATATTCTAACAGAATATGAATACAAAATCATTAGTTCGAATATCAACAGGTTTTTAAAGCATGCGGAGAAGCAAAGTACGAAGTGTCATAGATCGACTATCATTTTTTTATGACAAATAAAAGTTAACATTGTATGAATTTGTGAAAAGAATTTTAATTTCTGGTAGGTTATATTTTGAATTATTATTTACCAAACTTTGGAAACTAAAAATTGTTTTATTTCTAGATTTAACATTGTATGAATTTGTGAAAAGAGTTTTTATTTCTGGTAGGTTATGTTTTGAATTATCATTATTTATCAAACTTTGGAAACTAAAAACTGTTTTATTTTTAGATTGCAAACTGAAATTTAAAAAATATTTTTAACAATGTCTCATCGTCATAGAGGTTCTGAGTCTCGACATGGGTATTCGTGGAGAAGTGAAAGATCAGGTAGAAATGATTCTAATATACAAAATTACTTTTTAAAAGAAATTGATACATATTTGATGATTTATTTTGTTTTACCTGTGATAAGAGATGAATTAAAAAATTATATTAAAATTTTTTATGAATAGGAGGATTCAGTCAAGACTCTCATGGTTCAGAAATGTCCTCTGGTCATTCTTACAGAGGTAGTCGAGGTGGTCGAGGTGGTCGAGGTGGCCATTCCCCATGGTTGAAAGGAAAGGAAATTGGCCTTTATTATAAAAATAAGCAAGCAAAGAAAGAGAAAGCTGAAGATAAAAAAAGAGAAACATTGCCAATCAAATTAAAATCCCATACAGAAAGAAAAATTAGAAATTTGATTGAAATTCCAGAAAGACCATTTAATAAAAGCTTTAACATTAAACAAGAGGATGAACAAAAATACTTTGAATCTAGATATAATCACATTAATGACTCCCAGTTTAAAAGAAAATTTTTGAATATCATTAAAGGAAATTTACAAGACAATCTAAATAAAGCTCTAATTTCAGCACCCAAATTACGAAGGGATGAGAACGTAGATATCAAATTATTAGATGAATTAAATAGACAAAAATCTACTAATCAATATAGGAAAATGCTTGAATTTCGAAAAAAGCTACCAGCATATGAAAAGCAAAAAGAAATCTTAGATTTAATTAAGCATAATCAAGTTATACTTATTAGTGGAGAAACAGGTAACAATATGTTACTCTACATACTTTATAAAGATAAATGATAAAACTTTCATTTTCTTGTAAACTCTTAGGTTGTGGGAAAACAACACAAGTAGCTCAATTCATACTAGATTATGAAATTGAATGTGGTAGAGGTAGTACAACATGCATTGCTTGTACGCAGCCAAGGAGGTTATCAGCAATATCAGTTGCTGAGAGAGTTGCAGCTGAAAGAGCTGATCATTTAGGCAGTTCAGTAGGATTTCACATTCGATTAGAAAAGTGAGTTGATTGGAATATGCAAATAGTTGCTTTAATTTGCACAATCATTGCTCCAGACTGAATACTAAGCATAATTCATATTTATGAGAATATTATTCAGTTTATAAATATTTAGGTGTATCATTAATTAATCTATCAATTTTTATATAAAAACAGAGTACCAGCTAGACCTTATGGAAGTATTTCATTTTGTACCACTGGAATGTTATTACAATTCATGCAAATGGATCCAGCTCTTAGAAATTATTCACATATTATTTTAGATGAAATTCACGAAAGAAGTACTCAGAGTGATTTCATAATAACTTTATTAAAACAAATTATTCCTAGGGTAATTATCTTTCAATTATTTTATCAGAATTAAAATAATTAAATAATAATTAACATTGATTTTATTAAAATTTTGGATTTTTTATAGAGGCCTGATTTAAAAGTTATTTTGATGAGTGCCACATTAAATTCTGAACAGTTTTCCAAATACTATGCCAATTGTCCAACGATTCATATACCTGGATTTACTTATCCTGTCGAAGAATTTTATTTAGAGGATGTTATTGCTTTAACGAAGTATGTTATTATTGATTTTCTTTCTAATCATTTATGCAGATCAAAAAATACAAACTAATATTGGTCGATTAGGTTTCAATTTCCGGAATCCGTAGCGCCAAGTCAAAAAAAGAAACATTCAAAGAAACGTAGAGCCGCTATAGAGAAATTCAATGAATTTGAAGAGATGATTGGACCATACGTGCGTCATTTGGAATATTTGGTTAGTTTCAGATACATACACTGCAAAGTTATCCATTGAGAATTTATTTTTATTAATAATTATATCGTTGGACTATAACTATGCTTATTTGCAGAAAAATTATCCAGAATATGTGTTACAGCAAATAAAAAATCCAAAGAGTGAAGAATTATCATTAGATCTCATTTTAGAACTAACAAAGTATATTTGTTTAACAAAAAGTCCTGGGGCGATATTGATTTTTTTACCTGGCTCGCAAGATATTTCAAAACTAAATAGGATGATGATAGACAGCCCCAGTTTTCCGTCAAGTAAATAATTTTGTAAAACAAATAATAAATATTAAAACATTGTTAATTAATGTTCTTTACAGTTTCTTTTATTTTTTGTTGTTAGATAAATCTGTTATTTATCCATTACATTCAAGAATGCCGACTGCCGATCAAAAATATATTTTTATAGTGCCACCGCCTGATGTTCGTAAAATAATAATTGCAACAACGATCGCTGAAACTTCAATCACGATTGAAGATGTTGTATATGTTATCGATTGTGGTAAAACAAAACTATCAAACTTTGATGTAGAAAATAACATGCAAACACTAGATGCCGAATGGGTGAGCGAGGCTAATGCAAAACAACGCAAAGGACGAGCTGGCAGGTAATTTTTCATGTTGATCCAATGACGATGTGAAACTGTGAGTAATTAAAAATAATAATTTTTTTTTTAGGGTACAGCCTGGAATATGTTACCATTTATATACGAAAGCTCGTGGAAATGCATTCGATCGTTATCCATTGCCAGAAATGCTTAGAACTCGTTTAGAAGAAGTCATCTTGCAAGTAAAAATCTTACAAATAGGAAAAGCAGCAGAATTTTTGTCTACAGTTATGGATCCACCGAATCCGAAAGCAATATCACTATCTTTAGATTTATTGTTGCAATTGAATGCCCTCGACGAGACGGAAAATTTGACCCCATTAGGTTATCATTTGGCACATTTACCTCTGGATCCTCGAACAGGTACGATCGGTATTTTTTTAATTTTGTAATTTCACGCTCAATAATCTCGGGCATAATATTCTTTGACAGGAAAGATGATTTTATGGGCAGCCATGTTTTCATGCATCGAGCCAATTTTCGCGATTGCGGCAAGTTTATCATTCAAAGACGCGTTTTACTGTCCTCTGGGCAAAGAGGAGGAAGCACGTCGGAAGAAATTGGAGCTCGGCCTGAATCAGTTCAGTGACCACATAGCCTTGGCGGAAGCCTTGCATCGCTTCGAGGAACTAAACTATCGCGGTGGCGCATACTACTTCTGCCGCGAGTATTTTCTCTCCTATAATACGCTCAAATTATTGTCAGACATGAAACAGCAGTTCGCTCGCTATTTGTGTGAAATGAAGTTTTTGCGCAACGACAATCCGCGAGACGATTCAGCCAACAGGAACTCGCATAATAAGTCGCTCATTAAGGCGATCGTCTGCGCTGGATTGTATCCAAATGTAGCTATCGTGAAGTAAGCTATTTTATAATTCATCATCGATCAAGCGCGCGCGTTCTGGATTTGTTTTCTTTTTTGTACATTCTATTGTGTGCTTCTAGGCGAGCTTCACCGAGAAGTGGTGTCAAAGCTATAACCACAGAAAAAGAATTGGTGAAAGTACACCCAGCAAGTATCAATGAAAAAGTATATTCCTTTCCTAGTCCGTATTTAACTTATTTTTTAAAAAGAAAATCTACGGGTATCTATTTATTCGACACGACGAGTGTTAGTCCCGTAGCCTTACTCTTTGCATCTCCGACTAGCTTTTTAGGTTTGTATGACGGATGAATTTCTTTTATTACATCTTATTTAACGGAAAAATGTGTTGATTACAGATGATAAACGCGGCAAAAGTGTCATTACTGTGGCTAATAATTTATCTTTTGTATGTGAGCATGGTACCGCTCAAATAATCCAGGTATTAATAACAGATACTCTTTTGAATGAGAGCGATTTAAAATATAAAATGCTGAAAATTCGTTTCTATTTATTTTTTAGAAGCTGCACAAACAACTGGATAGTTTGTTGGAACATAAAATCACTCATCCGGGAATGATAACTTGGAACGGGCATGAAGGAAACATCTTGAAGTAAATAAACAAATCAATCGCTATACCAAACAGAATAAAATTCGTTTATACTAATGAATCGTTCTCTCTTCTAGCGCTATAATTGAGCTATTATCGGAAGGCGACGAAAATCTAGGCTTGGACTCGGGTCGCTACCACGACTGGGAAGATTTCGATGAGGACTGCCTAGATTACGATGACTAATTATCATATATCGCTCATCGCATGTACACGTGTACACACACACACACACATAAATACATACACGCACGCACGCACGCACGCACGCACGCACGTACGCACGCACACACACCCACACTCACGCATATGGGTGTGTGTGCGTGTGTGTGATGTGCGTGTGTATGTGTGTGAATGACGAGTTGTTCTTTCACACATGCTCTGCCTTGACGCTTACTGCTCGGTTTTTTTTCTCTTTCTTGTTCTTTAAATGACTATTATTAGCATAATTGTGAAACGCAGTGTCGGACGAAGCTCTCTAACTGCTGTTACAAGTAAGGTTCTGTATATATACTAGTGAAAAGAAAAAGCGGGTTTACAAAATAATAAATTATTGAAAAACAATTTTCTAAGAAAAAGCAGTTTTTCTTTTGCATTTATCAGCGATATATAACAAATATCTTTTTTCCGCAATGTTCTTATGACCTATAACAGAGCAACGATTACCTCAGTAAATCACTTTAGCGAACGATATACACCCAAGTCGTAAATCGTCTTATTGTTACTGTTGTCATTATAACGGTTATTGTTATTTTTGTAGTTATTACTATTATTATTATTATTATTATTATTATTATTATTATTATTATTATTATTATTATTATTATTATTATTATTATTATTATTATTATTATTATTATTATTATTATTATTATTATTATTATTATTATTATTATTATTTGTATAATGAGGACGCCAGTATGCAGTCCGAATGTTTTTGTCTGCGCTACTATATGAACTGCGCGCGCGTAAATCCAGGAAAGCAAGAGAGAGGGGGGTGGAAGGGAAGGAGACAGGAGAAATTAACATTCTTATCGTGAGCACATGCAAGTGCACGCTGATAAGTTGGAGAACGCGGGAGAAAGCCGATAACCTTAGGCGCGTCTGCCGCCACCACTGCACTTGTTACTTTGCCGTGCGGCGCCTCTTCCCCTCGTATGTTGTAGTTTCTTAGATTTTCTGTTCGCCTTATATTTATTATTCGTTAATTTTGCACTTGTCCTTACGAGCAAATGAGAATATCGTATTTTGCGAGTCGCTGCACAAGGAAATTTATTTCAATGAATAGTTGAAGTTTGAAAAACATTCAACCTCAGCTTGCACTGCAAAGTGTCATCAAATGTCTGCCGCGCATATCGCGTGCACAAGTATATTCATTCAAGTTTCACGAACGTCGCTCGAAGTACTCGGCTCACAAGACTACCTGCTTGCGAGTAACGACGATCAAAGAATCTCCAATGATCGAATAATCGGGTGCGTAATATTTTCCGTCATATGATCAGTTTTCACACATCATGAATTACGCATACTCTAAGCACAAGTTATTCTGGGCATTTGATAATTTTACGAAATGAAATTACAAGAGAGTAACGTCGAAAAGAAAACATTGGCAGATTAGATAAAATAAGAAAGTTGTATTTGTTGAAGTAATTGAATTTTTTTCCTGTTTAAAACAAAATCGCACATCGAAAAAAAAAGTAAGACGCGATTAAAGCTGCATTCGTAATGTTGATAATTTCGCAGCGATATGATTGTAATTGACCTGTTTTTTTCATAGCTTCTAAACAAGTCGCATTGAGATCCAGCTCGAGCTGCGCCAGCAATTATTGCACTCTTGGACATTTTTGTAACGTTGTATTGTCGTAAGTGGCGCAGCATCGATCGAGAAAACTCGCGGTCGAATGGTCCGCGCGATTAGCTACAGCCACGATACGAGGATCAGTTATCAAGGTTCGCCGTAGCGACCCCAAAATCAGCAGGATTATCGCGACATTGTAACGATACGCCGATTCGACCGGCTAGATAACAATATTTGCAAACAAAGTCGAGGCGCGTAATTGGTTTATCGATGATAAAGCATAGATTGGAACGTGAAGACAGAGAGGTCGACGTATAACGAAGGCATGGATCACCTTCGCGAAACAATCGGCGCAGGATTAATTTGAAAAGTCAATTTCAAGCAGGACGTCACTTGCTTCTTTCTATCGCGGACTTCCAAGGGCTTCGCGTTGTATTTAAGTCGCTCGGCCTAATCAAACGTTTGCTCTTTATTAAGACGTACCTCAACTTCATTGACTTTTAGAAGTTGTATTTGTACGGCTCGCCGTAGAGCGAGAAGCGTTACAAAAGATAGGTCGCTTTCTCAATTTTCCAAGGATGCGAGATCAATTTATTGCGGAATATTTACTATATGCAAAAAAGAAACGCTCATGAGATTTAATATCGACCGTTTTGATTTTTTTTTCAACGATTACAAGATATTCACTATGTAGATCATCGGTCAAAAGCAAAAGAAAAAAAAAACATTATCTTTTGCATAGAAAGTAAGCAGGAGGCAACAAGCCTGCGACACTCGAACTTCGGCGAGAAAAAGAAAGCGACGCAAAGCGCGACAACGTCAAAAAGCCTTGCTGTCTAACGCAACGACACGCGTGCAGCATCTCGAAAGGGAGTGCGAACAAGGTAATGAGAGCGAGGGTGTGTGGTAGCAGGCGACGAGAGAGCAACAAAAAAAAAATGAAGAGGGGGAGAGAGAAAGAGCGGGAATACGATAATTGCATTTCCTGCTATATGCGTTCGGCGGCGGCGACAATGTATATACGTGCGTGTGCTTATTCGCCTATACGTCGTCGCGTCAAATCGACCGGAATACGCGTCGCTTGCATTCGCCACGAGCACTCTTCGGCCGGGGGGGGCTTGCCGTTCTCGGAAAATGAAAATTCACACCGAGATTGGCTTTCCGAAGTGAGACTGACCGACGTAGTGCTGTTTTTTTTTCTTTCTCTCTTTTTTTTATTCTGAAACTTCGATCTGGGGATCTCACTAATGGACGAAAGTAAATTGCCTTGTTAAGATTTGGTCGTTAATTTGAACGCGATATCCTTTGCGATACAATCTCGAGCGCGTTGGCTTTATTGCCGTCGTTAAAGGCAAAATAAATAAAACCAAATCTTGCGAAATGCATTTGTTTTTTGTTTTTTTTTCTTCTTTTTCTTTTTCTTTTTTTTTTTTTTTTCTTCTCAAGTGTCAACGGCGCCCGGCGAGCGTACGATTTCAGCGCCTGGCTAGCTGAAACTATGAATAATTCATTCGTGAAGCTCCGCGAATAACAGCAAAACTTGAGAGAGCGATGAGGCAATCGGTTATTAAGAATGTAAAGTATCCGCGGCGCGGGCTTCAATATTCACGCGCTCGAGAGAGAGAGTTCGACAGCCGAAAAGGAGCCCGTGCACGCGCCGTCCCGAAAACCTCGTTCCGTTAAAGCTCCCCGTCGCGAGAGCGAGCGAGCGAGCTGCGCTCCGTGCGATTATTGGCCGTGAACTTCAAGGACGCGACGAAAGAAATCGACTTTTATGTATATGTATGTATACATGGGCGCACGCGCGGCCACGTCGCTCACGCACGGTGTCTCGTCTCGGTGACAAATGTCCGTGTACGTATTGGCGCCGCGGGTCCGCATCGTCGAGACCGCGGAGCGACCACTTGTGCACGCTGCGCGGACGATCGACGCGCCAATACGCGACGAACCACGCGGATCAAATCGCGATTACGATGCGCGTTGGTAGCCCAGCTAGTAGAACAGGTCAACCTTGCGTAAAACAAATTATATATATAATTCTTTTTCGTACTATAATCGCCAACAATGCCGTAATCATGACACACACACACACACACATACCTGCAATATGGCAAGGTCGATTTTTTTATTCGGTGCGGTATACACACAAATAGGTAGGTAGTGTATTTTGCGCTAGATTCCGTAACATCTCAATGCTGCGAGAGTAAAAAAACACTTGCCTTCATTCGAGCATCACGAGTGTCGCAAACGGCTCGCCGTACATTTCTCCACGCGGAGAGGGGGTGGGGTCCCCTAACGTTATAACAGTAGTACAATCATCTTTTGCTCGCAGCAACAGCAGCAGCAGCGGCAGCAGCGGCAGCGCCGGCAGCAGCTTTATAACGCCAGGAGGTTCAAGAACCTCTGTTCTATACTCGGTGTATCTAGCATCCGCCCCGCAGACTCTCTTGTACGCGCGCGACTTTTGCCAGTGCAGCGCATCGCACGTGCGCGTACGTCTGCCTCCTCTATCTTTGGCACGGACTTTTTCTCCTTTCGCTTTACGCTCGCGCGCTCGCCGACAATTTTCCGGCAGATTAAGGTCCGACTCGCGCGCGCGCGCGACATTCGCGCCCGATACGCGACGAGCGGATTCATTTGGCGGGAGGGGAGGGAAATCCAAAAAAAAAAAAAAAAAAAAACAGAGTTGTGGCGCGACTGGAAAAATGCCAATGCACGCGGAGATATTCGCGCTCGAGTCCGACGGCACGAGTATACAATAGTTATGAATAGTGATGAAGCCCATTAATCAAAGTATTATAACGTTATAGCTGTCGGATACGAGGTAACAGTAAATAACGAAATACACAACGTAGTCGGCCTGGCCGGCCGAGGCTTCCTCGTGCGCCAGATCGGAATCCAAAACGCGCCATTGACATTCCTCGCTTCGTTGTTATGACAAGCGGAGCCGCGACGAATGCAGAGAGCGATCTTCGCCTCCGGGCGATCGCGGAGGGGCGGATGTTCGCGGTGGGCCCCGTCGGTCGACCGACTGCTCGCTGGGTAATGGGGGATGGAAAGGAACGGGCCAAGGCGTGGGCGCCCGTCGTTGTGGCCGAGTCGTAACTCGCGATGCACGCGCGCACAGTCGCCTAAGAGGGGGGGGGGGGGGGCAATTACTCGCAGTGGCACATAGGTGTGCCGGGAACGACGCAAGAGGGACGCGATGCGGGTCCGATGGCGCCCAGCGGACTGATCATCGCGAGATTCGCCGCCGATCGATCGTTCGAGCAGGAGGGCGGGGGTGGGGGGGGGGGGGGGGGGGGGAATCATCGAATCGACGGAAACCGATCTTGCCTCGAGCACTGAGATTTGGCGCGCGGGCGTTCAGGAGGGGGTCCGGGCGGCTTCCGATCCGCAGTCGCAGGGAAAATCATGGATTTTTTCGGCGAGCAGGAGAAGCTCGCTAGAGGGAGAAAAATCAATGCTCGCAAGAGGGCTGCGTCCCCGACGCGCAGACAGCCCGAAAAGCTCTCTCTCTCTCTCTTTCCCTCTCGCCGGCCGGCAATAACAAACGAACTGTTCCCGCGCTTGCGCGTACCTTTGCCGTATCTGCACACATCGAGAGTCGAGAGACCCGCGAGAGAGAGCAGCATACTGCGCGCACACGCACGTGCCTCGGCGAGTGTCTGCGTGCCGCGCACACCGCAGTCGAGCGGATAGTAGGGGTCTGGCTCGTCTGCGTATATCTATGGCCGTCGTGTGTACGTCTATATGTATCTGCGCGTACACGTGTATGCGTGTTGCACAGGCGGTGCGGCGGCAGCTGCTGCATATCCGGCGATGTTATAAACTCCCTCGCTTTTCCCGTGGCGCGGCGCTGCAGCAGAGCTCGTCCGCCCGTGCACGTATACGTTACGAGTGCGCCCTATACGCACACATAGCGCACACACGCGCGCGCGCGCAGCGTACACACTATAGAGCGCGGCGGCGACGGCGGCGGCGGCGGCGGCGGCAGCGGGGCCCTCGCGGGAGAGTCTCTCTCAGTTTCTCTTGCTCTCCGGGGCGGCCGAGCGCACGACCGAGGCAAGTCAGTCTGCGTCCGAGCGCCGTAAGTGCCGCGTCGCTGGCGACCACGACGACGTAAAAAACACGGTCTCTCCCCCTTCTCTCTCTCGCTCACTGACTCTCTCTTGCTCTCTCTCTCTCTCTTTCTCTCTCTGTAATATACCGTCGTCGTCTTTCTGACTTTTTCAGCACCCGTTGTCGCGCGGCACACCGTTGTTGTTTCCGAAACAACAAAAAAAAAAACAAAATCGAACTTGACCGCAGAAGAATAAAATGGTAACGATCGCTCGATGATCGTTCGCACGTCAGATTTGCAGTACTGTTTTTCTTGTTTTTCCTCGTCTCGCGTGTGTGCTGTTTGTTGTTTTTTATATGTATTTACATGTGTGCGAGACTGCGTACATAGAGGCGTGAATTGAACGATCGTCACCATCATCGCCGTCATCAGCGACGGATAAGAGAGGTGAGTTGTAGTTTTTCTTTTTTTGTTCGTTTAGCGAGAGAGAGAGAGAAAGAGAAAGAAAACACGTACACGTATCAGGAGGCTGCGTACTGCACTTTATATACTGCTGCAGCAGCCAGCTATATGCTGCTTGTTGCAATTGTGCCGGGCGCATGCGTTGAAAGGGAAAGGAGAGCTGCTCCGCTGCTGCTGCTGCTGCTGCTGCTGCTGCTGGTGCTGCTGCCGCTGCCGCCGCCGCCGCCGCTGCTGCAGTTACTAGGCTATCGAGACACGAAGCAGCAGCCAGAGAGAAAGAGAGAACAGTTAGCGGTGTGCGCGCGTACGTGTGTTTGTTTTGCTCGGCGATTAGATGCGTTAGATCAGCTGATCTCTTTCTCTGCTCTCGAGGCGTGCGCTGGCGATCGAGCGATTCTCCTGCTGCACTCGGTCTACTTTGCTCGCGGCGTCTGCGAGCCGCTGCTGTCGCCGGCAAGAGCCGATAAGAAATCTATCGCGTTTCTGTCGGCGAAGCCGATTCGGATGCGCAGAGTTGGCTCAATAATGCAATGTCAGTGTCATGAACATTATCGCGCGACGCTCTTTGTGTTCCGACGAGCACGAGCGTATGTGGCGAGCGATAACGACGGAATTATCGGGCGAACTATATGTCTCCGCGCACTTGGCTTCCGACCGCATCTCCCTCGCCGCCGTGCTTTCGGCTTCCCGAGCCCAACGCGAGCGCGCAGCTTTCGGCCGATTCTTTGTGCGCGCGCGAGACTGCGCCCGTGCGTGTGTATGTGTACGCGCGCGTAAGCGACCCGGCCTACTGAATATTCATACGCCGTGTCTCTCGTTCTCGTGGCCGTCTCATGCGCCCGTATTACGTGTGTCAGCGTTTGTTCGACTATCTCGCCTGTTACAAAATTACTCGAAAGAGAAGAAGCGAAGAAAGCTCGCGCCGTGGAAGCTCCGACGGCGCTCGAGTGTAGGTCAGATACGCGTGCTATCCGATTGCGATAATGAAAAAGAGCAGGAAGGGAGGGAGGGAGGGAGGGCTTATCGATCGTTCGCTCGGCGTGCTACGTCGTCGCTCGGCTGAATTGATTTATCGGCAAATGTAAAGAGACGACGCGCAGACCTATCGCCGGCCGCCGTCTCCGCAGCCTTCTGCGCTACGCCCGAGCCGTGCGTGCGTGTGCGCCTTGTTTAAACAACGCGTTCTCATTAACGCGGCGGAGTTGAACGTACGCTCATTACGTCTCCGAGGCCCATGCGAGCCTTTCCGATCGGCAGAGAAGGAAAAAAGAAGAAGAGCCGCGCCGTTACAATCTCGGACACGAATATACACGCGCATCCGATAAAGGTCGACGAACCCGGTGCTCGCTCGATAAAGCGTCCATTAAGAATACACACGCGCGTCGTCTCCCTCTCCCTCTCTCTCTCTCTCTCTCTCTCTCTCTCTCTCTCTCTCTCTCTCTCTCTCTCTCTCTCTCTCACACTCTCGAACCAAAAAGAAAACGAAAAACTAACGACATTTATATGCATTTTTGTGCTTGCAGAGCGTAACGAAGAAACGATGCTTGGCCAGTGGTCGCCGGCACTGATCGCGAGACTGACAGCGTCGTCGTCGTCGCCGTCGTCGTCGTCGGCCAGAATCGCCAAACTTTATTCAACTTACCATTGAACGCAAAGTTACCACAAGCGCAAGAACAAGTTATTGTTTGTTCATTTGTTGGCGGCTTTCCCGGAAGATAGATAATAATTGCCACATAGTGTGTTCGTGTGTTGTGCCGCGCTAATCCGAGGCAACGAGAGAAGAAGAGCCACGTTCTGCCCGAGTATAATGTTAGGCGAGCCGCAACATCAGGAGGCGGGGAGCAAACGCGGCTCCTAGTTGTTTCGTTGGTCGTTGCCCTCTTGGATTGCCCCTCGGCAAACTCGCGACAGAAGGGCGCGCTGTCGGTCGCTTCGGGAAGGCAGGCGAGATCGTGGCCGAGAGGAACGCCAAGCGGACCCGACGAGGAGCGCGGACGAGGAGGTAGAGGGCTGTGTCGCTAAGGCGGCAGCGGACATGATTATTTCAAAGGATCTGTTCCTGCTCGGCGATCAAGACTACCTGCGCCTGCCAAGCAACGAGAAGCGCCAGCAGCAGCGGGCAATGGGACGTCCGATCATCAATGCTCCCAGGTTCGTGCCAGCTCCTTCTTTATTTTTCCCTCGTGGCGCTTCGCCTCCGTTCGTCTCGACGAGCTCCCCCGTACGCAACGATACGCAAACGCCGTGGCGGCCGCCCGGCCCGTCCTCCCCCTCCGCCCTCCTGCGCCCGAGCGACATCCCCCGGCGTCGTAACAGTGCCAGCTAGGCTGCCGCCGTTGCTTTTGCTTTCGCAACGAAAACAATGTCGACGACCTTGCGGCCGATCAGTTTTCTTTCTCGCGGCTGCCGTTCGAGATTAAAAGATGCGCGAACGGAAACCGCGGGTCCCGCGCTCGTTGGGCGTGCAACGACCGAAATTGGCCGTGCTACGGTTCGCGGAACAAGCTCGAACGTCGATAATCGCGAAACAAATCAATTGATTGTTCGAGCGCGAAATCGAAAGTGATTATCCGAGGGAGAAAGGAGAGTGCGCGTGCGTCCGGGGTGGGGGGGAGGAGGTGTCGAGGAGAAAAATTTCATTAAACATATACGTACGCGTATAAAGCGTTTGCGCAAGGGCCTTGAAACATACGGCCATTTAATTTTCTACGCGCGAACGCGCGTGTGCATATATACGCGTTTTAGAACACAGCGCGTTGCCGCCGCCGCCGCCGCGAAGGAAAACCTGCTCTTTGCTCCGCGCTCGCGCCGAATACTGGTTTCTCTCTCTCTCTCGCTCGCTCGCTCGCTCCGTTCGTTCGCTCGCTCGGGAGCGACTTGTAAAAATCCGCGAGACACTTTTCTGAATATTTACTTGTATATAAACCGCGAGAAAGGCGTTGCGTTTAACGGATGCTTGCTTATTTTCGACGTCAGACCGCGCGTGCGACAATAATATCTCGGGCAATTATTGAGAGGAGCTTTTTACAAGGCATCGAGCGATTTCTCCTTGTTGTTGTTGTTGTTGTTCTTCTTCTTCTTCATCATCTTCTTCTCTTTTTTTGTTAATTGAAACCCTCCGCGAGTTGGTTATGTTCGCGTGGAAGGAGTAACAGAAAAAGGAAGAGGAGTATCGAGCGTTTCGCCAGAATAAATGTAAATGTATGTGTTTTTCTTTTTCATTTTTCACGGCGAGAGAGAGAGAGAGAGAAATTATTGAAAATTAACGCGCAAACTCGTTTTGCAAGTCGTGTCCGACATTAAGCATAGACACACTCGTTCCGCAGTATACAGTTAGCTCTCGAACGCTGCTGCTGCTGCTGCTGCTGCTACTGCCGACTCTTGGAAAATATAGATGCTGTTTTTTCTACGAGATTTTTCGTCTATTCGTCACGGATGCTCGCGATTACCGACGATTCGATCGCGACCCTAATCGCTAGTGGACTTTTCTAGCTTCGTCCGCGGTAAATACAAATAATCGATCGAAGAAAAGTGCGCGAACGAACGGCCCGACTCGACGCACTCGTGTACTCGCGACAGAGGCAGATCATTGCGTCGAATTGATCGCTGCGAAAGCTGTCTCCGATGCGCGCGCGAGGACACACGGCGCAGCGAGTTTTTTCGCCCCCCCCCCCCGACGCCTCCTACGCGCAAGAAGCTCGAAATACTCGCGATATCAATCCTGCGATTAGCATCGCTTTGTCGAGGCGAAAAACGTGAGCGTCGACGTGGAGCCAGGCAGAGCGCGCCTAGATCACGGCAGTGCTGAACGCCGATTGTACATCAACGTCAAAATTGGTTGGGCGTACAGTTGCGACGATTTTAATTAAGTCGCGACATCATCGTCGTCGTCGTCATCGTCGGAAAAATAATTATGCATTCGATTATGCTAAAGCCGTGTAATTGCAGGCACAGCTCTCGCGAGAGCCTAATTAACATTCGATCTCGAGAGAGATACGGATCCCTTTAAGCTCGCGCTGCCATAAAAGTCGCGTGTCTCGTGTGAACCGGTCGCAAAAACGTTTTTTTTTTTCTTCTGTTTTTTTTTCTTCTACGCGCGCGTGTGACGTAAAAACGAAAAATGCCGTACAGCAGCGCGCGAGAACGGATTACTAAGTCGGGATGCGTTCGCCATCCATCGAAAGCAAAAGTGACAGAGTATGTGAGTCAGGCCGCCAGCGCCGACGAGCAGAAAAGTTAATTACAGCCGTTGACTTTCAGACGGAAAAAGAAACTCGCGTTCAAAAATGAAAAGAATAATAAAAAAAAAAAAAAAAAGAAAAAAACGTGCTAACTTTTACGATGCTTTGGCTGTTTTGACCGGCCTTTTTTTCTTTCGATAGTTTTGCTTCTTTGTCTTTCATCTTTATGTATCTTCTCTCTTTTTTTTTTTTTTTTTTTTTTTTCCGGAATGCTGCTGAGAGTGACGATGAGTTTTTTTTTTCGTTGCTAATTCTTTTTGGAGAACTTCGGAGTTGTAGCGCTCGACAATTAGAACAGATTTTAATTAATTCGATGACAGCCAATTAAGTAGACAGGAATTCAATTGAACTTGATCATATTATTATTAGAAACGAAATCTATGTCAGAGTCTTATGAAGAATTCTACACCGAGACGATTGAGTGGACAAGCAAACATTTGAATGCAGTCATCTGAGATACCCTCGCGCCAAAATAACGAATTCAAAAGCACCGGCCGATTAAGCATTCAGCTTGCACGAAATTCGAGGCGTATTAAAAATTCACCGGCGATATACGCCGTCGTACACCGAAATTCCGATTGCAGCCGAGATATTCATGAAAACCCGCTTGCGCGCGCTGTTTGCCGAGCGAATTAGCGCTATACGGTCGAACTCGAAAAACACATGGACACGCACGCGCGCGCGCACGCACACATAGGCGCCCGCTCGTAAACTCTCCCTCTCGGCGTCGCGGCTTGTGTCTTTTTGGCAAGGTCGCGACCTGCTTCGCAAGCTTGACCGTCAAGCGTCTTTCTCCTCGTTTTCGATTCCAATGGTTTTTGTTAATTGCTCGGCTCGGCATTTTTACAGCTCTATCGGCTCGTTTCGCAATTACGATTCGATAATTGGCTATTTTGAAATGACGGGCAACCACGCGAGTGTCATCATTGACCTTATGTAATTTTAGACCGTCCCTTATGCACTTATTTATCATGGAAAATCGAATGATCCCTTCGAGAATGGATGTGCCGGCGATTGACAAAAACAAAGTGCATGCGTCGTAGTGCGTCTGCTTTTCACTTTTTATTTGTTGAAAACTTATCCCCCCCCCCCCCCTCTCTCTCTCTTTTTCTCTCGCTCCCACTAGGCTATGAATACACGCAGGCGAATTGCAGCTGCAGCCTCTAATTTTTCTCCGACGAATTTATGACATGATTTTTTTTCGCGTACCTTGATCGCAATTAAAAATAGTACATCGGCTAACTAGTGCGGGAAAGTAGATTCTTGTGTCGCGTGAGGTTTATGCCTGAGCGAAGCGAGGCTGGAAAGGCACACGAGAGACGAGAATCTCTCTCCCGAACATGTTAGCCACGACCTTTTTACTTTTTTTCTCTTTCAAAACGGTGTATGGAAAACAGGAATTTTGAGCCTACCCGTTTTTCGTTCATCCTGTGGGTGAAGTCGTACTCTCTGCACGTCGTGTCAGAAAACAAAAAAAAAAAACAGGTAAATAAATAACAAACAAACGTATATCGAACGGTCCACAGAGGCAGCCCCCTCACAAGGGCAGGACAAGCTTTTCTAAACGTGTATGCGCACGGAGAGTCCTTTTCATTGCTTTTTGAGAGTCGACGGCCTCTCGTGAAAGTTTTAAGCTGGCGTCGGTCGACGATTTTTTTTTTGCCAGTCGAGCTTTTCAGTGACGCGATGACCGCGTTCGCGCTGCAAGCTCCGAATTATTTACGCGTTCTCTTCCTTTTGCTCGATCGCAGCTACACGTTATATCTCATTTATATGAATTAGCGATGTGTGCACGACGCTGAACTCTTAGTTTTAACGATTTTCATGTATTTTTGACGAAAAGGGGCACGTCGATCGGAAAAGAATTAGAGCGCGCGCGAATTTCCGAAAGAGGAAGCGAGAGAGAGAGAGAGAGAGAGAGAGAGAGAGAGAGAGAGAGAGAGAGAGAGAGAGAGAGAGAGAGAGAGCTAAAATTCAATGTTATCGACGGTGACAAACGCCAATCCGGAATGAACGTTTTCGTCGAACGCTCAGCAAGAGGAGTAATACACGAGCGTCGTGGTCGCAGACAAAGCGCATCTCCAGCGAGGCATACGCGTCTCACAGGCTCACACACACGTGCAACCCTTCTGAGCAACGGCAGCGGCAGTTGGTTTCCTCCCTCGTTCGTACACCTATCGTCGTCGTCGTCGTCGTCGTCATCGTCGTTGTCGCCGTCGTCGTCGTCCTTTTACTCGAAATCACACAACGACGAGGAACAGCGGTCTCTCTCCCTCTCGAGCTTTATGCACACGCGCAAGAAAGCTCGGTCCTTGACGAAGAAACAGCAGCGGGAGGTATTATCGATTTCCGTGAGGTAACGTGAAAACTTTACACAGCCCGTTTATTAGTGCTCTGTGCAAAGAGGAAGGAAAAAAAGAACGTGTAACTCGGTGTCTCACCTCGATTGATTTACGCTGCGATTATTAATAAGCCCGAGGTCGATAATATTGAGCGTGCGTATTTTATAGAGAGATTGAGCTTGAGTATGTAGAATTATAAGATACTTGGACGTACACTCGAATAACTATACAAAGCCTTAATTTCTCTCTGTCGCCGTAGTAGAGAGAGACGCTTTTATATAATGCCCTCCTCTGTAACTCGCCTAGCATTCAATCTCTCCGTGGCAGCTAAATCGTTATTGTCAATTGACGAAAGCGCACTTCGGCCGCGGGAAAGATCAAACGGCGATGCGGAGAGCGAGCACCATAATGCTTTTTCTCCGAAAAAGCGCGCGCGTAACGCGTCACGGCACATCGGCCCACTCGTCCTCGGAGGAGGAGGAGGAGAGGAGGACGCGTCGGTGGCGCGCTCGACGCCGCGGAACAGCTCCGCGGACGGCTCATCTCGAAGCCGGTCAAGAACGCCGCC